CCGCAGATGTTTATTTATGCAAAAACAAATAACGACGAGGATCGGGTTTTGTCGCGTCTTTTCTGCCTATATAGGTTTTTTCGTCGGATTATTCCGTGCATATCTGCAAGAAGTGTCGACTGCGTGGGCGGTCGTATTTTGGTGCAGCGCATCCAATAAGGCGACGAAACTTTTACGACCGATCGCATACATCGAGCACTCGATGCGTGACGAGTATCAGCGAGAATATCAGGACAAAAATTAGATTTTCCTTCTGCTCATTACACTAAAACGCATCGTCGGCACACGTTACATTATGTGCACGATAAAAAATTCAATATTCGATATCGTAAAATGCGAAGGTAGAATGTGTCGCTCGATCACAGTCGGCAAATTAGAATAGCGTCGCTAAAGACGTATTAATAGTTTTTGCCGCACGCGCGTATCGGACATATAGCGCGTCAAATAGTTGTGATATGTCAAAGGCTCGTGATTTTGGGTCACGAGGTATACAGGCAGCGACAACCTCCGCACCTGGCAGCTAAGTACTGGTAAATGAGCTGCTGCTGCACTCGCAAAGTTGCAAAGTTGCATGGCTCAAAATAAACTGCGCACAAGAATACGTGGCCGCTGTTGCCATTAGATGCCACGCGATCTAATTAAAGCGAGTCGAATACAAAGTCGGCGATAAATTTTCATTCATCGACGATCGTCGATCGAGCATCGATTGCCCCGAGCACGATTGATCATCTTTGAGAAATGACGAGCCGAGAGAGCGACGCGACGACGTCCAATTGATTTATGAATCGAGTTTGGCCCGCTGCAAAATCGAAAGGGCACGTAAAAATGATTTCACCTCTGGCGACGTAGCGGGCTACATTTGCAATGTCGCAAGTGCAAGCTTCGATCCAATAATAAATCAGTTCTGTCGCGCGCGCCAAAAATTGTATTCGTTATAATAGACGACGACGAGTGCGTTTACCTCGAGCACGTATTACTTCCCTATTAAGCGCAGGGCTTGTTCAGGTGAGCCGATCCGAAGTGGGCGCAGAAGAGAAGAAAAACAGACACATCGTTCCGCACGAAGATTCGTGCCGTCGCTGCTCATTGATCCGCTATTTTTGCGCGAGCGACTTTTCTTCTTTGTTTATTTTTCCCGCGCGCAGAGTCGGCCTACAGACACTTTTTTTTTGTTATTTCCTCGCCGACTTGGCGCATGCTTGGCGACGCCGAGGAAAATTGCGGTCGACTTCCAGCTTCTATCGAAGCTCACGCACACACACCTACTCACCGAATCTGGTATTATTTATAAACGCCAACATTTCCTTACTTTGCCATCGTAATAATAACGCGCCCGAACGGCGGCATCCCTTCTTTTGGACAAGTTTACTTACGCATACAACATATATATATATACAGTTGTTGCTCTAAATTTAACTCACGTGTTTTCTGTCTCTTTCAACGCGGCTCGAGCAAACGTTGCCCGCTACGCCTAAGAGCTTTACAGTTTTCCTATCTACGACCGAGAGGGTAGTTGTTGCGTGTACAATTATCTACATCCATACTCCATACTCTACGTGCGAATTATTGCATGAAATTTGAAAAGATGCTCGCTTAAAATTTGCTCGCTAATTGAACGCCGAACGAAAAGAACGTATTATGTGTTTGTAAATGTTGCGAACAATGATTCCCGTTAATTTCCTCTTAATGTCTTGGAATTGTTTTTCCTGCTCGTAAAGGCCAGACTTTATTCATTTGGTCAGTATTTTTATATAGCCTGAGAATTTGAGTTTCAAATAAATATTATCGGAATAAATCAGTGAACTTTTCTAATCCTTGTTTCTCGAATCTCGTACGTGAGAGGATGCAAGTATCGATCGATGGAGCAACAAAAAAGAATTGTCCTTAAAAGCTTCATTTTCTATAAAAACCACCATTCTGCTAAAAGTAATTTGGGATTTTCGACCCCCCCCCCCCCCCNNNNCCCCCCCCCCCCCCCCGTCCTCAAACTGCTGGACTTGGAAAATCGCTCGACGCTTCTCATCGTATGGTTACATCGCGAGGACTAAAAGTAATCAGCGAAGCTTTGCATGTATATTTTAAGTAGTTACACACATTACATCATCGTTTCTTGGAAGCCGCATTAGCGGTCGTCCAAACGAAGCTCGAGTTTCTAATTTGTTTTTCAGCGCTCTTTGTGGAATATACGGCCGATTAGCGCTGATATGCGCACGAGGCTCGTGTTTAATATATAATAATAAGAATGATCAGTTTTAGCCCGACGAGTATAAATGTAAAGTAATTGCCTAGCGTGTATGTATAGCTGGCCCTCTAATTTCCTTTCTCTCTCGCTAGCTCTTCTTCGTACATCAAGTCACATGCTCAAGTTTGACCTCGATACATCCGAAGCATTTGCGTAGTTACTTTTTAAAACTTTCGCTGTCGTGCTAACTGAATCATAATTAATAACAATCGATGTATGCGCTGGTATCGGCATTCCTCGACTTTTAAATTCTCGTCTATTTTAGTCAGTAGGCATTAAGCGTGGTGAAAGTATTAGTTGAAGAAGAAAAAAAGCGAATGTGTCGAGTCGAATCTGACGTCCTTGAATAACGTCCTGAAGTATGGATCGACGGGGCTTGCTTCGGACGACGCTTGATGTGCTTCTCTTACAAAGCTTGAAAATCATATATATAGGATAGACATACACACAAGTGCACGCTTGGAACTTAAACGTCTGCGCAGCCACGAACTTGATCCTAAGAACCGCAAGTCGCGCGAGTATGCGTACTGCACCTCGACGTATACGTACGTGCATGACTTTATAAGCTACTAATGCGATTATCTCTTACGTGACGAGAAAAATAAACGAGCGAGAAGAGAAAAAGAAGGTGGAAACTACGCGACGCGCGAAGCACGGCACAGCCCGATGGGCATCGATGCGCTGCTTATTCTTTTCGCTCTATTTCGCGCTTATGCACACCTATACACACGCTCGACTCTTGCGAGCTACTATACTGAGCGAGCGAATGAGTGCGAGCGAGCGAGAGATGTGGATAATGGAAAGCAAAAAAAAAATAATGCAAAAAATGCACTAGCTTGCCTACGTGAATTTCCTTTTAAACAGGAGAATAAAACTCGCAATAAATTCATGTGCTTATTTTTTTTATACGAAACACGCGTGGGCGAGCTGCACTTGTATGAAAATTAATCGTGAGGACTTGCTCACAAATTAAATTATGTCGAACAATTGTGATTTGGTATTTTTGAAAAGTCGAAAAGTAGGTGAATTTGGACATTGCGTCTGGTAGATGTACGAGGAGGTAACGAGACCCGAGCAGTTGGTAACAATTAAATAATAAATAACAGTCCGCTCATTTAACATGTAGCTCAGTTAGCATTTCTAGCTCGCAATTATGAGCACGTGTCATGTAAAAAATAGCGAGAGAACAGCCAAGCTGCGATGTATAAGGGAAAGCGGCGATCACAATGTAGAGAAAGAGAGAGAGAGAGAGAGAGAAGGCTCGGCACTGAATTTGCATGTGCTGATTTCGAAGCTCCGTTGTGTGTTGCTTTTGCTTCATTCTCGCAGTCGGCCGTTTTTTTTTGCGCTCGCTCGAGCCGTGTTATTAAAAAAGCCGTAGTGTGCTTTCCTGCTTGTCGCGAGCGCGCGCAAAAACTATCTGCTCGTATAGCTGTAAAAATGTGAGCATAAAAGTTCTGGCAGCTATATATGTATAATAGAAGAGCAAGAGAAGTAGTAAGACAGAGGAGTAGGAGGTGTATTTCGTGTCGCACCTCGCCCACTTGCCTCGTTTTCATTCATTACGTACTCTCGGCAGCGTCGTCGTTCTGTTTTCCTTTCTCTTTTCTCGCTCTCGAGAGCTCCTCCGTAGTCCACCTATACTAGCTGCGGATAGTGCTAGTGGAGGCGCGTCGACGAGTCGAGAGAGAAATTATTGGCCATTTATCGATGCGCAATCCATGAATATGCAACTGGCTAAATAATTTCCGCGATGAATTATCCGGCCGAGCCGTGGCGTTTGTGCTTACGCACAACCGGTCACGTTTCGATCGATCGGATGTACGGCCTTATGCACGATACCGATTTCTATAGCTTCCTTCTCTCGATTCGAGCGTTGCCAACGATAATCTGCCGGCGAGTCGGCCGTCTTACCTAGAGATTACGTTAAGCTGCTGACGAATATCAGTCAATTTTTGGACATTTCTCTGGGAGCTTTATTGAAAAAGTCAAGTATTGGCTGGCCAGTCTTGTTACCCAGTCGGTTAACGTTCAAAGCTTGTCTCGATGGGATTTGAATTGGGAAAAAGCTGTAGTCCGACAATCGGCATTAGAAAATCGAAAAATGACAGAGCAGTGGTAACGAGCATCCAACTCGTTTGACGATCGGCAATCGCCGAGCCCAAGTCGAAAGCACAAAAAAGCTCCGGCTCGAAATAATTTCTAGCGCTCGAGAGAACTTTCGTTCGATATTGTCGTTGGCCAGTTGTAGAGCAAGTTACTCGTACCTCTTGTCGTTGTTACGCGAGACAAAAAGTCAATATTTAAATTGAAAATTGATTCGTCAATTAGGCGCACCGCGCAAGTGTATCCGGCGCTGCACTCTTGACCTCTCACGATGGCACGCGGGTATAGTCGTTTTTCCATCGGTCGACACTCGCAGCGCAGCCACTCGACTCTCCTCCCACGATCGGACGTAAAAATCTGCATATTATGGTGTACAATCGACTATTAGTGAATGGAGCAAAGGCAAAGCAGAGCCGCCACGGGATCGCGCGAGACAGCTTCGCGACTGCCCCGAGTGGCCCGACGAGCACTACATGGCACTACATAGCACTACATAGCACTACTACCATGCAATAATGTATAGGTAGGTACTGTGTAGTGCATAGCCGCCGCCGCCGCCGCCGCATTGGGAGCTCGCTCGGCAGTCGACGTCGTTAGTCGGTTTCGCTCGTTCGCGACGCAAACATTGCAGCAGCTCGCTCGGCTCTGCTCGGCAGTGTGGCAGCCGGCCATATAGCAGAAATACTGAAATATTTGCCGCGTGTATTCTTGGCTCGGCTCGCAGCGAGTCGCACTCTATACGATCTCGCATATTTTTGCTCGCGCGCTACGTTCCACGAGCCTATCCCCCGACTCCCAACTCTATATCGTATACAAGGTGTATATACCTATTGACACATACTATAGCTTATATACAGACTGTATTTATATGTACAGTCTTGTGTCTGCCTAGGTATATTTACATATTTACATGTGTGCGTGCTGTTCAGTGCTCTCGCAGCGGTACACACAGTCGCTGCCGCTGCTCCTCGAGAGAGTCGCGCGCGGACCACTTTTATTACTTCACTCGGCCGTAGATCGCAGTCGTCGTCTTTCGTAATACGTATCTCTCGCTCTCTCTCTCTCGCTCCTCGCGAACTTTGGTGTACGTAAATTACGTATGTGTGCGAGTGCCCGTGAGACTCGCTCTCTAGACTACACTGCTCCATAAAGTGTAAAACGCCTCCACTTTGTTTGTGCGCCGAGGCAAGTGCTATATATATATTGCGCTGCTGCTATATTGCAATTCCCTGCCTCTCTGTATGAAATATAAATATATACAAGAATCTCTCAAGAGTGCATATAGTGCGTCTCTCTGTGTCTGTGTGTCTGTGTGTTCGTGTTTGTGTGTTGTGTTGTGCTGGACCAAGATAATCGACGCTTCGCAGCTATTTGTGCTTGGCAAATACAATCGAAATAATCGTAATTTTTCATAAGCCAGTGAAAATCTCTTGCGTAAATCAGTCGTGCAGTGATTTCCTCTACTCTCGCTCTCATAACCATATAAGCGATACAACAGAGGATAGTGTTTCTGTGCCTGTGCATATTATACTCGTGTCTGTGTGTGTGTGTGTGTGTGTGTTGTGGTGTGTTTCTGTCAGCGTTGCAGTATCAACTTTTCGGCCAGCACCTTTTGCCTATAGGCACCTGTCCCGCTCGACATACCTGCAGTTTATTATTTTTTGCCTGTCCACTGTGCAAAGGGCCTCTTAAATATTTTGCATTACACGGAAACTGCTGCAGGATTCATAGGTAAACGTACTGCATACTTGGCTTACTCGTAGCTTTTTCCCTTCCTTGCGCGCTCGGCCTCTGTACTCTGTACTGCAGTCTTTCTCACGGCGGAAGCACGTTGTTTTCCCATTGTTGCAAGGACTCTATTCTCTCTCTCTCTCCACTGATTCGAGGATGCTGTCCGTGGACCCCTCTCTCTCTCTCTCTCTCCCTCACTCTGCGTAATACACGAGTATGTGTGTCCCGAGTAGTGGTAGGTAGTTAGGTACATGAATGCATTCTGCAGGCCCGCGCCTCGTTCATTCGCATACTTAAGGAGCTGCTAGTCTTGTGTAGCGTGGGTGAGCCCCGACAGCTATGCTTACTTTCTATGTGTGCTTTACCGTTTCATCCGTGGGACTGTCAAAGTGCCATGTTCGGCTGCGAGCGCTGACCAAATATTTTGCTGCCTCCAGCTCCAAAGAATCTGACTCGTCGTTGTCGTCTATGTTTCAGTTTGCTTTTTGCGGTCGATGATCCCTCGACTCCCGTACGTATAACCCACTCCGGCCAAAACGTTTAGCATTTGTATAAGTATGCAGTTTGCGCACGAAAAGTAGCTTTGTGCATTCGACTTGATTCGATGCCGCGCGGCACGATCGACGTGGTCCCTTTATTTTCGACGCGCTTTATACGGGATTGCTCATTGTCTTCCGCGAACCGATGCTACACTCCGATGCCCTCCGTTGTTCCGACGTTGATTTCATTGCGTTTCCATGTCAGCATAATATATGCTATGCGATAGCGATTATTGTTTATCAATTTGAAATATTCGCGAGATAAGGAGAATGTACGAAGCTCGATAAATCCTCGCCCTCATTGGCAGGACTCGGCGATAAAAGTATCGGATGGTCGATTCAATAACATTGCTACTTAAAAACAAAACATTCGTTCGTTCTCATGAAATGAAGCGCGATACTTATCTCGTAGTCGGAAAACATAATAATATGCTCGTTGTTCGCGAGCTTCTTTCTCGATGGCGTTCGTCTTGGCAGGCTGCTGCTGCAATCCTTTTACGTTTTTCCTCTAAACTTGCCGCTGCGCCTTCGAATTAATTCCTATGAATAATGAGATTTTTGCCGAGTGCCTCGCAAAGAGCCGAAGATTGGAGCGATGCCATAGCGCATCGAGAAACCGAGGCAGCTGAGCTCTGTAGTTTCTTCGAAACGAGGGAAAATTTGGAAAAGCGCCGATGACGCGATGACTCTGTTTTTTCCGATGAAACGTGCTCCGTGCAAGACTCGTTGCACTCATTGTCAATCGTGGCATTAGTGAAAGCGCAGAGGATAAGCGTATCGGATGTGCATCGAAAGGATCTATGCGTGGAAGTAGTGGCCCATTTGCAGGATGGATTTGCATATTATTAATGTAGCTCATCGTGCTCGTTGCTGAATTATTAATTGGTAGGTTGGAGCACGTAGTTAGTAAGCTGCGTGTGGCGCTTTCCTCGGTGACATTGGCGTTTCTCGGCCGACTGTTTTTTCCACTTATGGGCAGCGATATGCAAGTTGTACATGTACATTGTAGAGTGAATGTGGCCACACGCTCGTATGCGTGTCGCAACGTTGCTCCGAACGTCAAAAACGGCGCGCGCAAACTTGTAATAAGTATGTAGCAGCATCGACCGCAAGCATACACAGCACACGGGTGATTTGTCGTCGATGTTTTTTCCGTCTGCATCTCGCGTCTCTCTACCGCATAGCAAAGTAGGCATGAAAACCACAGGTCGCGAGAGCTACGGTTACCAACGCGCGTCAATGCCGCACATGCACTCTCAGCGAATGTAAGCTCGCTGCAGCTGCATAATGTATGCACGTGAAGCGCAGCATTGCGAATCGAGAGCTGCAATCTGCGACGAGCTGCTAGTCTGTGTGTGTGTGTCAGTGTGCTGGCTCGGCTTTAAATGAAAATGGCCCAATCACGCGTCTTTAACCTTATGCCTGCACGTCTCTAATCCATCCAAGTGAGTGTGTGTGTGTGTGTGTGTACAGACTCTATACTGTCTGCACCGAACACACTTAGATAGCCAGAGAAAGCGTACTGTGCATACTGCATGCGCAAAGATGACCTTACGTGTATTCATAGAGTATGTATATGGGAAAAAAAACTGTCGAATGCACACGGAGCAGGGCAGAGCACAGCACTCGAGCGCAGCTCGAGTAGAATTTCAATTGAAGCGTGAATGCGCGCATGCATTTACTATGGTAGTAGAGTGCTTTGAACTGGACACGTTCGCGCTGCCCAGTAGTGGTAGTAATAGTAGTAGTAGAGTAGTAGTAGTCGTCGTCTGTCCAAAATACATAAGAAAAAGAATTCTTATGTACTTACTGCCACACAAAAAACGCCGAATGACGCCTCTTTCGCTCAAGCGACTCGTTACATCATGAATAGTTTCTTCGATAACACCTTGGACTTGAGACATTTTCTAACCTTGCTTCGGGACGTTTTTGTTTCTTTTTCTTGTGTATCTCTTTCGATAATGACAGGTCGAGAAAAAAAACTGTCAAAAACGTTTTTCGATATTTTTATACCGGATATTTTCTTAAAAATGTATTATTTTGCTTTGGTATATACTCGATATAAATTGAGTTGTGAATCTGAGAGAACATTTTCGAAAAATATTCATTTAGATCCTAGCTTCAATAAAATTCCACGACTAGGTCACTCAAGCGAGAAACGGAAAAATCGTTTGGACTTTTTTGATTTTCTTTGGTTGGCGCGCCGCTCGCGTACCTCGGCATTAATATTTTGAATCCAGACCGCTGCAAGGAAACCCGGACGATTATTGCACAAGCCATAACGCGCACGTAATATATGAGTTACGCAGCTAATTGAATGAGTACATACCTTATAGCTATACAGCCGTCGCCCATGCGCCAAGGCAAGCCCCACTCGGTATTCGCGCTGGTATATCGAGCTTGTGCGAGCAGCAAAAAAGTCTCATTGAAAGCCAGTTTCTCCTCGCGGAAGGTAATTTTATTCGCGATGATGTGCGGCCGTCTAACGCGGGTAGCGAGGTTCGATCGCACCTTAAACGAGCTTACATCGCGTATGTAGCTGCTGCTATATGCGTCTCGCAATGTGCACGTAAAATACTCACCCTGTATGCGCTTTTTTCCGACTTGTTTTCAGAGGCCGACTGCCCCGAGAATAATTAATTCGATTACGTAACGGCAGCTCGCTGAAACGTTGAAACATCCATCGGTTTCTCTTTCCTTCGAGTTCTGTCGGATCGTTGTTGAGACACAACGAGAGCCGTATTTACGGAACTTTCGGCTGAATTACTCGCGACTGCGAGCCACTCATTTTTCTCTTACAGCTGTGCGCGCGAGTAAGCGTGTGCAAGGGAAGCTATTGTTAAGGGCAGTTTCGAGGAAAAATTGCAGTCCGTTTGAAAAAGTTGGCGCGACTCTTGTCTCATTAGTCTCTTCTGTTTTAGGCATGCCTTTCTCTCTCACGCGCGTTTAAGCTAATAGCGGCTGTTATTCCGAGCGTAAAATAAGTCTCTCTCTCTCTCTCTCTCTTTCTCTCTTACTCTTTCTGCGCGCATCGGTTCAGTCTGCTCTACTGCTTAATTGGGTTACTTATTCTTTGCATTCGCACGCTTGGCGCTAGCTCGGCGCGCAATCGTTGCCGAGCCAGCATGTGTATCTGACCTTTTTTCCCTCCCACTGCGAGATGTTATAATGTGTATAACAGAGCCTCTCGTGCCCGCATGTGCACGAAACACGCAGCGCGCTACACGTGCGCTGCCGAGCATCGATGTAACGCAAAGCTGCAGCCGTGTCTTCCTTTTTCGATCCCGAACTGCGAAGCAAAAGTTCTCGTCCGATAGGGCGCTATTGCGATGCGATACCTGCGCGATGCTGCTGCTACTGCTGCTGCGTCACTTTTTGTCTCGATCCAGCCAAGGCTAACGCGACAATGTACGTATATATTCGCACGATTGCTTTTATAATCGATGACACGGCTACTAGCATGAGCTCATCGCGCCTATAAAGCCGTGGGCAGCGCACGGACATCGCTGCAGAGGATATCCACTCCGATAAACCTATACTCTTAAACCATAGGAGCGCGCTAATTTTAGTCGCCGTCGACTTTGACGTAAATTCATATTCATATTACACGCGGCCGATCCTGCTCGTGTCCGAGAGACTGTATTTCACTCCATCCATGAGTTAACATTAAAATATCTCGGTACGCGAAATTATTCAGATTATGTACAGTTACTTCATAGAGGTAAAGCAGATAATTATCTATCTGAAACATGATTTCATAGATAATCGCGAGGCTTATCCTTTCCTTACTTAACCGTGCGTATTATCTGCAGGCAAAACGTACTTCCTTATCGTGACAATAAAAATTATTTTTTTCGTACGAGAATTCGAAAAGAAAACGAGTAATAGCCAGCTCGATGGACGAAATGCGAAGAAGAATGGAAATCTCATTGAATCTCAGAGTTGCACGTGCATTTCGATGTACGTCTCCGTAGAGTCTAAACTACCGGTGTCGTGTTGTTATAGTCGCGCAAAGCCGCGAGGTCAACGCACTCGCTAACTAGCATGTGAAATCATCCCTGAACCTATCGACTGGCTCGTGTGTAGTGTCGGCAACAATTGCGACGCTTGGAACACATTCAATCTGCAATTATTAATAGCCATCGAAAGTCTAAATCGTGCGCGGATCCCCCCACTTGCCGCCGCACTTACCGTGGTCACTCTTTATTTATTATTATATATNGTGCTGTTTGTCAACTTACATATCCGCATATAGCTCGTCTTTGACTTTTAGTATCGTTCGTTCGATTGGTCGCATACGAGCGCTAAACGACGCAGCGCTTGTTATTGATATCGCTATAATTGACAGCCAAGTCTATACCGAATCTTTTTCATTGCTCGTCCTTCGCTCGAAAAAATAATTAGTTAAGCTGAATAATAAGTATATCCCGCTTTCGCAACTGTCGCTAATAATGCAATCGTCGATTTTCTGTTCTAGGTGTCACGGATACTTTGCTGGATCGGGTGTCACTTTGGAGTTCATGAGCAATACAAGCTGAAAAAAGTATCCATAACAAAGCTTCGGTTCAGCAGCTTCGACCATTGAAAGCAATTTTTACTATCAAAGCGGATCAAAGGGGGGCTTTTGTAGGGCGTCAAGGACGAAAAGCAAGGCAACCCTCGTCGCAACGCAAACGATGCCAGTGACTTTCGACGCTCAAAGGCTATCGACGAATTCCTCAGCGCGACGTCAGCTGGTGCATCGGCGACGTCCGGATCACTCGCGTTTGTTGACCAGTGAGGCCTGAGGCCGGAGCTATGCCCTGCGCCCCCGACCCCGCGACGAATTTGACGCTACAGGTCGAGCATCAGCAGCTGAGCAGCGGCATCGGGAACTCGGGGAACGGCTTTGGCGACCACCGGCCTCGCTTCGACTCGTCGCCACACGCGCAGCATCAGCATCATCGTCGGCAGCAGCAACGATTGACGGACTGCGGCAACGACGACCCGCGAGCCGAGCTATCGGCCCGCGCCGTCGATTACCTGCTAAACTGTCACCAGGAGCTGCTGATCGCCGAGCTGCGCCAGGAGCTGGAGGCCGAGGAGGAGGAGGAGGAGGCCGGCAGCATGGCAGCTACGGCCAAGCACGAGCGTGCCTCTAATCTGACCAAGACGCCGCAGTCGCAGCCGCCTCCGCCGACCAAGAGCAAGCCCAAGCTGTTGTTGTCGTCGTCGTCGTCGTCGTCGTCTACGTCGAGCAACAATACGGCAGCGGCGAAGCAGCAAGCCAACAACGGCTCGACGTCCGGCGACGAGGACATCGCGGCCATAGCCAAGCAGATCAGCGATCACGCCGAGGCCATCTATCAGACGTGGAAGAGCCGAGGACTCGCGCCCACCGAGATTCTCAACTGTCACACGAGCGGCAGCGCCGCCGACAAGTTTGGCACGGTGCTCAAGCCGGCTCATCGAGCTGCTGCCAGCGACTCGCCGATCGTCGCCAATAAAACCATGGCCAACAACGCTTTTGTCAACACTCCCAAGAAGCTTCCGACCAGTCCGGTCGACATACTCGCCCAAGAGAACAACAATCTCGAGAAGCTCGTCAACAATTTCGTCGTCGAGGACAAGGCGAGGATAGCCGCGGCGAGGCAGCGATCGCCCTCCAAGAATCTGCCCTCCTCCATACAGTTTGCCCTGCAAAAGTTTGAGCAGAACGCCCAGCAGCAGCAGCAGCAGACCCCGCTGACCTCGCCCAAGACGCCCACGCAGTCGCTCAAGTCGACGACGGCCAACAGCTTCGCGCTCAACAGGCCCTCGCAGATCGTCAAGCCGTCCCTGCAGGGCCTCAAGTCGCCTCAAGCCTCCCACCACAATGACGTCTTTCTCGAGAGCATCGACGCCGCCAGCCCCTTCGTCCCCAAGCTCGCCAATCGACAAGTAGCCGCCTCGTCGCCCTTGCAGAATCTCGAATCGAGTCCCGTTATCGGCGGCTCTTGGCCGCTCAAGAACAAAATCGTCAACGACTCGAGGAAGCAGCCGGTGGCGACGCCGATAACGACGACGAACCCGACGACCACGCCTACGACGACGGCCACAGCGGCGGTGGTGACGGCGACACTGGACTCGCCGAAATCCAACGCGGTGGCCAATTTGATGGACCAAGTGGCGCGCGAGGAGGAAAAGCTCATCAACGCCTTGAAGACCGGAGCCGTCATCAGCGAGGACCCGTCGACCGTGCCGATAATAACGCCAACGACCACGCTGCCCAAACAGAAGCCCGTTATTTTGCGCGAAACCAAGCCCAAGGTCGAGCCGGTCAAACCGATTCTCCTGTCGCCGAGTCAGGTGAGCGCCCTCAACTCCGTGGCTCTGGTCAACAACGTCGCCCATCAGATCGCCTCCTCGCCGACCTCCAATGGCGTCAAGCAGCTCAGCAAGGACGAGCTCTCCTCCATGTCCGTCGTCGATTTCGCCAAGGTGCGCTACCAAACGGCTCAGCAGAACTCGCTGAAGCAACCTCAGCTGCGTGGCAGCAACAGTAGCACCACCACCACCAGCGAGGAACCAAAGAGTCAGACGTCGTCGTCGACGAGTGCCTTGTTCGCCGCCAACGAAGAGCAGCCCATCGTGTCGACGACCAGATCCAAGTTCGAAGCCGCAGATCTCGTCAAAGACATGAACGACAAAGACAGGCTCGACAAAACCAACAACGTTTTTAAGGACGCCGACAAAGATGAGGAAAAGAAGGAGGAGGCCAAAGACGATAAGGACTTCATTGCGTCGAGGTGGGGCTTGCGGCTGAATTCGCCGCGACCGAGGCCGGTCGAACAAGTGCCACATCCGGAACTGACGACCCAACAAAAACAACACATTCGTGCGGCCGCCGCTACCAACACCGGCAACAATCCCGTGAGGCCGTTCCTCACGCGAGGCTCCGTGGCTGAACGCGTCCTCATTTTCGAAAAGTGTCCCAGTGAACTTATGCTGGACAAGCGAGGATCGCGTCCTTCGATCGGTTCCTGGCGTAGCACTCAAGATGCTCAAAACAAAGCACAGGTGAGTGCTTATATTATCTTCAGCTTCTTGATTTTCTTTTATTAATCGTCAACTGGTCGAGTCGCCTTTTTTAATATTATTATGTATCTATTCTTTTTATATAAACTTGTAAGTAGGTCAAAAATTCCTCTTGAATTTTATAGCGTTCAAAAGATCTCAAGCCACCTAAATATCAACGAAAAGCCCAAAAAGTTACAAATATCTTAGATAACTCGACATTGATAGACATAACTTTCTTCCACCCATGCCGCAGCAATGCTTACGACTATAATGACACTTTTCAGGAAGTAAGTAACAAAACAACTTGTGTGTGCATACATGTGTTGACGTTCAATATTGACACATTCATTGTTCGTTTGTGGTCATCTTCTACTCTGTCGATTCGAGTAGCGCATACATGCAATAACAAGTTTTTAAGATAGTCCAATCGTTCAAAATTTTTATTGCTCTATGGATTTCGCATGGAATTTGAATGAAATAGATTGTTTCTGTAAAGCCTCGATCGAATGTGTAGGTTCACGCTCGCGTCTCGTCATTTTAGCGAGTGCGATACGACGGTGTTGGTGAAAGATTACGAACTCGATCAGCTGGTTGTTTTTTTTGATCGACGACCTTGGGGTAGAAAACTAACTGCGGTAGATTTACTTTCTCTTTTTGCTCCCAGTTTGTTGAACTCATCTTGCAACTTTTTGCCCTGCAACTCGAATTGGTAATACAGTTCGACTAAGTCTCCACGTGTATGGGTTCAGCTGATGCCGATTCAGGCATACGTTCGTTTTTTTTCTATCGTTTGACAAATGAAAATAAAAGGCTGAACTACTGCCATTAATGTGAAAATTGTGATAATCATCAATTAGATTGATTACATTAACAATGAAGATTTTAATTCATGTTTCTATGTATGATCTCACGTTTCCATCAACAACACTTCATGTTTGTTTTCACTATTGTCTGATTCAAAGATGCCTTATCACCTGCTCCGTCAAAAGTTAATTAAATCATTTATTTCAATCATCGGGTCATTCTGTAAGAGCATCGTCAGCTGTTTTTGCACGTGCTGAATGTCTGTTTATTTACATTGATATGCGTGATTAATTTCATCGTGAAATTAATATATTATTTAAAAATGTATTTATTCTTTATAATTAAAATATTTGCTATTATGCTATCTATACTTTCATTTGTATTCAGGGAGTAACAAATCCCACTACTTTTCATGCATGAGAAATGCTAAACGTGAACAATGTGCCGGCTATGGCTCGGTAATACTGATATTTTCAATTATTTATCATGCTAGCAAGCGCTTGTTTTCTTTCAACCGAATGTATTACTGTTTTTACACTCTTGCCAGTGCAATACCGTAGGTACAAATAGATGGGAACTCTTTTTATTTAATGTCGTTAATATACTTGAAGCAATCGTTTTCTTTTTTTTCAAGTATAAAAATTTCATTGATTGAAGCTAGCAAGAATCAGCTAAATTCGCAAAGAAAAAAAATCAAAAACTAAAATGTTAACCTTGAAGAAACCAGTTCACTCCTCGAAGCTACATCGGTAACAGTAGCTCTTAAAAAGTAGTCGAGCTTATTAACACGTTTTGAGCGATGGATAATGCTGGCCTAATTTGACCGTAAAAAATGAACGTGTCTTCTGTGTCTGTCAATTTTACAAGTTTATTTGCAAAGCATCCACGTATCTGTACCATTTATAATTATAATACTGTTCAACTCTTGAATGTTGTTTTTCGTAATGTGAAACAATTCACGCTGCCGGGTCTTCTTTTCATCGCTTTTTACTTGTTTTAATTTTCTTTTGAGTATTTGCGGTCCTCGCATTATTCAGTTAATGACTTGAGATTGATTGCTCGACCAATCAAAGAAAGATTGATAAACAACGCAAAGCTTGAAAACGTAATAATAAATTGATTTTGAGCCAGTCTGAATGCGTTGTTATCCATTCAAAAAGATATGTATGGCGTGCATGATTGCCGTGAGGTGAGCGACTAGTCTTTTCAATTTATATTCTACGTTGCTGCAGAATAATCGTCGTTACTGATTGTTATTTTTCGACGATCGAGTCGCATTTCTCGACACGTGCTCCATCTCGTTCATCTTGTATTCACTCTTTGATTTTGGTTTCATCGATGTAGTTTGAAAATCAAAAATTATACGATGCATCGGGTTCTCAGTAAGTAGTTCCGTATACGCTTAAGTGTTAATATGTCCTCTTTACGCTCCAGCTAACGACATTTATCTTTCGCAGTTATTTTTGTGCCACAGGGAAAAAATGATGCGTCGGTAGTCAGATCTCAATTTTTCATCAAAGAAAAAGTAGTATGATCCAATTGGCCTTGTTACGAGCGCACGTTAGCTCGTTAAACGCGAATTATTATTTACAGCTGCATCATTATTACATGTTTAAAAAGCGTATTATTCTTATTTCAAACGCCTACATAAGCAGACGTATTTAGATAGAGTAGATGCGATCGTTTGCCACAATTTGACGATGATTCGAGCTTATCGTTTCTCCGCATGAGCATCAAGAAAGCTTGGATCGTTTGGAATCAAAGCGTGATTTAGCGTGTTGCCGATTATAGGTCAGCTTGCGAGCAAAGAGGCGATAGGACACATTCTCAGCGAGCGTGTTGGTAATCATCTTTCTTTTCCTCTCTCTCGAAGTATATTTTTCTCTTGTAAGTCTGTGTTGCAATGTGTGCCCCAGCCTAGCACCAGCTCTTGCCAAAGATGATTGAAATCTCAGACTTGAGAAGTAGACTATACACGGCTAGCCATGTAATGTATGTGCAAAGCTAAGAGCTTCGTGCACACACATGCATACCTATGTAATATGCAGCTAAATGTAAGCAGTGCGCCCGCGAGAGACTAACGGTTTTTTCTCTCTCTCTCGCTTACAGAAACATGCATCGTTTTAGCCATCGCTGATATTGCTATTGTTGCCTTCTTCTGGCGCTACTCCTATATAAGAGCATTGAAGCAAAGGTCACCGCTATAAAACAATATTCACTTTGAGTCTCTGAAAACGGATGTACAATTTTTTATTTCTATCTCAGTTTCTGCATTGCTGCACTGTTGGAGTCTAGTTTGAAACTCATAGCCGCTGTATCGGTGATTTTATTATCATACGTCAGCAACATTCTTAATTTTTTTTGGCAATCCTGAACAAATTATGGAAAAATTACATTTAATTGCTGTTTTGAAATGTGCTTTAAGCTGCAACGAGTGAAGACATTTTTGTCTGCCCACCAGTGCAATGCATCGCGCTAGTTTCCACGTCGAGTTAGCTCGAAAACGAATTATCAATCATCAACGGCGCTCGATAATAATATCCATTCAAGCAAATAGGCGCACGCAACAAAAAAGGAGCGGTTTTGGGCTGTCGTCATTTAATGGATAAACTGCGCTACCTCAAGCGTGATGCGTGTACGTGTGTAATACTACACATGTAGTTCCTCAATGCCGTCCGTTTGAACACACAAGACTTGATATTGACGCTCGTACACCTCGGTGTGCACTCCTTACTTGGCGTCTTTTTCATGCTGCTTTGAACGACTGATTCGCAGTTGTTGTCTCTTCGCCTTCCTTTTTTTTTCATTGTCATCAATGGTATCATCGTCGCGATCTGATGATGCAATTTTTCATTGCTGCGCAGCGCAAGCGTTGACGCGTATATACGCCAACTCGGCGTATATACGCAAAAAATTACAAAATTATTATTTTTATTCGAAGCATTGCTTTTGTTGGAATAAAAGTTTATAATTATTTGTCGTGCGAGATAAATTCAGTCGATCAAACCATAATGATTTGTTTTTCGAATTATCTCAAAAGCTGTTGCAAATGATATCGTGTGTGTTTTTTTTACATCCTGGATGATTGCAAGTCACCTTCGGGCGACTTACCTGCTGCGTCAGACTCGAACCGTCAAAATTTGAAAATAATCATAAACCTTGATTTAAATGTAAAAGATAGATAACATGTAAGGTCTTGAATAACAAATAGTATCAAGAATGAATGCCATGCTCGGTAATGTTTGGTGCTCGAGGGTGCTCTGCGATGTAAGCGGAGAACCATCCACTTTCCCTGCCGAAAAAGAAGCGACAAATATGTCTCAAGGCAATCGTAGCATAAAATTATGAACATTACATGCTCGACGTGCGAGAGATATAAAGATCGCGATCTTTCGCGAGCGGAAACCATCAGGTACACATAGGCCACGTATCATGTGTACGTGTATGTGTGTGTGTACAGAGCATCGTACGTCGCGGCACAAGTATGATACGCTGTTGCGGGAGATAATGTAAAACAGGATATCGTGTCCTTGATACTCGCGTACAAGACTTGCACTTATGCGCGCTATGCGGCTCTCGCGACTGCAGCCTCTCTCGCGATTCGTTAAAGGAACGCACCGCCTTTGGGCTTGGGCTGCGGCGAAGCAGCCAACCGAGAATAAATCAAGTCGATCTTTTAACTTCTCCACTGGGTAATCATTTCACATTTTTCTCTGGACTGCCCGAATGCGATGCTTATTTGCTCGTGGCTCGGGTCGTGCTTAAAAACTTGTGATGTTGTAGCTATAGAGAAGGTACTTGGGCTCGATCTGTCTTTGTGCCTTCACAATTGGGCCTCGTGTCTCTGTATTTTGTCAATGAGAATGACTCGAGCGAGTTTGCTCTTGAGCTCTCTATCATCGCTCAAGAATATTGCTTGAATATTGCGTGAATGATATGAAAATACAGGCATAATATAGTTGGCGACCTTATTCATCGGTATGTAACCCTATTCGTTGAAATAACAATAGATCATTGAACTGGCCATCTTAAGGTTGATACATTCGAGCATTATTAATTGTATTTCATGGTCCATCAATTTTTTTTAAAGATAGCATGTAACATAAAATGTGTTGTATGCATCGATCAATTATAAATTTCGAAAAATTGACAGAAAATCAAGCTCAAAGGACTCTATTTCAATGAGTTGGACGTATTAAAGACAAACTTGCATAATGCAACAAAGAGGCTTGGAAAATAATCGAACGTTGTTTTTTACAGTCTTACAATCACGAGAATGGCAAGCCAGCGAAAAGCCTACCAGCGCACACGACGCTCCAGCGACACGTCAAAGCCAACAGAAACGTCCACATACCGAGGTAAAAACTCGCACGAGCACCTAAGCTGTTTATTTCTCGCAGTCGCTCGCGCGATCGAGCTTAGCTTCGAAGCATGAAATATATGTATATCGTAATCGATGTTTTAATCTTTTGTATACAGATTCTACTTCCCGGGAGGCAAACCGACCTCGGTGTCCCAGCTCGAGGCGACTCTTGCTCGTATCACAGCAGCTTTTCAAAGTCTTCCGGGTCATCGAGCCTCGCGCGCCCAGTTTCACACTATTACCAAGGTATGCCAGACATTACTCTGTTAAGAATGAAGCACTTGGCTTTTGTCTAACACAACAGGGTCGCGCGCGACAAACACTCAAAACTTCACAGCTTGCAGTAGACCAATATTAGTTCGCCGTTTGTCACTTTAGTACCATCTCACATTGACAAAATAGTAACAGATAAAAACAATTTGTATAAAATATTTCAATTTCCAACGAGGAATAAGAATAATTAAAAACGTACTCATAAAGTTTATTAGTTACGAATCGGGCTAAGCTCTCAAATTTATGGTTTTTAGGCTTGCGATCTACCTTTGTACTGGAAGATACCTCTTTTCCTAGCTTCTGGCGGAGACACCAATGGAATCATTGAAATGAACGAATTTCTCGATTTCTGGAAAGAGTAAGTTCATTCTTTAACCCGTGTACGACTGAAAGTAAAACGTTAACGCTGAATTTATGTTGCAGATTGACAAATACGAATCACGACGCAGCCAGCAAATTTGTGCGCATCGTCACGAGAGGTCAGAGACCTCACATTTTACCGGCTGACTTGATACCTTTGATTCAGGACGTTGTTGAATCGCATCCGGGATTGACTTTCCTCAAAGAAGCAACCGAGTTTCATTCACGTTACGTGCATACGGTTAGTTCTATAATATTTTCTTAATTTTCATCCCAAGTAAAAACGTACATCTGCCAACTGAGCAATTACACGATAACGCCTTTGAGAAATCCAATTGAGTGCATGCAAAGATCAAATCAATGGTATAGATGCTTTGGCTAAAAATTTTAGAGTTTTTCATGTACACTCATAAACTTATGTCAAAATGCAACTTATTTATGCAACTTGTTATGCAATATATTGATTTGGTCTTTTAGTTAGTGAGATATTGTAAAACAAAAAGGTACTCGCCTGGTCCAGTCAGTTGCATTGCATTTTCGCAGCATGTGTTTAATTGCCGTTCTATATATCTCGATAATAAAATACCACCATAACATGGCGAAATTCAATTTGAAAAATAATGTCAAAATTTCTATTTTACTTGGAAATTAATTTTCATTTGAACAAAAATAATGCTGTCTGAATGTTCTTCAAATCAGAATAATATTTCAATAAACTTTCAGGTAATCGCTAGAATATTTTATTGCGTGAATAGAAGTTGGAGTGACAAAATCAGCGTTGCCGAGTTACGTCGAAGTAATTTACTATCGATAATAGCTGTTTTGGAACACGAGGAAGATATCAACCAAGTTACTGCTTACTTTAGTTACGAGCATTTCTACGTGATTTATTGTAAATTTTGGGAGCTTGATCGTGACCATGATCTTTTCATTGACAAAATGGATCTCACAAGGCACAACGATCATGGTATATTTTTTGGCTTACTTTGAATTTTTTCTCTAATAGTATTAAAAATTTGTAATTAATTTAAAATTTTAAAAAAAGAAAGAAAGAAAATTTATGACTGTTTAATAAGTTGAAAATTACATCATTATAATTCAATGGTTCACCTTTTTTTTTACTTTTTAGCTTTATCAACGCGTATGATTGAACGGATATTTAGCGGAGCAGTAACAAGGGGCGTTAAAAGCGCTAATGGTGTCCAGCATCCCGAGGACAAAATGAGCTATACCGAATTCGTTTGGTTTTTGTTAAGTGAAGAGGATAAAAATCATCCAACTGCAATAGAATATTGGTTTAGGTGCATGGATTTAGATGGAGATGGTTTACTTTCTATGTATGAATTGGAGTATTTCTACGAAGAGCAGTTACATAGGATGGAAGCTATCGGAATAGAAACGTTGCCCTTTGAAGACTGCCTATGTCAGGTTAGCATATTGCACAATACCAATGATGATTTATTTTGTCATTGTACATAGAAAGTTAAATTTGATATTTTTGAATGTCTTTAGATGCTGGATATGATCAAGCCCAAATCGCCTGGCAAAATATCACTGAGTGACTTAAAAAGGTGTAAAATGACATCAATATTTTTTGATACTTTCTTTAATCTCGAAAAATATCTTGATCACGAGCAAAGAGATCCATTTGCATCAGCTAGGGACCATGATGCGGAAGGTCACGAGGTAGCTTTCTTTTTTTGTTCTTTCATGCTATATGTTTCAGGAAAATATTTCAATAAATTAATTTTTTAAGCTATCCGATTGGGATCGCTTTGCGGCAGAAGAGTACGAACTTTTGGTAGCGGAAGAAAGTGGGAATGACCAAAATGATCGAACGTAAGTCTGAATAAATCTTAATAGTAATCATGTATTATCATGTGAAAGTCATAATTATCACGCGCTTATTCAGTTTTAACATAAAAATCAAATCTATTTTATCTTAACGCATCACTGATACTAATGAACTATTACATTTCAACTTTGTATGAATGTCTTCAGAATTAAAAATATATATCTGTTGCATATTTAATTTAGCTAGCTACTCGTTTTTTTCATAGACGCCTTTTGATTTCTTATTTCTCTTGACTGTATATTTGAAGATTTTTAAATTCTCCTTAGAATAACTTAAAAAATACATCTGAAGCATGTTGTACAGTACACTGAAGCCATGACATATCTCATTAAAGGCATAAGAAAGCTATTGTATAAATGAATTTATTCAACCGAAATTCAAGTTATCTCCTTGATTTGCTGATTCTGTAAAAAATGTATTCACATTGAAAACAAACATCTTTTGTGAATATTTTACATAATACTCATAAAACATTACTTTCAACTGCTTTATTTTTTTAATGAAGCATAAAGACAGCTCATGCTTTTCTTGACACGACTCGTATCAAATTGATTCTTTCAACAATTCATTACTCTTATCATCTTTATCATAAAATATTTCAACGATTTTTTTATAATAATGTTATGCGCGTTTGTTACAGGCTGTGTGATGATGAATAGAAACCATCATCTACAGCTAAGTAAGTAAATATAAATAATGCATGTAAACATTTTTAATTGTAAAAAAAAACATTATTGATTTTACGCATGACAATAAGTTGATCTTTAACTTTTCAAATTAACTAACTTTATTTCTTTAATAACATAGCTTTAAGTTTAGTTTGTTTGAGTAATCTTTTATTATACTCACGTGATAAAATAATAGGATCAATTTTGTTATTACTCTATTTCATTCACCAAGACCATTGGTACTGTTTCCGTTAAGTTGTACTTCCGTCTATAAATATTTTATGTGGAATTTTTACAGATTTGTTATTGATACTAATAATTATGTGTTTTGCACCTTGTTTGTTGTGTACTTGTGTTTCTAACGTAATATTGCAGGACTTCAAAGTCTGAGTAAGAGTGAGGGTTTTTTCGTACGTTGTTCTAAGATTCAAATTAAGAATCTTTAGATAAATATTAAGAGTTCAAATATACCTTTAAATCAAGATTTTAGTTTATGATTTTGCCCTACTTTTTTCTTTTTTAATACTATTTTCAAAATTGATAATTTTTGCTTTTTCTTAGAAGAGGCAACAGTTCTCAAGAGTAATTTTCCCTTAGATTTGAGTGTTAATTTTTTATTATTTTGCTTTTTATGGTAATTTTTATATTTTTACATTTGTTCTCTGATGTAACATTTACAAAAAAGTTTCAGTTACCGAGCCTAGATTTGGTACACTTATTTAAAACTTTGAACAAAATCAAAAATCCACAGTACGTGATTAAACCAACCAGGTTTGACCTTAATTAAATCAGTATTATACAACTACTTTTGTTTGAAAGAATTGATGATTGCACTCAAGCACTTTTACAGAGTGACCTATGGGCTCGATCACATACTTGGGTTTTTCGAACATTTCTGTTTGAAATTTTTCACTCATATCGTGGATTCAATATTCCGTCAAAAGTTCAAAAAATATACTTTCTTATACACTAAATTTAATCAATAACACTGTAAGATTAAAAATTTTAAGAATCGGTTTAATTCAATCATTTGGAAAAGCATACATCTTCCAAGATTTTTAAATTTAATTTAAAAAAAAAAAGTATAGTTCCAATAGTCAGTTCTTATTTTTTGTTTTTCAGGGTTTATGAGTCCGCAGTTGGAGATGTTTACTCGCCAAACTTAGACGTTTTAGTTGGTGAATCGGTCGATGATAATCAACTCAATATGATTTACTCACATAATGACTACAATCACGAGGGCCACAATTGCGCCAAACACCAACAACAGCTGGGCTCAAGTATAAAAGGTGGTCATTGCCTCAATAACGGTAGTAATACTAAAAATAATAACTGCAGCAGTACCAGTAGTAGTACTAGCAGCAGTACCAGTAGCAACAACTCGCACTGCGATAGTTGTGATAGCGATGATTACGCCGATAGTGACAACTGAATTTACGTCAAAATTTCTTTATAATATAGCGTTTTGAGTTTAATTGAATTTTATCTCGTACGACTAGACCAAATATATCAAATTTCCCAAGTTTACACGTAAACTAGCGGATGCTTGAGCTCTCGTGTAAATAGCAAATGCAATTTTTAATAACTTAGTAGTAACAAGTATTTGCAGTCATCCCTTACATTTTTTACGATTGTTAACAATTAAACGAAACCGAAATAAAGAAAAGCGTCAATTTATTCAAAAGATGTTAATATTTAAATAAAACCAACTAAGAACAACATATTAATTCCTCGTTAGATTTTCGTGTAAAAGCCAATTTATAATAGAGATTAAAAAAGTAACTCTTACTTTTTTCATACCAAATAATTAAAAAACTATGTTTTTAAAGAAAATATGGAAGTCTTGGTCTTCCAAAATCAATTTAGTCACATATTTTTGAGCTATTAAAGTTAATTTTAAAGCTCGCAATTGAAAATTATTGAACAGCTTTAAATTGCAATAAAAACTACGTTTCTACCGATGATATTTTAAAACTAAAAAGAGATTACAATTGTACATTTTTTCATTAAATTAGCAGTGCAAAACGGCTACTCACTTAAGAATGAATTTCAGTAGTTTCATTATGTGAATATTTAAAAGTTGAAAAAAGCATGTGTCAGTTTTAATTTACGAAAGAATTTGCATGGTTCCAGTTCCAACAAAAGTAAAAATCAAGTATTCGTGTACCGATTTTTAAAAACTCAAGTATATAATTAGTGAACATTTTACAAAATTTGAATATATGCATGCCATGCGATCAAAATTGAAAGAAAATTTATTCATCATCTATTCAAGTACATTGTTAAATCTTCATTAATTTCCATGACATGACCGCTTTTTCCATTAAAATTAGGAAAGATTCTTTTCTGTATAACGTAATATAATTGATGTATCACCAATGTATTACAATTATGGAAAATTTGATGTGAATATTTATTTTCTTTTAAAAGCTTGGCACAAAAGTTTTTTAAGTTTTTTATTACATAACATTGTTATAAGATTAATCTAGATTAATCTTTTTGAACTTTTATACAGAACAAGAAATTCTACGAATAGTTTCTCACAAATTTTTATATTTCCAAATGTATTTCTACTTCAATAGTATGGTTGTAAATAGTGAAGAAGAATTGAATGCTATAAATCCTGCCGCGTATTTCTGGCAGTAATTTATCGCAAATCCTTGCCATACGAGACTAATTTTTCTTAAAAATAATCGTAGATTTTTTAGTTGCCAAGACTGCTAAAATTGTACATATAAAAAATGTTAGTAAAATAAATGTATAGTTTTATTTTTATTCTATTCGGAACGTATTGAAATGCGCGCGTTCATACTAAAAAAATTAATCTAGTACCTAAAAATACCTAATGATAATGATAAAAATAATAGTAGTAATAATAATAATANAATAATAATAATAATAATAGTAATAAATAAATATTAATATTAAAAATAACAATAATATAAAAAATAATAATAATATTAATAATAATATTCTAGTCCAACGCGTGCTGTTGTGTATTTTTATTGAAAATTTATCAAATGCAAAAGTATAAATGTTAGTTTGATAGGTTTTTGATGATTATCCTTATTTAGTTTGTAGAAAAGCAAAAAGTTTTAACATTATTGTTATAATAATGCTATATATGCACGATGTCTACAAATATATTGGTATTTATATTATATGAAAAAAATTATCCGAATAGATGTTAATTTACTAAATTAACTTGAAAGGCGCCGGAGTGGTGCTTCATTCTATAAATTCATAGCTGAACTTGCGAGTCACTGTATGAAAAAGTTGCGTGATTCCAAAAAGTAATTCATGACAAAATGTATAATACTACTGGTGTATTTTCATATTGTATTATTTTTTCTTTTTATAATGCATATTGTGAACATCATTTGAAAGAGATTTGTTGACGTAATAATCACACAAATATGTGTACGAGTACAGTAATAAAAATAAAAAACATGCTGTGTTGTTTTGTTGATTATCCAAAGATGTGTTATATTGTAAAAAAACGAAGAATAAAGAAAACTTGATACATGGTTTGGTACCATATGAAAAAATTCATTTTGTTGCATAACTTTTTGAAATATGACCGTTATGTTTAAGTCCTCAATTATTACGCGTTCATAATAATTGATCATTGCATTTGATGTTTTGACTTGTTGTATATTTATTGATTACTCTATACGATAGGTTTATTACCATTGTTCGAATGTTTCAGAGTAATAATTATTTCTTGAACAAGTTATTTTCGATTTTTGATATAATGCGTTGAGTTTGATGCAGTATCAAAAAAAAAAGACGTTAAAACTTAAAATTATATATCGGGTAAGAAGTGCTTGATGTATTATAATTACAATTATTTACACCACTAGTGTTTGAATATGCAACAATTAATTTGTAATACATTTTTGCGTGTTCATTATTCAAACCTAATGCATATATATGTATGTTTATTTATGAAAGAAGAAAACATAGATACATATATTGTGTATGTGCGCTCACATATACGTGTTTTGTTAAATGTGCATGAATAGATAACAAATAAAATGTAAAAGTCAAATCGAAAAGAGTTCCATTCAAAGAGAAATAAAGAAATGCATCCGTCGAAAATTGCCTTTTACTCGCAGATCTTTATTCGCTTTTTTCTGTCTTTTTCTCGTGGATTATATAGGAAGAGCGCGTCACTCGAAGATATTAATTCAAATATGCAAAAGACAATTTGCGAGTGAGGATTTAATCAAGTATTTATAAATATATGTATCTGCAAATCAGTGAAACGCCTTAATTTTTCAAATACCATGCACTACATCGATGTAAGTGACGATACATGCTTTGATTATTTATCTTAATAAATCTTACATAATCCAAGAAAATCTAAATTATTTCTTTCCTCAGATGTACCCGGTAAAATTAGTTTCTGCACGGATTTTTTGTTGCGAGTTTTTAATGTGAATTTTATTGTCAGCGAATGATCAAAATTAATTATTGGCTTTTTATATTAATTTCATAAAGTGAGTTCAAAATACCGATGATTTTATTAAAAATTTTAGTTTCATTAATTTATTAGATTTATCAGTTAAAGGACCACGAATAATCAATGATCCCATTGATGACAAGTTTTTACTTTAAATCATTGAGAATCCTCTGCCCGCGACAATGCCTATACAGTTGCCTGTTGCACCGCGACTGCACATTTTTGACTGCGGAGATTCTTGATTGCATGTAACTGTGCCCGATAGCAGACAGGTCAGCACACTGCGCACCAGAATACAAAGTACAAACACGACCGTGGTGGAAACCTGTGTACTGTGTAGATGGACGGACGTCGACCTGCGCAAAGATAATCGGAGAATCGTAAACCTTGCGATTTGCGAATGTCAGTCCGATAGAATTGGAAATGTGTAAAACTGATAAACATCAATCATGGAACCGGCTTCAAAGTACTTAAAACTTAACTCTCCTCCTAACCTCAAGGAAGTTGGAAACCAAAATAAAGATGAACAAAAACCAGTTATATTAACTTATGATGTATTACGAATAATATTTCGATTCTTGAGTACTCGGGATTTGTGCAGTGTTGTCTCTACCTGCAGGTGACGCATTCAAAAAATTAATGCCATATCAAAATCAAGGCAAAAGCTGAAACATTTTCGAATACGTTTTTTGAGGATTCATACAGAAAAATGAAACAATAAAAACTTTAATTTTTTTAATGAAAGACATTTTTTTTAAATCTGATGAATCGTACTTGAAAATTTTCGTTTTAGCCTACATTTTACATCTTTTTTAATTAAAAAATCAACAAGTGATAACAACTTAAATAATTTTTTTTCATCAGGTTATGGAGAGATGCTGCTAATGATGAAGCAATCATAAGAAACAATCCTGAAGTTTCACTGATGCATGTCAATCATTTTCATAGATCAAACAAAATAAATGTAAATAATCTATATGACGCAAAATCCATAGGTACTGATTTGCGAATTAGGCCATGTATTGGATTGATTTTTTCTAAAGTTCAAGAAGAAAATGAATGGACTCCTGATGGTACAATTTATCAAAATTTTCCTCATCACACCTATTATTTTTAAATTATGTAATAAACAAATAATTTGTGTGGCTTTAGGTTGTTATTGTCAAAATTTACCAACAAACAGTGATGTGATTTCAATTGGAGGATATGACATTGTAGAAAATGAAACAAAGATCTCATCAGAAATGGGATTGAGTGTAGGTGTTTTTTTACCCAAATTTGAAAAATTAGAAAAACATATTTATCAATTAGATGAAAGTAGATTATTGTTATCCAACTTTGAAAATCATTTAGATCTTATTGTACACAACTTATTACCAAGAGAAGATGAAAAATCTAAATGTATCATAATTTTAGAAACATCAGATGGTTATGATGTAAGTCAGACTGTGATGAACAAACTAAAAAAGAGGCAAGTTACTGATATTAAAATACAAATTTTGAAACTTCTTAAATAATTTTTAACAAAATTATTAACTTTTACAGTTACAAGCCTGGTAGTATTGCTCTCTGGGGTGGAATATGTGTAGGGATGAATTTGTGCCAAGTAAACAAAACTTCAGTATGCAAAAAAAAACCTTTGTGGACTGCAATTTCATTAAGCAGTCCAACTTTACAATCTTATTCTATTGTATTGAAAAATAATTGCTGCAAAGAGCATCTGATGAGAGAAAAGTTAGAAAATTTTAAAACTAATATTCAACTGAAAAAATATTCTGTGGCTTTTATGTTTGCATGCTGTGCACGTTTGGATATGAAAGATACAGAAGTGACTGTTTTTAAAAGTATATTTCCTAATGTTCCACTTGTGGGTCTTCATGGTGATGGAGAGAATGGCTTGGACACATTAAATAAAAGTAGGTTTATTTCGTTTTTTAAATGTCATTAAATTTTGATTCCAATCAATTTTATCCCTTTCATCATTCAATTTCAGAAAGAGAAAAGAGCTTAAAGCACGGATATTCCACAGTATTTATGATTTTAACATACGAATAAGAAAGCCTTGGACGTGCATTTTTCTACGATTCATCTTTGTTATGTGAACGAAAATGAAGGTCAATATTTAAACTTGAGATTCGAATTTTCTATCTATAGCTATTTTTCGTGACTTTGTACGTTTGAAGAATGTAAATGAATAAAAATAACGTATGAGTCTATTTAATACAATCATTTCAATCGCAGAACGGAAGTAAGTGATGCGCGATTTTGTGCGTATCTATGTAAACCAGTGGTATGAAAAGCCATATCTAGTTAATTACGTTAACGCATGATAATTTTTACGTACGTGCATTCGTTTCACATTGTTAAACAGATAACAAATACCAATTTTAATACTGTTAGTAAACTAAACAAGTCGAATCTAAATCGGTTGACTGGAAACGTCTAATAATTTATATAAAAGGAAGCGGGTTCGGTTAAAAAGATTTAGTTGCGCGCTTGTTTTTGAATGTAATTTAAAACTAACAAAATTTCATAATTGATCGTGATAGTTTGTATTCACGAAACATTCATTGAGAATTTGTTATATGAGATACCTCAAAGTTAAATAAAATTCAAATTATGATCATTAGCTGATTTACCATCACTCTAGTTCTGTTTTTTATCAATCATTTCTTCCTTTAGAGCTGCATCAAAATTTTTGAGCATTTATGAACTAGATTTTCAAATTATTTGAAAGAGAGAAAGAAATTCAAACTTTTTTAAAAATTGAATTTACTTTACCACGAAAAATGTTACGACTAACGATTACTTTGTACATTTTGAAATTGAGTATAGCGTGGGATAATGGTCTACGTGATAAATACGACAGTTATGGAGAAGATTGGATTTTTATGCCTGACGGTAACGGCCATCCTCAAGTTGCAGTATTGAAGGGTCATGAAGAACCACCAAAAGATTTTATATCCATTTTTGCAAAGCCAATAACTTTTCTACTATACACTCGGTATGAAATAATCAAGTTCGTTGAAATGTAAAATTGTTAACATTAATCGAGGTACAAACAAGTATGAAGTTCATCGTGTCAATCGCGTACTAAACACGCGTTGAAACTCCAATACAGTAACTAAATAATTAACATTGTATATTTAAATGCAGATATAATCCAGATCAGCCAATATTACTTGATTTGAACGATACAGAAACTCTGAAAAAGTCACCTTTCTCTTCAAAAGTACCGACAAAATTCATAACTCATGGTTGGAAGTCGAGTGCCTTCAGTGCAAGCGTGGTGAATATTAAACAAGGTAATTTAGTGGGCATTTTATATTTAAAGCATTAACAAATCTTTTTATTCACTGCTACCCTTATTCTTTATTTCAATTGACTGAAAATTATTGCGCCAATGTTAGTACAAGAATATAATTGTTTAAATGTTTCTTAGGTCTCTGCACTGCTTTTTTAAAGTAAATAATGCAATAGCGAAAATTGAAAATTTTTAGACTCAACTTATGAGATTTGTATTGAACACCTTTCGAAATGGCATAAACTTCCGAAAAAAAGAAATTCGTATTATTTTTTTAAAAGTATAGACTAAAAAGCATTTCATAAAATGCTTTTAAAAGTTTTTATTTGTACGCCAACGACATTCCCTTTATCTAATTTTTTATCTTAATTTTTTTACAGAATATTTAAAACATGGCAACTACAATGTTTTTATCGTCAATTGGGAGCCTATGGCAGCGAGTACATTTTATTTGGGCCCTATGCATAATACGGCCAAAGTAGGCGCTTTTACAGCCGAGTTCATTGATTTTCTACATCGCGAAACTGCTTTAACTGCCGATAGCATCCACTTTATCGGTATGTACTGCATTGCGTGTGTTTGAGCACATCAAGTTTTTTGAAAACTTTGTACTGATTATCTGTCGCACTCAATTTTGTACAATCGTTCATTTAAACGTGTACTTGTTTTTAAACCAGTTCAGTTTTTCAAGAAATTGAAAACTTTCAAAATATTGCGTATTACTATCCTGTCACCGAAACGATAATTTCTAATCATTGTATCGAAAATATTTTTTTCTAATTAATAGATGCGCTAGTTTTTCATATTTTTAATCTATGAAAAATATAGATAGTGAAGGATTAGACCATTTTGCTTACAGGTCATTCATTAGGAGCTCATGTTGGAGGCAATACTGGTGAAAATGTAAAACATGGTAAATTAGGACGCTTAACTGGACTAGATCCCGCTCTACCAGGCTTTCATTTATTCCAAACAGACAAAGGTAGATTATCACCTGATGACGCTAAATTCGTTGACATTATTCATTCATGTGGAGGAGTTCTTGGATACATGCAACCACTTGGAAATATTGATTTTTATCCAAATGCTGGTGTTGCTGTTCAACCTGGATGCTGTTGCATACCAGAAATCATTGGTACATACTTAAATCTTTTCTTCTAAATCAAATATTTTGAAAAGTACAAATTTACTGATGATGTGATAATTTATTTTGTAGAAGCTTGTAGTCATGGAAGGTCATATCAATATTTCGCAGAAAGTATTAACTCAAAATATGGCTTGAGAGCTCTTAAATGTAAAAATTGGGATGAATATCAGCAGGGACATTGTGATAATGCATCCACAACTTTATTGGGAGAACATGTTGATAAATCAGCAAAAGGATCTTATTTTTTACGAACAAGATCTGAGCCTCCGTATGCCTTTATTGATGAAAATGATAATAATAATCTAAGATAAGCCTTCAAAGAGAAAAAAATTTTCTCTATTTTGTTTACAATCCAAAAAATTATATTTTAGTCTCTATCAAAAAATTGGTTTTTATGATTTCATATTAATATTTCAATAAAGTATACATACATAAAATATATTACAATCACATTTACTATTCAATAATTTAGCTGTCATCAATTATTGTTTAACATTTATGGCATAACTTTACTTCATCTAATTGGTGGGTAGCTTTCATATGACTTCATGGCAATATTTCTTTATCATTGTCATATTTTCATAATTTTTTTGTAACTAGTCATGATTTCAGTTACTTCCCATCAAATAGGCTTGTAAAGTAGGGTTGTAACATATTTTTTACGATAACGATGAGTTGCAGAGAGCACCATTACACTATCCTTAATACTAAGGGCATAGAGGTGATTTAACATCACATGATTTGGTTCAGGTAAAAGAGTTGGTTCACACTGTAAGTAAAATAAATTTTGTATTATAATGCATAGACTACTCTGATAATAATGTTTCCAGAATGTAACTGTACCGATAGCGGTGTATCTTTGTTAAGAATAACTTGCAACAAATGAGGAGGTAAGATTGGAGGACCTGAGACTTTTTCCCATGGTTTATTAGTAGGTATTTCTTGACCATAATCAGCTTGGGCATTGCTTATTCCTCCTTCGCTGTCTTTTGCTAGTGCTTGGAAAACTTCAAAATCAGATTGCTTTACAGATACACAATTACTTTTAGATCCCATACCATTGTCAACAACTTTCTGTAATCAACAACAAGAAGTTTTATGATCCGTTATCAAACTCTTTTATTTACAGCGTAAACCATAATATAGAAAGAAAAATTAATTAAATTGATATTTACTAAAGAAGGATCATGTCTCCACTCGCCGTCAACATAAAATTTGTATTGATGTTCACCTTCTGGTAAATCAATAATGGTTACAAAATCTCCATGACTTTTGACCATTGGCAATGTTTTCCACTCATTAAATGTGCCACTTATAAATACTTGTTTGCCACCACCTTCCCATTTGAAAACAGTTGGCAAAGTCTTTTTGTCTTGTTGAGTTGTACCCTCAGAAACTGTATTAGATCGGGGACGTGCTCCATGGAAATTAATTTCTTCTTTCACATCAGCTTGCTTGAATTATAACGTTAAACATAATTCATTTTAATTAATATTTTTTACTGTAATAACCCTTTTGGAGTTGATTAATAAAAAAATTTTTTTCTAGACTGAATTAGTTTTGTACCAAATTATTAGAGCTTTATTAAAATTCATAAAACTGTACCTTTGAAGTACTAGGCTCATCCTCATCATTTGAAGACTGGAAGACAAGTGGTTTTTGAGCAAATGTGAATTCTGCTCGTCCAGAACTCGAATCCTTCAGTGAATATGAAAGTGTAGGACGTTCTTTACTAGGTCGATGAAGAGCTTCGCGATGAGGAACACCACCACTACCGTGGGAATTTATATTGCTGCCTGCATTGCCCATCCTTCAACTTCTTTCAAAGGATGGATGACCTAACAAAAAGCATGATATTTCTAATCATAAGAATTCAAAATTTTACAAATTAATGTTATAGTTTCAAAAAAATTGATGTTATTTGATGATCTATTTACATGACATTAAATTGTAAATGAATATGATAAAATGTCAACATGAAATTTATAATGCATATAAAATTAATATCAGTATGAAGATTTTTTCATAATGTTTTATAATTCAAAGATAATTAGACTTTTACTTATTGACTGAAATTGATATTCCACTTTTGTACAGAAGATAAACAGTTAACCCAGTATCTGTTAAAATTTTGATGGTCAGATTGTTTATATGATGTTTCTACTCGGTAATCGCTATTAAAACTTGGTTTAGATAAAAGTGATATTAATGCTTTCACAGGATTTTAATTTATAGTCAACATTTTTTATTGAATCAAAACTCATAATCAACATCTTTCAATGATAAAATGTTGCGTGAAATAGGTTATCTTTAATTTTTTAAATAATTGAATCTTAATTTTATTATTAAAATGATGCTTTAGTCGTAATTTCAGTAAAAAAAAGTATCATCTCATGTGTGAGAATGTCAACACTATTTAATTGTATAGTTTTGAGTGAAAAATTACTATTAAGTGAAGAGGATTCAAAACATTTTGTTATAATATGTTAAGAGTTTCAATGATTGACGGTCTTATCAACAAACTTCTAGTATCAATAATATCATGTATTATTTCAAGAGATTCTTACATAAAAAAGGTATACTATGCAGTCTATGCACTATATCGACGCAATTGAAGAAAACTGGCACATTTACATTAAAAAATGTACAGAAACGTGCTTCTGTTTAATATATGTAAAAGTCGAGTAAACAATTCGTGGCAGCTTACAAAAAATATACAAAAGAAGCACCAACTGAATTCTTTGAAAAAGCTCAAGTCAAACAGTTATAACAATGAAAATAATTTCTCGCAATATTCAAGCTTTAATCGCTGTCATTTAAGCAGACGGAAACTCAGAATATTGAATTATTGAATAATTCTATCTGCACATAAATAGGTATCTTAGAATCATACTATTAAACATCGATACACAATGAAATGCATAATATAGGATTCAACTCTACACACAATTCTACTACTTATTATGCATACACGTAAAAACAAACCCGATCACGAAACTAAAGAGTAGGAAATAATGTTCTGCTAATACACAGCTGATTTTTGAAAAGAAGAGCTGCGAACTTTAGAAAAAATCAGAGTTAAGCTTGATAGCTGTAACTAAGGAGTATTATATGATTTTTTAGCTTGTATTTGATTCCTGTTTTCATAACAAATAGTAGTTCTTACTTTTATAATTTTTCATAACATTTTTACGAATTTATAATGAATAATATTAAAACTATATAGGCACTTACTAACAGTTGTAGTGCATTAAAATATTCGAGTTTGCGTGAATATAAAGCGATAGCACTGATTTAATAATTACAATAATTTTAAATTATTTTATTATTTATTTTTATTCAAAAAATTGATGTAAAGCTTTTGGGTATAAAGCACCAAATAAAAATAAGTGGTTTTAACGTAACAAATCCTACATTGCAATTCTTGGCGACCAGTATCGACCCAACTTTAAATGAAAAAATGTTTTATCGTCACATAATCCTTTTTTTAATTAACAAAATATATTAGTGACCGAAAAATAGATTCTGATGTATAATAAGTGTGTGATGTAGTAAGGTAGCTGTAGAGAGGGAAGTCCATTAATAAGCTCATCAGCGACGAGCTTTGGAAGTCACCGCCAGATGTCATAATCCATACCAAAAGTAAAAAAAATTAAGTTGGACCCACGGTAGTCCAGGCACCAGAGAGATTGGAGTTCGATTCCTGGCCCCGTCTCCCATAAAAAATACAATATACAGGTCGAGAGCTTTTGAATAGAAACTTTCGATAACATTTAATTGTAGTGAGCGTAGCAATGTATTGCCATTTATGATCCCAACAAAACAACCATTAATTTTCAAGAAGTTTCGGTGGTACACATCTCAGTTTCCTTGCATCTATTTTTTTTAATTTTAGCTGGAATTTAGCTGGATTTTTATGATAGAATTTTCAGCACGGATTTTCAGGGGAGATTTTTGGACTATATTCTTTGGCTGAATTTTTTGAATGGATTTTTTGTCTGGATTCTTAACTAGAATTCACTAAATTCGCCTAATATTATGTATCTATTTGATATGCGTTTGCAGTAGAAAATTTTCTCCAAGATCACAAAGCATCTATGTCAAGTCGTCTTTGAGGGATGTGGTTTCCCTGAAGAGCACTGTATGACACAATTGAGTTTCTAGGCTGAGATTCGTGGGAAGAGCTGTGGGGAATTCATCACCTGTTGAGCGACAAAACAACAGTCACGCAATGCAACGGCTGCTAGTTGTGGCGCAACCTGCAAACCAAGTTTTAAAGGGACTAAATTGAAATTGGTATCAAACTACATTGTCGGCTTTGGTGGATCTCTTCTGAAAGAGACTCCGAACAAAAAAAAATCAAGACGATATGAGGAAGTGAAAAAATGTTTTTTGTAACACCGTGTAATGGGGATGTCTAACTAAAATCACGGTTTATATAGACTTATGCACCGAGGCCGGACTATTTTTGGAAGGTAATCAAGTAGCTCGTAGTATAGTGAAGAACTTTATAGTTTAGATTGAAAAAAAACACGCACACACAATTTCTACTTTTTTTGTTGAGAAGAAAGGTAATTGCTAATGAATATTATTAATAAAATTGAGAAATTCAGAATTTTTCAAAAAAGTAATCAGTTATTATTCTAGTGAAGCTTAAAGAATTGAAAATTGGATTTTAGAGAATTATTTGATTCACAAATTTTACTCAAGTTTAAGGAGTTTAATCGTTTTATTTCTGCAATGTGCTTTTTCGAATATCAATACATGTTTTAAGATTTTAATCATTTTCATTTACAAGCATTTCATGGAAATAAATTACAACTTGTAAATTTGTATCTATATTCTATCTAATAATCTATATCATTAAGTTTTGAACCATGATGCTTATATTTTTAATAAAAGATTTTTATCACTCTACAATTAATCTCATTTAATTACAATTTTTTCGTTTCTTTGTTATTTCATACATATTCATTTTAAATATTTTCAAATTTCATTATTTTGAACTATAATTCAAATTTAAACAAGTTGGGTTTCTTTTTTTTGTTTTTATAACAATTATGAAACCAAGGTAAAAGTAGAAATTTTCAAGCTTGTTTCTAATATTTTTTCAGAATACTTTTTCACGTGGCTGCATAAAGACTTTTATTTTTTCATTATACTCATAGCAAAAGTACATTTACTACGCTTGAATATATCAATTATCATTTCCGATTCTTTTATACTATGGTATATTTTTGGCAAAAGTAGATTAACCATGGATGTGGCAGCATTTCTGGTGAAGATATATTTACCCTTAGTATTTATGGCATGCTTTTTAATTTATTCGTCATTATATTCAGGCAAGAAGTATACATTGCCGCTTATAATCGACAATAGTAGCTCATAGATCATCATAGATTCGTGGTACTATTTTTTTCCAACGCTACGAGGTTGAAGTAACAAGTCTTTGAATTTTGTGATTGTTCTGTTATATCTATACTGTATCTATAATGATCTAGAATAAGTAATCCATATACTCTTGCTGAAATAGTGTGCTTCATGGCCTGCGTGCCATGAGCGTCCTTGTAAAGTACGTTTGTGATCCATAAAGTCCATTTATGCTTTGTTACTGGTTTGGAGACTCTTGGAAGAGTATTTAGTACAAGTCTCAAATCAGAAAAGTTATGAAAATTTTAATTTTTACTTTGGCCTTGGTATCCTTTTCAGTTCGTTTTTTGATTGTACAAAATTAAAATATACGATTGTTATTTAATTTAAATTATTATATGAATAAAAATGATAATTGCTTTTTTTTATACGATCTTTCTGAGTAATGTATCGTTAATCAAAACGAATAATTTGAATATTTGTAAAATCTGTAACAATTGGAACTAGCCATTTCATTTAAATTCGGTTTTCTTCTTCTTCTTCTTCATCATTTTCATTATCTTCAATATTTTCTTCTGATTCTTCTTTATATCCAGGGTGTTCTGAAATGGCATAATAGTTTCCATTATAAATTACGCCGAGTTCTCGGAGTATTTCACCTCTTATAACTGCTTTAATTGTCCAATTGTAACAATCTTCACTTTCACTTTCTCTTTCAAGTTTTTCAACGTCTAAAATTTTTGAACTGAGACGTTCAAGAATAATACCTATATCTTTGATTGTCAAGTGATGCTTTTGATCAACAGTTAATTGATCGATTAGCAATAAAAATTTCTCTGATGTAACAATTTCATCTTCCATTATGGTATTATCGGTTTCTGATTCTGAGCTTTCTGGTTGATCTACGACTTTGTTATGTTTTTGATTCATTGAATATACGTTCGGATGTAATTCTTCATCAGATAATGTATCGCGAAATCTTACATGAGCTTTCATCATTCCTTGCCTGCGAGTTCCGTCAGATAATGAGCTCATTGGCTGAGGAGAAGTCGTCGGAATAAAGTGATGAGGGTTTTGAATTTGAGGATCTTGAATAGGCGAAGTTGCAACTGATTTATGTACTGCAATGCGACGTCCTTCTTCGTGAAGAGCACAGCAATGAAAATCACATTCGATGCTATTGGCATTATTTGTCGGGCTGCCTACTCGTACAATAGGTTGATGAATATGGTTGGAACATTCGGCATTATGAATGTGAATGGTTGCACTGTCGATTGAACTTGTTCCTTGTCTAATAAGTTGTCCATGTTGATGGCTTGGAACATAGGAACTTTCACTCGAGCTCATACAATTTCGATGAATAATATCATCGTGATTTATAACAGTAATTTGAGGACTGCTTCTATGAGATCCAGATCCTATAATATCTGAACAAGTTGGTGATTTGTTATTGTAATTAAATTTGTCTAAGCTTGTTTGCAGCATCAACGAAGGCCGATAACTTGTACTGTAATCAGTCTTTGCTGATGAAGCGTATTTGGAAAGTTGACTGCAATCATTTGTTTTCGTTGTTGATTGCGTTGATGTGGTAAGTCTTTGGTCCCAATGTAATACGACAGTGACTCGACCTTTATTATCCATGATTTTCCAAGATGGTGTTTCATCGTGTAATTCCAATGCGTAAATTGTTTCGCAGACGATTTTTGGAATAGCTGAAATAGCTGAATATGAAGAGATGAGTAAAAAATCATTTTTTACAATAAAAATTGCTTATATTACATCATGTACCCTGCATTTTTTGCACGCTAGTATACAAAATGCAAAGAACATAATTGCATTAACCTTTAGAGGGTGGAGATCTTATAGTTCGTTTTGATTTTCAATTTTCACCACAATTCATAATTCAATCTACAATTAGAGACTAGATTTACGATCCCCACCTGACAGGTTGTTCATACATGGACTTGTCCTGTCTTTTAAAGATACAATGACATACCAGCACGTATGACGTCAACTCCTGTTGGGCTCCACCTTTCCCCATTTCGCAATAGAAGCAAAACGGTGTTATTTGACAAAGTTTTGAAGTAATCACAATCATCTACTTGCGTTCCATCAGATTCCAGGACCAACGATACTTTTTCATTTGAAGTCAATCCCAGCTTTTCCTTTCCTGAAAACTCAATGTACGTTAAGTTTTCATGATATATTATCAAAATCAAGTACATTCCTGACAAAAAATGCAACAAAATAGTCACAAGTTTAAAATTGCAGAAAAATGTGTACCCTCTCTAATAATAAATTAGTTAGTTAAGTATGTACGTCGATTGGAAATAAAATTATAACACCGAATGAGAAACAATGCGGTTTCGGCCTACCTTTCAAAATGAGTTCTTCATAGTTTCCTACTACTAGACCTTTTCGTACGTTCCTCCAACTGTCCCATACCTTGAATGGTCGCTTGACTTTTGAGTCCTGAAAAGTAAAAAATGTATTTTAAATTAAATGTTTTGTTGACGATTTTAAAAATTTTTAATGATTAGTAGCATATTATAAAGCTTGGCTTAATTATCAATCCGTCACAGAGCTCTTGATCTAGTACTTCAAATTTTACAAATTACAAATGATAGTTCTATCGCTTCATTATCATATGCATTTATCACCTTTGTAAATAACTACAGAGTTATCGAATTCAGGAAAAAATTAAAATTTTCCAATGCGCCTTCTGAAAATTCCACTTCATATTTTTCTGAAAAGTTAAGTGGATTTTATAGAAACAAATAAAATGAAGACATGCGTGTAGTTAACGTACACCCGTTCTATATAATTATTTAGTGAAAATCTCAAAAGATGTGTTCGAAAATAAAAATGTTAGCCTACAGACTTGGTCTCTCGTTGAAATAATTATTTGACCTAATTAGATTATCTGCTTTGATCAAGGTAGTAGACTACAAGGGACAAGCATGTGGGTACCCTTTTACAAGCACGATACGATTTTTTTTCGTAATTATTTATAAGAAAGAAAATAACATAAAAGTTTAATCAATAGTGAAGAATAAGTGAAGAACATGTCGTTACTTTAACTCAACAAAGTACATTATTGAAAGTGTGTTGAATGCTTCAATAAACGCAGATATTCAATTTATTGGAGCGTTAGTAACGACTCAGTGTTGACATGTTGCTTGCGTTTAGAGATTTTTGCTACACTATCCCTGAGATGCTTGTTTGCCTATGCATTGAAAAAGCAGCTTTCCGAAAATTGAAAGTTTTTTCATTTGATTTTAAGATGCCTTATCAATAGATAAGAGTAGGATCCGAATTCAGGCGCTTTACTTTTATCTAGTCTGTACAAATGTCATAAATACACGTGGTAGTTCTTTTTTACGTTTAAAAATTAATTTGCCAAATTATTAAAAAGAAAAAATTATGTGGCACTGTGTGAAAATACAATCATATGTATGTCGCGATAATAATATCATTCAATTGCACCAAAACGTGCTACGTATATTTCGGAACAAGCAGCATAAACCTGAACTTAGCACAGGCTATGGAAAGCCTATTTTCGGCACAACTTTCAACGCTGTGTCCTAAAAAAATCTACCCAAGACCCTGGTATAGTTAATCATTCGGGGCGCGACACGCGCTCCTTGATCATAACTAACGTGCGAGAAAAATATAGGGCATACTTTAAGATTTAATTTAATTTTTTTTTTCTAATATTTCTTTTCTAGTGACTAATTATTTTCTGAACGTTATCTATAAAAAATTATAAAACATTTATTTTATTAACTTAAACTGTTGTCCATTAGGTGTAAATAGGATATTAAGTCTCACATTCGTACATAAATGAATAACTCAAGCGATAGAGTGAAAGAAAAATACCAGGCCATTTTTCATTCACGTAGTATTCAATTAAAAATATGAAAGATAATTTTTAAATAAAAATGATTTCGGATAATTTTCTTTTGAGAAACATCGTTGTCTCACTTTCCAAGTGATACGCCCATTTGCAGCTTGTTTGACGAATTTATCGATGTTTCAGATCAATTTTTATGGTATTTGGATAATTTCAACAAAGTTTTAGAAACTCTTTTTAAAGGGTTTTTATTCTTTATGCAAAATTTGAACACTCAATTGTAAAACTTAACAAATTAAACTAAGTTTTTAATAGCTTTAATATAACGTTTTTACAAGCTTATCAGATTTCATTGTAAGTAAAAATTTTATTGGGGGATTTTTAATACATTTTCACAAGTCCATTGCAATGAGTTTTGGTAACGTAAAATACCAGTTTTATAAAAGCAAGTCATGAATATAACGAGTACCAGATAATCAAATCACTGAAAGTAAAACTTGTAGGTTATTTTTACACAAATTTTTTTATGTGCTAATATTTTCAATTATTGTATTTGTCGAGGTATTCATTACTATGAAGTTTCATGTTTAAATTTTTCCGGAAATTGTACTGAAAATTGATCCATTTCAGAACAAAAAGAAGCACGTTAAGAAATATCTTAAAAAATATTTGCAACATTGGTCAAAATTGTACAAATAGCAGATACTCAATTTTATAAATACATCCTCATTTTTTCAAAAAGTATAACGATAAAAAATGTTTTATGAGCTATTCACAATAATTTTGCATAATTTTATTAATTCATTTTTAAACGTCCCATTTCCAATTATTCGCAAAAATATTCGAAGTTTATTTAATATTTAAGTTAAACTCTTCATATTTTTTTTATAAGCAAATAAAAATAGATGAAACCACTAAATCAAATAGAAATGAGGTGAGTCAAATAGTATAACATTACCTTATTCGCCATTATTACATTGTATGACTGGAGAAACTACTTCATTTTAAACTAAAATATTGGATGACATTCAATTGATTACAATAATTTGCGAATGAAATATATTTATTTCAACATTCCATTTCTTTTCTGTGTTGATAAACTCAAGAAAAAACTGAATTTTTGTAATGGAGGTCTAGATCGGTTACTGCGGCGACTCCTAGATAATTATATCGATTCATTCAGAAAGGGACAGACCAAACGAAAGGAGGGAAAGAGATAGAAGGTAGAAAATGGGTTGCACGCATGACGATCACGATGTATAAAAACGTGTTTAAAATTATTAAAAATTTAATCGAAATATTTACATATATCTTATATTTTCGTCAAAAATCATTATACTTAGTTTAAAATATATTTTAAAAATATTGGAACGCCATTGAATGCACTAAACTTTTATGAAAGATACATGATAATTTTTATTGCATTTATTACATTTTAGTATGAAACTTTCAACATTATTACATTGAATTTTACACATTATATTTTTTATATTTATTTTTTAATTTCTTTAATTATAGTTATACGTTTGTTAACTTTTTCCACTGTAAAATAAATTAATAAATTAACTTAGTTATTCGTTATTATAAATTTTGCTGAAGAATATGTAGTTATAAATTTTTTGAATGATAAAGTTATTTGTTTTTCTTGACGTTTTATTGACCATTATTACAAATATTAAAATATTGCAGTATACATACAAGTAAATCTGGCGTACAATAGGTTAATGATTCAAGAATTAATTTTTTTTTACACTTCTAAAACTTTCATATTATTTAAAATCTTTAAAATATTATTCTATTGTTTAAATTACCAACTATATAATTGACGGATTTATGATTTAGTTATTATTAGAATGTTCGTAGTTTTTTTTCAATTTTATTAATTAAATTAATGAATTTTAAAGAAACTTAAAAAATATATAATACAAAAAATAATATATTTTAAGTGGTAAATATTTGATCATACGTTACTATTTTTATTCGTTTATATCACTGATCACCTCATATTATAATAACCACGAACTTAACTTAACTAGTTTCTTCTATTTTTCTTTTATTGTTTTATTCAATATATTCTAGAGGGCCACCCCCCTCCACCTCCCACCCCTCAATTTAAATAGTTTAATCACAATTGTGAAATAATGAATTTTTATTTTATACTATTTTTCATTTTCATCAATTTCTTATTTGTGAAGATGTGAACGCCCCCCCCCCTCTGCTCGCTGTACCCCTAGGCCCATATTCTAATTACAAATAAAAGAATTTTTAATGATATATTTTTTCCAATTTTCAATTTTCAATAGTTATCAATTATCTTCAGTTTCCCATCTATTTTCTTAATTTATTATTTCTGAAAATGTGAGCTCCATTCCTGCAATAGTTCTTGAGAATTACAAGGATGTAAATTTTCATTTTGATTGGGCGGGAGGCGTTAAATTGATTTTCAAAGACCCTTCCCAGTTAAAAATAGTTGCATGTATATCCACGTGGAAATCCACGAGAATTAGTTATCCATGTGGATCGTACAGGGATTCCGCGAGGATCGATCATGGTTTGTTCCACTGATCCACGTTGATTTTTTTTCAATCCTCGTGGATTTTGGACTTGTTCGCGAGCACGTGCTCGAAAAATCCGCGAGGTTTCGTCGGTGAATCACCGCGGATTTTCAACTGATCCGCAAGGATAATCCACGTGGACATCAACGCAATTTTTTTCAACTTTATGTATAGCAATAATTGTGATATTAAGGTTGTCATATTGGGTTAGGTCCAAAAAGATTGGAAATATTGTTCGAAATGAAGAAAAGAGGGCACGACAGAACGAGATGCGCCATGATTGTTTGCAGAATTATGAAACTCTGAAGAATTCAAATATTTAAGGCGATGCCGAAGTCTCTTTTTTTACCGACAGAGCACCAAAAATTGAAATTATTTTATCTTTTTAGTATTCTGAATTTCGAAAAACAAATCCATGGTGCCCTCCGTTTTATTTTTCTGAATGTGCAAATTTCAACACTTTTCATAAAGTGGTTTCCCAGGAAAATGGGATCCAAAATTTCAACATTTATCATTGAATAGAATATTTTGATTTAATTTTTCTGGGAAACCACTCGATGAAAAGAGTTGAAATTTGCACCAGTTATAAAACTTTAAAATCAATGCTCAGCCTTGAAACTTTTTCTTTCATTGAAGTATATTACAAAAAATGCAAATCTTCTTGCTTAAATTAATTTTGACAATTTAAAAAAGTTAAGTTGATATTTTCAACTAATCTGTAAAACTGCAAAAGTTCCACTGGTTTTTGATTAATTATTTTCTAAAGAAAATTTCTATAACACTTTTTCATGAAGTTACTTATCGAGAATAAGTTATTTTATTACTGAAGTTATTTTAATATATTACAGCTTTGTAGTACTTGCTTTCACACAATTAAAATCATTCATTCGACCTGGGAGGTAGTTGTATTTAGCTTGACTTGCAAAAACTTGTTTGGAGTTGATTAATAATCTGCAATCAAAAGCTTTTTTGTTAGACACAACCCTGTTTAAAAAAAATCGCTGCATTTCCAGTTGAAAAATCGAGTAGGATTGGACTGGAAATCGAGCTGGATTTGACTGGAAATCTAGCTCAATTTTTGACTGGAAATCCAGCTCGATTTTTAAAAATCGAGCTAGATTTCAGGCCGAAATTCGAACTAGATTTCAGATCGTGATCGAGCTGGATTTCCAATAAAAAATCGAGCTAGATTTCCAGTCAAATCCTGCTCAATTTTCCAACTGGAAATCCAGCGATTTTTTTTAAACAAGGAAGCAAATAAGTAATCTCTTGTGCTTTACTAAGCTTCTTTATTTTCATCTTGATCATGGAAGCGGATACCGTTATGATCATGTCCCCAGTCCAAATTACTTGAAATACCGAACTGTCAGGTGAATGATTCAATCTCATTGCTTAGCATGAATAATTAAGCAGGGTGTAATCTTTCTGGGTTATAAATCTAGTAAGTTTTAGAGAAAAACACTCAAATTATATTTAGAACCATTTTTATTAAATGAATATTTAAACATTTATTACATAATCTCTAAAAGCTTAGAAGGAAAAAGACCTATTGTACAATTTTTAACATGAGCAACTAAAAATATTGAGCAACACGTATAACAAAGCTTTTGTACATGATTATCACATGTCAAATTGATTTGCCCTGATTCAATTATTTTACTATTTTTATTAAAATTTAATATTACTTGTTTTGAAATGTCACAAAGTTTCATTGCTCCGAATAAAACATTGTCACGTGGTTGGACATTTGATAGATATTGAGTTAAAAATTTAGCAACCTGTGTAGCACTACCGTTGCTTAAATTATCTAATTGAATTTTTCTGAAACAAAATGAACAAAAACTATCTATCCAACGATTGGGAGATATTGATAATTTATCGCTAATATTTGATACAACAGCACACTTGAAACTCGAATGTAAATGTAATGTGTCAAGAAATTCTTTTGTCATATCCATAAGACTCTTCCGTAAATACAAATTACTATTTTTACAATTGTCCTTTGTAATTAACACGTTCTTTTCCTCTATTGTCATAACATGAAGAGGTGAGTAGACTTTTATAGAAGAATTCTTAAGTTTTCTTTGCTTTGGTAACATATTTGCAATACCTATTCCAAGAACTGTATTATTTATTATCTGGGTTGATGTATCTTCCAATAAATTATCTAACAAAATTATTTTGCAGTTGAGTTTACGTGCAACGTGAAACATAATTTTTGTCTTTAACTTTGACATTAACGTTTGGTTTTCAGTCAAATTTGTAAGTTCCTGCTTTGGATTTTTAAAGTGATCCAATTCACTCACATTCTCAGGCGAATCCAAATCGGTTATATGACGAACGAAAATCTCGTTATTCATTAATAATGCCAGAACTGAAGCGAAATATGAATGGAAACCATTTTTCTGCAGTTTCTTGATCAGCTGGAATTTATTGTCAACTGAAAAATATTTTTAAATATAAATAAATCATGTTAAGAAATCAAAGGAGCATTACACCAGTTTTGGCCAAGAATTTACATTTTTTTACTGATTATTTTATGAAATGTTTGCTATCATTTCTCAAAGATTTTGAGTTCAACAATCATTTTTACCATGTTTAAAATGACCTCTTTGTAAAAGTTCTCATAAATTGTATTTAGAGCTATCACACTATTTTTAACTAATATCCTACATCTTTTTTGATTTTTTGATAGGTAATTAAAATATAAAAAAAAGAGTTAATTATTCATTGTAGTTTAACTTTCAAACAAAAATAATAATAATAAAAAACTTGGTGTAATAATCCTCTTAAATAAGTATAAATTCATCTACTAACATGTAAACTAACATATTTCTTTGAAAAAAGACAAAGCTTTTTATTATATTTTAATGCGTTCCCAAAACTTCATAGCCCATAATTTGTTTCACCTAAATAGTATATAGCACAGTCCAAATAATAATCTATGGAAGTGGAAACTTCATTAGATTTTTGCACAGGTTGTAAATTTTAGAAAATAAACAAAAGAAAGAATAAATAAACAAAAGAAAAAATTGCCTACTCAAGGAGTCTCAGAGCAATTGACCACAAAAAGCAAAATAATAGTAAGACGTTAGAATAATTACAATTTCTATGAGCCTGATCAACAAAGGATTGATGAATGAATCCTGGGCCATAGATGCACCAATGTATAAACAACAACATTTTCTATATCAGAAGAAAGCATGGAAAGTTAGCTATTATCTCACTTAACTCATTACTACACACAATGTTTGCTTTGGGTAAGATTTATATTGAACTAATAGTGAATCATACTTTTCAGCAGTAGAAAATGCCAAATGCATCTTTTTGCACTGACTCAACTTATAGAAGAAAGAGAAGAAGTCAATCATCTCTTTCCAGAAACCCCATGGTCAGAGCCTCATCTGACGATTTTGATAATTAGAGGACTGAGATGAGCCCATGGTAGGGGGTCAATAAGCTGTTTAGCCTCAACAATGCTTTTAGTGTCAAGAATCATCCGCATGACTGGCTGAGTCTGTTATAAAGCACGAATTTTATAATGAATCATATATAATAACTATTTTGAATGGACTTTTCATGATGGGAAATAAAGCTGTTAGTTCAGAGCAAATACTTAAATTGAATATCAATTTTGTATGGTATATTAAGATTTTGTTATATATTTAAAATATTAATTTTGTAACTAAGTTTTAATTGGCAATATTTTTGCAATACTTTGTGTGTTTTCTAAATTATAACAGTAATTTCACAATCCAATTATATTTTTTAACTCTTTTCAAAGAAAAAGACACATAAAACTTATTTAATAATTGTACTTACCGTTATATAGCAAACAAAAAACTTGATGTTCGGATAAATGAGGAGATTGATGATAGACATTTTGCATCAAATCAATCAAATATTCAAATGCTCCATTTTCTTGATTTTGGACTATAAGAATATTTTGATGTAAGCAACAGGCATTCTCTCTAAAAAAAAACCTCATTTTTTCCAGATGTTTTAATTTGGTGCAATTTATACATGTTGTATCTTCGTCCATTGTGATCAATTTCTATTTAACTGAAAGAATAACTACTATTAACTAAATTAATTATTTTATTCAATAGAATAGAATAGTTTACAATAAAAAGTGAATTCTAGGCTGTTAAATTTGTGAGTTTTGTTCTACTGCAAAAAAATAAGTTGCTAAAAGTTCTTCAGAGTTTTTCTTTTATAATATTTTTTTTTTACAACCATGTAATTTTTATTACTTAACTATTAATATTATGGTGTACAGAACAAATACAGTTAAGTTTACTTTGGATGGTAAAGCCAATTTTGAAATCTAATTTTTAATATCTGAAACTTTAACTTAATAACAATATTTTCCTAAAGGCTATATTTAAAACAAAGAAGCTACCTTTATTTTAATGTTTAGTTCAGCACTATACAGTCTTTTGCACAAATATTCAGTAGAAGTTTCAGAAATCACAATTGAAAATTTGATTTTGATGCTGGATTTATCGTCCTTTAAAATAAAAAATTACGTAATGTCGGTGTCTATGTAAAAAATTATGTGAATATCAAAAAACCAACCAAAATATCCATGTATTTGTGTAACTGTCTTAAATATTCATTATTATCAATCAATAAAACCTGATGTAATATCTATAGGACCATAATAAAAATTTAATGCTTTGAATTAAAATTTGGTTTGTATGTATTCAACTTTGTATTGGTTTGTAATGTAAATAATTTTTTATAATACCAAAAAAACTGATAACAATGTAAAGAAAATCTTACCAGTATTTGATGAATCTCCAGTTGTGAGATAATATAGACTCTTAGATTGTTCTTAAAAAATTTCAAGATCGTTAATGACACTTATGAGAGTATTATTAATAATACTGTAATAACAATAAACTACAAAAATGTATCACTGTACACTTGCGACAGGTTAGTTGACAGAACTACTATGCATGCGACTGACAGCTCGTGCTCTAGAACTACTGCTACATTCTGTAAGTAAAGGCTAGTTCACGAAAACAGAAATAAGTACTGAGCAACTTAGGAATGCGGTTTGAAACCATTGATTCGTTCCTTTCGACTACACCTCATACAATCAAAATAAGTCAAGTGAAACAAAAATTAATATCCAGAATGATGAGACATATTTTGCTCATTCTAAAAATATAAATGAAAATATAACATTTTGTAGGAATAGGCGATTCCACACAATTCCTAAGAATGAATCGATTTTTGACTCTCCATTCCGTTTTCTTTTAATTTTGGGGTTTTAAAAATCCAATTAATTTGCTTAAATAATCAACTAATTCACAGCTAGTTTATGTAACGTAATTGCTAATTTTATTTGCTCTAACGACGACGTAGCTCGCTATTGCAAACTGACACTCGTGCCCAATAGGCAAATTTCTGTCTCAGTTACATAATGTACTATTATGTTTTTAAAATATTTTTTGAAATGAAAAACGTGACGTTTGGGCATTAAAAAAGCAAATAATTTTTAATATGATTTACCTTCTGAAATTTTTAAAGCAGGCATTAAACATCGTAGTTTCTTTTTTATTTTCATGATTTGACCTTAATAATAGAACTGCATATTGTCGACTGTCGCAATGACTTCAAACACTTGCGTAAGATCCCTAATGTTATTATCTGACAGTTTGAAAACTTTTTATGATGATATGAATAAAAAAGTGTCTTTAGTATTTCAGTAGTTGCCATCCAACGTAGTGTCCGAACAATCAAATTATCTTATCAATTTATTACTCCACAAAATGATTTCAATGCAAACATACAACCAGGTATGAAATAAACAAACATTGGTATACTTGACATGATAATCATTGATGAACTTCATGCAATTCTTACATGAAGAAAAGAGTAGTCTATAAACTTTACTGATACTAAAGAAAACGAAATAAATCTCATTGAAGGAAACAATAACAAATTGATTTTATTTTTCATAATTTGTGATAATCAATTTAATAGATCTGATAAAATGATAAATGATTTGTTACTAGGATATCTAAGTTTTTCTTTACAAAAAAACTTGACTTTTCCTTTTGAATTTTTCATTTTTGGTGTTTTTATATTATTTTCTTATGATCTTTTAATCATAAAAATGTTATTGACCCTTCAAAACTTTATTTATAAACTAACTTTTAATGGAAGTTAAACTTGAATTGAACAATATTATTAAAACGTTCATACTTTGTAGCTACCATATTGGATCTACAGAAAAATGAAATTGATTTACATATAGTTCAATCATTTTACTCTACAAGCAATTTTTGACTACACATAATTTTTCTATAAGAACAAAATCAGTAAATCATGAAAATATTTAAATGTTGAATATGAAATGTTGAATATATGTAAGAAACATATCAATGATAAATATAATAAGCTTCAATTTTATTTATATTTATGATGATATGCAGTAAAACTGACTGTGTGAACAACTTGGTTAAGTGTTAAAACATATGAACTCAAGTTAATTTTTTTGTCTGTACTTGAATATTCTTAAAAATATTTCTATTTATTTTTGAATATAATTTTTGGGCTTGAATGTTATTTTTGTTTTTATTTATACATTGTTTTAATGCAGATGCTACATTAAATATTAACTTGAGTACTATGTTTATTATCCATATCACTTTTAGTATATGGCAGCGTTCCTTTCTTGGTACCTCAAACTATAAACCATAAAAATAAAGAACTCATGAATTTTATCGATAGCCGTTTTTTCATTTTATTGTACTTTATTTTTATAATATATGTAGTCATGGAAGAAATGATAAAAAGGATTTTTTTATATATATTTTTTAAATAATGTGTATTACATAACTTAAAAATGATTAAACTTTGATCAATTGAATGTGATGAATAACATTTCAAAATAAATCAGTTGATAGCTCAATTTTATAGTGACACCAAAGATCTGAAATTCCAAGTATAAATTGAGATATCAGTCTATCCACTTTGACATTTGTAATTTTAAGATTAAAAATACCCTTAGAATTCTTAATACACAAATATTGTATTTTATTGATTAATTCTTGATTTATGATGCCTTTACTATATAAATTAACTTACTATGTGTTCATTGAACTGTTGTTATTTTCAAATTGGTTATAGCCTATTTTATTCTGCTTCATTCACAGTCCTAAGTCATTTACATTGATCTTTTAACTTTGTTACACTTTTTCAAAAATATGTTGTGAGTGGGAGACTCGATATTTTAACCCATCGTATTTGATTTTTGTTAAACGCTTTTCCGCCCAAATTTACCGATTTTTGTGTAGAAGTTGTAGATTGTTAGTTTTAGAAAAATGTTATAAATGCAAGTTTCGACGTAAAATTTAATTCATTTCAGAATCCAGGCTTAAAATTACGATTAGATGCGAAAAAAAGTTGTGGCAGATTAAATAGTAAAAAATTGTGCAAAAAATCGATTTTGGTATCTTTTGGCTTGTTATTATAATACGTATCTACCAAATTGAATATAATGCGTGGATTTCCACGTGTATTCCGTATGAATTCTGCTTAAATAATTTTTGTAAAAATCTGCGTAGATTTTTCAGTTATTTCTTCGAACGTATTAATTATAAAATTTGAAACGTCCTTCTTTCCGGAAGATCAGTCGATAAATAGCAACTTATACTCCTTTGATAGCTGCTTTTTAGGACCAGTTTTTGAAGTGAAACTTCTTTACGCGCGTTGGTTGTTTTTTTTAACTTGCTGCTTCTATAATAAAAAGAATTTGAAAATTAACGCTAATTTTATAAAACATATTTGAAAAGTATATTAAAATATTTGCAATGAATTAAATATAGACTGTTAACTATTTTTTAAGGTCTTGTATCATCTTAATCAAATAACTACTGTAATTTCGCCAAAATCAACTTCAGTTCAAACCACAAAATTTTGGAACTGGAATATTCATATCATCGATGATGCAATTCCATACGATCGAACCTTAACAGAAGTAAGTTTTTACGCAATACATTAATAAAAAATATTTTCTATTAATAAACGATGTTTTATTGATGAACAAAACAGAGCGTGAAAAAATTCAAGAATCGAAACAATAAAGCCACATCTTCGGAATCTGTACTTAGAGATAATCGAACTGGAGACAAATTAGATGTTTTGCAATCTCTTCTTTTATATGACAGTTCTAAAATAAAAAAAAATAATGTTCTTGGCGTCAAAATCCATTATCACCATAACCCTGAGATCAATAGCAATAAACTATTCAATGCGTGCCGTCAAAAGTTTACATCCAGAAATATTTTATATAATACTGCAATTATAAATAACGAACAGATTACATCATGTAAGCCATCGCCAACAAATGTACAAATGCGATTTTTCAAAACCGAGCGTACAGTTAATTCAGAAGATATCCGAAATCCGTCAATTCTAAAAAGAATTAAAAGTTGGTTCGGATCAGATGTTTCAAAGGTAAATATATCAATTGATTCATGCTATAATTTATAAGCTCATTTTATAAAAGAGATAGCAAAGCCAACCCAAAAATAAAATTATCAATTTAGTTATCTGAAATGTTTGATGTTTTATAGAAAAATATTGAAGTTTCGAAAAATTGGTTTAGAAATTTATATTTGTGCTGGCTTCACCATCCCTTTGAAGTGGCACGTTTCATGTAATACATAAAAAATTATTAAGGTAGTGAAAGTTATTTTCAAAATTACAATTGTCACTACTAAATTAGCTTAGCTGTGGAGAGGCAACTTTTCATCATTCGTGTTACGATTCTTCGAAGTACTCACGATCCCTTACATAAACCGGGCTGCTTTTTTCAATTTAGTCGAAAGATAATATTCCCCCCCCCCCCCCCCCCCCNCCCCCCCCCCCCACACGAATTATGAGACATCAATTCGACGCGCTCTAGCAACACGATGTTGCTCCAGAGTGAACTGTACGGAATTTTAGCCAATTTTAATCGGTAGTCTTCCTGGAAAAGTGGATTGAATTTTTTGATATAATTGATTTTTCCGTGTCTCGGATCTTAACTTGTTGCTCTACATTTTTTTACTACTCACGTTCTTTTCGTTCTTTTCGCCTTCGATTTTTACTATGAACCCCTTGTTTTGCCGGAAAAACACACTTGCTTTCACACCCGCTACAAAAAGTACTATTATTGAAAGTGTAAAATAGCTCAAATTGAATATTTTTTGTCCTAATATTTTAGGAAAGTCAATTTCGAAAATTACTCGGAGAAGAACTGACGTTTGCTGCTTTGGAAAAAAGCAATAAACAAATCGAAAAATCAAAAAATATTGGAAATAAATATATTAAAGTCGATGAACTTCAAAATATTAAAGCAGCGTTCGTTGAAGGGTACCTAACGGGACAGGAGCAAAAAGTGCATGGTCGGGCATTCAAAATTTTAAGATTTGCTCAACACTTTGTCATGACTTTGGTTGGTGTGGTCATACTAATAACAGTCTTCGGTACGTAATTTAGAAGTTCGTTACTTATTAATTAAATAATTACTTACTAATTTAATATATCTGACTATGATATATTATATGATATATTATATCATAGTCAGATAGATAAATATGAAAATGAAATTAGGGCACGAGCCCCTCCCCCCACGACTTATGGCACTGTTGTATGGATCATACATCTCAAACTCAAAATTTTTTTATTGCATATCTGATTAGGATTTTTTCTTCTCTTTCCATTCTGTTTTTATAATTACTCAATTTGGACTTTTCTCAGAGATGCAGCTCTTTAAATTTTTTTCGTATATTTACGTGATAAATTTTTTCTTCTTTTGCGTTTCCTGACAAATTATATATTCCACCAATCTTACTATGCGGGAACGTAAAATGCGACTTGCATCTTGGAAAAGGGGTCATAAATGTGAACTTAACACGGTGCTATAACATTGTGAATGATACCCGAACCATGAAGAATATTTTTGGCACAGTTATGAACTAAAATATTAACTATAAATATTATAATATAAATTTGTGAATAACAAACAATTATATCTTGAAATAATACGATTATATATATTTTCAGCTACAACAGGTGGTACAATGTTCAAAATACAGTTGGGTAATAAAATACAAGTAGATCCAGAGGAGATTCATGTAACATTCGATGATGTCAAGGGAGTAAGTCCAAGTAAACATCAACATTAATTAGAAATATTAGGGTACTTGCAATATCTATATTATCGGTTAAAAAAAACTTGCATACGTGATAGAACTTTCGGCAAATATTTTGAGTTTTAAATTAAAATATTTACGAATTTTATTTTAACATATGATTGTTAAAATAGGTGTAATTCGTTTCTTTATTTAAGTCTCAGCGTTCCCTGACACATGATTCAATAAAATGTATGCAAGTTGCATTTTTTTGAATGCAGAATAATTACATTATTTCCTTTTATTAATATTTATAAAAAATATGTATGTGCTCATTAAAAAACTTTCTACAATAGTGTTATTTGCTAATAGAATGTTTACACCAGATGTAATTTTGTTACACATCATTTTAGGTTGAAGAAGCAAAATCTGAACTAATGGATGTAGTTGAGTTTTTGAAAAATCCAGAAAAATTTTCTGCTCTTGGTGGAAAATTACCAAAAGGAGTACTTTTAGTTGGCCCTCCTGGAACTGGTAAAACATTATTAGCTCGCGCAGTAGCTGGGGAAGCTGGTGTTCCATTTTTTCATGCCGCAGGTCCTGAATTCGATGAAGTATTAGTCGGCCAAGGAGCAAGACGTGTTCGAGATTTATTCAGTAAGTTCATAATATATTAAGTGATTAATATTATAGATATGTAGGAAAAAATTTTTAAATATATTTTATGAGGTTTTAAAATGTATTTAATACCTTAATTATTAAGGTAAATTGTCACTTAAAAACATATTTAACGGTTCTCCTCTTAATGTGGAGAAAAAATGTTTGAAGTTTAGTCTTTTTAACTACTCTTCATAAATAACAGACTGTTTCAGAAAATAAAGTATCCATTGATAAATATCCATTGATTTTTCGACCATTTAAACCATAACTAATATAATACTAATTGAATACTATAACATTTTCTCATTTATTTTCATTTTCAGGAGCAGCAAAAGAAAGATCTCCTTGTGTGATATTTATTGATGAAATCGATTCTGTTGGTGCCAAACGAACTAACTCGGCTTTACATCCTTACGCCAACCAGACAATAAATCAACTTCTTTCGGAAATGGATGGGTAATAACAAATATTAACTGAAATAACTATAAAATTAAAAAAAATAACTATAATAAATAACTATAATCATTTTATTAACAAACGAGACCAAAAAATGTATATTTGCATAATTTTTTTTTTTTAATCAATTTTCGAAAAACGATTTTGTAAAGCATGAATAACTTTACCATATTTTATCGACTGGTGTTTTCGCGCCCCAAAAAAATTTTTGTTCACTCTTAATTCAATCTAATAACAGATATTCTAATTCTGAAAAGTTTCTGAAAGAAAAATTCCTAGATCAAAATGCTACTTATATAATACGATTCTTATTCGCGCCTTCATTTACTTAGCCAATATTTCTATAAGTATGAATATTTCTGTATTGAATGCAATAGCTTAGAAACTTAATTAGTGTGTCGAAAATTGATAATAAAATATACATCTATATTACTAAATTATGATGAATTAAAAATATACGAAAGTCGATATGAGGAACATAACTTGATATAACGAAAATTCTCATAGATTTCATCAAAATGAAGGTGTCATTGTTCTGGGGGCAACCAATCGACGTCAAGATCTCGATAAAGCTTTATTAAGACCAGGACGTTTTGATTCTGAAATAGTAGTGGACGCACCAGATTTTATTGGACGTAGAGAAATACTAGAACTTTATTTATCAAGAATTTTAACGCGTAACATTGATGCAGACTTATTAGCTAAATGTACGATAGGATTTACTGGAGCTGATATAGAAAATATGGTAAGTTCTTGATTTCTGCTTGGAATATTTAAAAAAAATGTGCTCTTTATTTCGTAAAAAGTTAATTCATGCAACGGGCATGGATGCTTTCTCTGCAGTACGATGGGTTACAGCATGAGCCGTGAACGAAGTTAATTTACGTTGGGGTGTCACATAAAGGCATTTTGCACCTTTTATGACATAAATGAATTTTTTTCCTACTCCAAATTCAATAAGAATGTCAAAAATATTAATTTACGAAAGAAATAATTTTATCCATTGTAGATCAATCAAGCTGCTCTAAGAGCTGCCATTGAAGGAGCTGAATACGTCACAATGGAATACTTGGAGCGGGCAAGAGATAAAATAATTATGGGACCTGAAGGTAAAAAAAAGTTATTAGATGCTGAAGAAAATCGCATTACAGCGTATCATGAAAGTGGACACGCGTTAGTTGCTTACTATACGAAAGACGCTATGCCTTTACACAAAGTTACAATCATACCAAGAGGAAGATCAATGGGACATGTAAGGAAATGTTTTTTTATTTATAGTAAATAAACATTAAAATAACAGTATACATTATTGTTAAGACTCGGAACGTCAACGTGTTCGAAAATTGTTTTCCGAACCCTATACCTAACATATATCTGTATAAATTTCGGGGCTGAAAAAAGTATTCGTACCTACTCTATTGATCCAAATGGTTCTAGGAGCTATTAAAAAACAATTCTGATTATCTTATCATACCGATACAGTAAATACTATGTTCATGTAAGAATGTGTTTTACTGATAATTGCATTAAAAAAGCAATATTATATATCCTCAAATTATCTGTGGGCTTCATTGGATAAAAAATGGTCCTTTTGGGGTTCCGAACTTTTTTCCCCCAATATATGAAATAAAATGATGCTAATTTTTCCCCTGATTTTATTTCTTAAACTCCCGGACAATCACCCCTTGTAATTTTTGAACATCATTATTATTGCTTGTCATCATAGTTATATTTAACTTCTTTAATACTTTTTTATTTCTACATCGTTTCTATGTTTACAGACATCATATATGCCCATCAAAGATACGCATTATAGAACTAAAGCGCAATTACTTGCTACAATGGACTCATGCATGGGTGGTCGTGCTGCAGAAGAACTTATATTCGGACAAGATAAAGTGACAACAGGAGCTTCCAGTGATTTTTCGGTGAGATACAAGTTTTCAATTATGCATAAATTTGATACTCACGCCATTTGGTTTTTTCATAGAATGCGACCGATATTGCTGAAACAATGGTAAAAATGTATGGTATGTCAGAAAAAGTTGGATTCAGAGTACACAAAGAATCTGAAATGGATGGACGAATGGCTTATAGCGGGCTTACAAAAGAAACTATTGATAATGAAGTGAAGCGTCTCTTACAAGTAAGTTTACGAATCAAAGAGTTTTTTACCAAAAAATTATGGACATTTTTTTTTTTTTTTCAGGAATCTTATGAAAGAGCTAAAAACATTTTGAGAGTTCATAGTAAAGAGCATAAATTATTAGCAGAAGCCTTGTTAAAATACGAGACTTTAGATGCAGATGATGTTAAGGCTCTTATTAGCGGAAAAAAATTACATTTTGAATCGAATTCTCATGTGGGACAAAAACTTGTAGATGCATCAAGCAAAGTTATATTATAGACCAATATAAAATTTTTGTGAAACTCATTTATTAAATTTTGTTTTACAATAATACAAATTATTTAACACATATTAAGAAAACTATTCAATTTTATTCATTACCTTTAACTATATAAATAGAATTCTTTTAAAAACTGAATTTTCGGTTGTTCTTCATTGTGTGCCAATAAGTCTTGTTCTCTGGGAATTTGGCACTGTCGCAATTCCGAAAATCACTCTCCAAAATGACTGGCAAATGGAGGAAGGATCATCTCCACAATAATAGTTGAATAAGTTGACGATTGTTCACAGCCAAAATAACAATTTTAAAATATAATAGAACATAAAGTCCTAACGCTACAATACCAATCGATCCGAATCCAAAGGATTTTAATTTTAGACACTAAAAAATCAACTGGTCTTAAAGACCTCTTGAAAAAACCGAAAAGAATTGAAAATAAAGAAACAAATGAATCGAGATAATTTAGCGAATTCTTAAATTTTAAGGAATTCCCGTACTTTAAAACATCGTACGGTATGAAAACCTATAAGGGATTATTGACGATTGGGAAGAATCCTGGAGCGATTTTTCCAACGAAAAGAACTCAACGACAACACTTTGATAAACTTAAAAATAAATTAACAATCGTTACTTTCCACAATATATTTATGAAGCACAATATATTCTGAGCGAATGAACTAATTTTGGTGCAAAAATAAGACGTTTTTGATATTTTACAGCATTAACCCTTTTATATCATTTTATATTGACCTGTTTGTGATATTTCAGTTTGAGTGCGGATTTTTAATTTGTTTTTGTTAAGAGAGCCGTTAACAAATTAATTGAAGCGTGAAATGTTTCATTGATGACGATTCAAATTTTCGCGGATAAGATTCAATTGTAATTGCTGCTCTTGTATAAGCTAATTCTTACGTTGTTAAGATTTAAATTCATTTCAATTATTTGTTAACAAATTTTTTTTTTATTAACATTGCAACAGCTTCTTTTTAAGAAGTTAGGATTGTTTTTAATGCAAAAAATGATATGCTTTATGAATGATAGGAATATTTTTTAAATAAAAATAGTTTATTTGCCATTGATTATTGTTATCTTTACATGATAATATATTTGTATAATTTTAGTTGTTTATTTTTTATTTTTTTTTTATTAAAAACAGAAACATCCTGCACCGTTGAATTCTGCAAATTTTCTATTTCACTTTGGAAGAAATTTTTTTATGCACCGTTGAATTCTGCAAATCAGTTATTTGAATTCAAAAAAAATTTTCATTTCCAAATTAGTGCGGAAATTATTTTAATCTAATCACACTTTGAGATTCGCTAAACGACATGATTTATCTTTTGCCTGAGCAAAATTTTCATTCTGGTAATTCGAATAATTGATCTCAATTGCACAAATGAATAAGTCTGTGATTAACCCACATTTCCCTCAAAATTGGATTAATTGGAGTCTGCTAATTTCAATTCAGACAGTCTGTAAAAAATTATAAAATCTGAGAACATTATATTTTAAAATTTTCTATTAAATTTCTGTTGCATAATATAAAAAAAAAGATTATGAAGTCTTTCTTTCGATGGGGTTTATATCTTATTGTCAGTATAATGAAAGTTGCAAATTGCATACTAACATGCATAGTTATTTCCAAGTTGTTGCATGATATAAATCACAAGTTAAGCTCATAAAAAAGTATATAATACTAAACCGATTCATTTTCAATCTTATTTTCTCAATTTTGGACACAAAATGTAATCGTTAATACTAAGATAAAGCTGAATATAGTTATACTAATGACAAAAATTTATGGTACTGATAGTTTTTCATTTTCTACCAATAATACTGACTTTTCCATTTTTGCCAAGTCACTTGGGCTTTCAGCAGAAGTTAATTCTCGAACATTGACTTTCCTGGAGTTTGTGATAACTTTACATTGATCTGAAATAAAATGTTGAATAATGAAAAGGCAAAGATAGTTGCGTGTTTTGTAAGTGTTCTTATCATTAAATTTCGAATTGATGTGAATTCATGAATAAGCACATTATGTGCGCATTATTGAAAAAGCCTAATTGATATCACACATGTGATCTACAATTTTATGTTAACACATTAATACAATTAATAGTGTCATACAAGTATCGTCGCATGTGATTTTGACAGGGAAAATTCATGCCTGTCACCATGAGTGTTTGTAGGTCTTGTTCTCCATGGATAAAACTGTAGATCACATGTGGAGTACCATGTAAGCTTTTTCAATAGGTCAACGACTAGAACTTATAGAATAAACGCGATTTTATGGAGTGTGCCTCAAAGTTGGCTATACATGTTCTGCGTATCTGAAGCTTCATAAATCACAAATGATTTTAAAAAATAAGATAAAGAAAAAATTGTACTCAAGAAGATGCGATACCAGCAAAAATAGTTAATTTAAACAATGATTAAATTTTTCTAAAAAATAATTTCAATTAGTACAACAACTTTATATTTAATTTAAAACGTTACCTGTTGATGATCGACACATTTTCGAAGATTTCTGACAACCATAAGTCGTTTTGAAATAATTTTGAGGACATCTTGATTGACATTCACCAGCAATTAAAAATAGACCTTTTGGACAGGCTACGCATTGATTTTTTTTCGGTCCTGTGCAAGTTTTACAAGAAAAATAACACTTGGAACATTTGTCTTTATCTTGATAGTACCTGAAACAAAATTTTCGTATTTCATGAAGTGATGGAGTTGAGGTGAAATGGATTTTTTTCTATTCGAAACTCATTTTTTATTCACCAGTTGTAAAATACATTTAAATATAAATTTTCAATCATTTTGATACCTTGAACGGATAATAATTCAAATAAAAAAGATTTATTATTATATTATTATTTATTCTAATGGAACGCTTGATCGATGCGCAACGCAGCATACGTCAAAATATCGGTTACTCTCCTTCGAGATCAGATAATCAACTACTCTTGAGCTCTAGTTCTGTTATATGATCAGCGGTTGGGAAAAAATGATTAAATTAAATGGCATTCTTACGATACTTCAACCCAACTCACTTTTTTATTTAAGGGGACCGACCTGTGTTAAAAGCTTAAATTCAGCTTCAGCTAAAAATAGCTATATAAATCGAAATAGTGGAAATTTTTTTTTTGTGATAGTAAAATATGTTCATTCTACACCAGATTGACCAAAAACAACTTCTACCCAAGCTCTGAAATACCAATTACATCACTTTTTTCATAAGACGAAATATTGTGTTATAAATCACTTGCCACATGATCTTGAAAAGAGTTTTTCATCAATATTGATCTATGGGGTCTCAAAATCTTCAGAAAAGTACTCTCGTCCACCTAAGCGGAGCAGAATTTTGAAAAATTGCGTACAACTTTATATACACGTCAAAATGTGCCAATTTTTGAGAAAATTAGTATTTTATCAACACTAGAAGCCATATTAAAGTTCTTGGAAGAAAAACAAACTTTTTTTTTCAAATTCTGCTCCGCTCAAGTGGATGAGGGTACTTTTCTGAAGATTTTGAGACCCCATAGATCAATATTGATGAAAAGCTCACGTCAGAATCGCGTGGCAAGTGAATCCTATTATAATATTTAGTATTATGAAAAAATAAGCGTAATTCGCATTTCAGAGCTTGGATAGAAGTTTTTTTTGGTCAATCAGGTGTCTAATAAACATATTTTACGATCGCAAAAAAAAATTTCCACCATTTCGATTTATATAGCTATTTTTTGAATTTAAGATTTTAACACAGGTCGGTCCCCTTAATAAAATTTATTATTGCTCGTTGCTTTCACGGTTAAAAAACTTTCATCGAGCAAGCACCTCCCAGGTTCCCGATGTGAGTTTTTCCTCAAAATTTCAGAAAATTCAAATTATTTATAAGAAACAATAAATTAAGGCATGAAAGTAGATTTTCAGAAGAATATCGAGCAAAAAGTGAACGATAGTGAATCCGATTTACTCGACCAATAATGCATGTGGCTAAGCTGGTGCCCTGATTCGGTTATTTTATTTTTATTTTTTGTATCTATATTTTCGAAATGTCTGTTTTCATTCTACTGTTTGTAAAACCATTTCACTCTGATTTTAAATCGTTACACAACTTCGTTAAAACTAGTGGGGGGTAACTCTCATTAATCGAAATCTATCATGTCCATCTTCACGGGTTGATTTTAGTACTGTAGAAATTATTGATCGGATTCGATCATTATAAAGAAATATGTATGAAAAGAATTATTTGAACTTTATTTTCATGCTTATACATACCCATCAGAACATGCCGATCTACACTCTCCACTTTGGAGAACTAATCCTTTTTGGCATGAAGTGCAGTTAGACTTTGAATCACATAGAGCGCAAGTATGAAGACAAGGCACGCATGTGTATTCATAACCTTTGATTGCTTTATAAAATCCTTCTTGGCACGTAAAAATGCATCGCTTACTTTGCAAAGTTAATGGTTTTTCGCAACTAATGCAGGAATCAATAGATGAACCGAAACATTGTTTACAAGTGGTATGGCATTTATTACAACTATTATGAGCGAAAAATTCAAAATTTTCACAAAGAGCAAAGTTTTCTGGAAGACATATACCACTATCATCTTTAATCCAATCTTGATTACACTTTTCACACGCATGTGCTGTACAAACAGCACAATTTTGGGGACAAGAGATACATTCTCGGCGATCTGAATCCTCATAGTATCCTAGTGGGCATTCTTTCATGCATTTACCTGAAATGTTTTAATAATATTTATTTAAAAGAATTTTCTTTGTTTTAAATAAATTATTGTAAAATAAAATTTACATCCATTAATACAAAAATATTGAGATCTACTTTCAGTCTCGTGTCCATATTTATACCCACATTAGTTAATCAGGGCAATGGACTCAAATTTAAGAGAAAAAAAAAATAGTTGACATATTTTTTAATATCAACTTTGTTTACCTTTCAAAAAATAATATCCACGGCGACATTTGATGCAATCATTTTTGTCAGAAGTCTTACAAGTTTCACAGGAAATGTGACATGATTCACAATTATGGTCTGTCGTTTGATAAGTATAGATTGGACACGTAGCGTAACATTTATTTTTGTAAAGTACCAAATGATGTTCACAACTTAGGCAGTAATTCGGTTTATTAATGCAGGTAGCACAATTTGATGCGCACGGGATGCACTTTTTTCCACTAGAACCTGAAATTCATTATGTTATTAAGAAAGATTTCGAACGAGAATAATAAAACACAGAAGTCACCTGTTATATCGAATTGTTTTGTTATAAGTGAAAAGTTACAAATCAAAACAAACATCCTAACAGTCGGTCTAGAAAATGTCCACAAGTATCGTACCGAATTTCACGGCACTATACTAACAAGGAGAGCTTTTAAGGTGCGGGTTATGGATTTGCTCCAAAATTTTTTTGCGGTCTCCTGGTACCCAATACTGAAGCTCCCTGTGCTTACAAGGAGACCGCATGAGATTCGGGTCACCAAATGTCCTGAAAATTTTTTTCTGGTCTGCTGGTACCTAATAATGAAGCCCCCTATGCTTAGTTTGATCCAATGGGCCTTAGGGCCCATTTTGTAGAGGATTTTTCACATTATAAAAAAATCTTTGTTATTTTCTATATCGAAGTAGAATTACTAAACGAAAAAATGGGACGATCAAAAGTTTTAAAATTTTTCAAAGAATCTGCTTGGATTTTTTCAGAATTTTTGGGACCATCTATCACTTAATTCAAGAGGCCCAAATTTGACGCTTTTTTTAGTAGATTTTAGGATTTCGTAAAAAGAGTGGTAGATGATTTCAAAAATTCTGAAAAAATTCAAACAGATTCTTTGAAAAATTTTAAAACTTTTGATCGTCCCATTTTTTCGTTTAAATACTTCTATTTCGATACAGAAAATAACAAAGATTTTTTTATAATGTGGAAAATCTTCTGCAAAATGGGCCCTAAGGCCTATTGGATCAAACTCAGTACAGAGAGCTTCAGTATTGGGTACCAGAAGACCGCAAAAAAATTTTGGAGCAAATCCATAACCCGCACCTGAAAAGCTCTCCTTGTAAGTTCACATTTATGTATCCTTTTCCGAGCAATAAGTCTCACTTTCAGGTATCACGGAGCGCAGCGTATGTGGTAGACACGACGCGGTACTAGAAAGTGCTAACTTTGCCACAGAAAAGCGTGCCATAATAGTACTTTATGCAACGGGTACGGATATACTTTTTCAGCGAAACGAGGGGTTGCAGCACGAGCCGAAGGCGAGGGCTGTAACGAGTTTCGTTGGAAAAGCATATCCGTATCAGTTGCATACAATATTTTATGGTACAAAAGCCTAAAAGTAGCGGCGAAGTTGCGATTTTTAGGTTAGCGTGCCATAAATGTGAATTTATGTCATGTTATTTATGCTGTGCTATAAGTGTAAACATTTTTAATTTTTAGGTGACAAATTATTGAGGTAAGCACGTACGATTTTTCAGTGGAACTATCTACCAGATTTCATTGCAAACGTTACTCTAAGTAGAGAAAATAAGCATATCATTCTTATATACCTTCAAAGTATCCATCTGGACATTGTGCAAGGCATAATCCTAGATCAACCACTTGCTTATACTCGTTAGCACACGAAAGACAAGAATCTGGTCTGGATTCAGTACATGAATCACACGATTCATGACAATATCTACAGATATTATTAGAATCAGCAAATGTTCTTGAAGGACAACGATCAACGCATTTACTGAAAATAAATATAATATATCAAATGGGTAATGCATGAATTAATGGTGCTGAAACATTTTATTACAAATGAAAATCACGAATAAAATACATTTTGTAAATATTTTCACCGATGAAATGGGACGTGCGTAATTCGTATTTATTAATTTTCTAAATTAACTTTTTAATTTTTCTGCATTAAGAAGTACTTACTTATTAAGACGGAAATTGTCACAGTGATTTTGCGATGACAATAATGATTCCATCAAGTCACGCCCTACTTCATTTGATTGTTTTTCGGTTGCGGAAGAATTATTTGGGCCACTGTAGGTCATTATAGATGGAACGATTTGAGAAGCCGCTCCTATAAAAATTGTTTAAATGATGTAATTTTAATGATGTAAATATTGAATAGCGCAATTGTTGTAATAGTACCTTCTATATGTTCCGCTTCTAGCGGGTAATATATCGAATGATATTCCGATTCAGGAACCAACAGACTATATCTCGTTCGCAACCTGATAGGGTTGGACGCTGTTCCATAAAAAATTAATTGCCATTTTTTTAATATACCTGTGAGAAAAAATTGTTTGTTTCGTGAGTTTTGTCAGTATTTTAATTATATATTAAATACAATGAAAATTAATAGACTTTTGAAGTAATGTGTTTTTCAAATTTGCACAGAACTTAAACAGTAATTAATTTCATAGAAATATTTTATAAATTCATCATTTATAAGGTACCAGCTACCTCTACTCTCTATCAATAGTTTACCGCTAATTTATTGTATGATAATTTATTGTATGATAGTGACGTACACGTGTGTAACTTTTTCGCTTAATAAAAATACGTGTGTCCATGCATTGACATGCTCTTATTTTGATTAAAAATCGAATTATAGGTATCTCAAAACATACCAGGAGAATTAACATGCCTTGTTCCAGCGTTGATAATTTCTAATGTCCACTGTCCTTCTGCTTTTTCTCCCCAAAAATGTACACTTAAAAATGGCCAATCATCAAAGTTCGAGTTTAGTACATCGCGTGGTCTTTCAAATAGTAATGTAGAAGTTGTTCCCATTGGTGACGTAAGTGAAATTCTAAGATTTCCGCGCGGGAAAAACCGTAATGAAAGCTGTAATTGAGATTGAAATTACGATTGAATACATAACTTTTTATCATAGATGGACAAGCCAAGCGACTGCATAAACACTACACTTGTATCTCAACACAAATTTGATTTTTGTATAATCAATAATACCTTGCATTGTACATGTTCTAAGAACCGGACTTCATTTAAGGTATTTTCGCAACCGCTGACATTCATTGTCACACTTAAAGTGTATCCATAGGTAGATTCAATTTGTCGATCCTCATTCACTTCTTGTGACTTACAAATTCTCTGCACGGGAACATTTGTCCATTTTTCCGCTAAATCAACTATTGCACCAGCATCCATTAAACCATAGCCAAATTTATGAGAGACCTTAGGTATCATTAAAAATAATATTAATTTTTATCTGCTATACAATCTGAACAAATATTGTTTTGTTTATACAATAAGGGATCTGTTTGTGAATTAAATTGCATCACTAAGTTGGTTGAACAATAACACGTCGATTATGAAACAGGGCTCGCTTCATTGCACCATGGTTTTTGTCTCTCAAAACGACATTTGTCAATAACTTTACATTGATACTTTTTGAGGTGACAATCATTAACGAGGTAAAATTTGATCAAAAACTTATTGGTGCCATAATTTTGCGAAAATTTAGCATATTAATAGAAATTTATTCGAAAAACAGTACACTTCCCGTGTAAACTATTGCTTTACAGTATCCAAAACTGATATGATTGACGTTAGGACGTGCTTCGGCCAATTTGAGCTTCCCTAATCCCTACTAACGCGGATAGCGACTAATATTTTTTCAGGAAAGTGCTACTTCCCGCACGACGCGCCGTGCGGAAAAATCTTAAAATCGACTTCCTGCACTACGAGGGTAGGTATGATTTTATGGCAAAATGAGGAATAGTTATGATTTTTGAGAGTAATATTGAGAAATTTTGAAAATTCGGAAAACCTTGTGGAAATTCGATTTTTTAGCAAAAGTGTTAAGTTTTCAAAACTTTTTCTATATTGTTCATACGGTTGCCCGTATAGTTTTTCACAATGACTTTTGGCTATTAAAAACTTTTATCAACACTTAATAATCTTCAATACAATTAAAGTCACTTGTGAATTTTTAAAAAATTTAATTAGCGATTGCTATACCCGTCTGAATATTTCAGAAATCAAATATCAGGTCTGAAAATCTTAATTTTCCTAATCTTTCGGTGAAGTGTTTTTATTTTTACTACGCATGGGTGAAAGAGAATGTTGGACGAGTCTTTTGCTACACGAACATATTAATTATAACATACTATTTACTCACTCTTCTTTTAATTCCATTAATATTCCATCCAGTTTCCTTATCAAGTGGACTGTACCGAGAAGTTAACACTACAAGATACTGCATATCACGCCATGTGAGGGTTGGATTTGCTTCCAAAGCTAAAGCCGCTATTCCGGCAGCTAATGGAGCTGATGCTGATGTTCCTGTGTGTTCAACCGTACACAAATGATCTTCTCGTAAACTGGCATCCATATCTACAGTTGTTATACTTTTATCATTGCCAGGTGTTCCGGAAGAATAAGTAGAAGCTAATGTCGAACTGCATTCTTCTAAATACCATGGCTTAAATCCTCCTTGGGTGGCCGATGATATTGATAAAGTAAAAATACTGTTAGTATAACCATCACAGTTACAAGAGTCTGTATGACGACCACCATTTCCTGAAGCCCAGACAAATATTGACCCTCTGCCTTGACGGCCCTGTAATTTATGGCATATTTCTTCCATATTGTTTCATATCGTAATAATATTATTATTAGATTTTAATGATTCGAATTAAGACAATCGAAAGTTATCAAGAAGCGCGCTTCGCAGTCCATCTGTCAAGTTTGACAGAGAAAAAGAGAGAACTGCGGCGTACACTTCCTCGAATCTCATATACATCTTAACTGACCTCTGTACTCAGCTACTGATACTCCCAAAAATAAGCTTATGTAAGGTTCATTTTTTAATCATTATTTTAGGATATATATCGTATCTTTACAAAAAAAGATCAAAGGAGTGATATATCAATTATATCTTTCTTAATTTGATGCCAAAGTGGCAAATATCAGATAAAATTAATGATCTAAAAATATTTTTTCGAATTCGACTATAACTTTAACAATTTATAAGCAACGAGAATCAGTCTGATGTTCTATCCATCTTGAGCCGATACTAGCGATCGGTGCGGCAGTTTTACCAAGTTTGTAAACGGACTCTGTGATTAGACTAATTTCAGTCTGATTTAAAGTGACTCTTTACTGACTCGGCTAGTCAATACGAGTGTAGTTAGTTTGTTTTGACTCTTGTGGTGCCCGAGGGCCCTATGCTGTAGTGTTGTAAGCGTCCCCTCTCCTCTTCAGCAGCCGACAAAACCTCAATTGGACCATAAAAATTCACTTTCTCGGGCAAATATTACAATAATTAGCATGAAAACATGTACTTTTTAATATACCAATCGAAAGCTTCAACTTTCAACTTTATATTATCAGTTTTTGGAAGATCTGTATGATATATTTTGAGAGTTATTCAATAAAAAGCGTCCAAAAGTAGATGTGCACCCATACAGGCCGTGTTAAAAAGTCAATTTTCGATGACTTTATTCTCGAAAATTAGCATGACAACAGGGTCTGAAATTTTACAGGGTGATAATTAGATCACTAATTAACGTTGTCCCAAAATTTCAAGACCTTGTATGAAAAGATATTTAAGTAAAGAGTCACCTTAAGTTAAGAAGTTTGTAAAGCTGCCGCACCGATCACTACTATCGACTTGAAGCGGATAGCAAAAGGATAGATTCGGCTGAGATTTTGGTATCGAAATTGAGTTTAAACTTAAAAATACCATTATTTTACAAAATTCTACTTACATTCGTTACTCCATATATGAAAGCTCTACGAGCCAATGGTCCAGGCCCATCTACGGTTTTTCCATCATCTTCTGGTCCCCATGACGCACTATATATATCAATATGTTCAGGGTTTAAGCCTAAGGCACGAGCTTCAACAGCATCGTTAACAGGTCCATCAAGCATTCTTACACCTGTTAATAATTTCAAAATAAAATTTATACAAATACACCAATAATATAAATTTACTAGAATTTTTAAATATAAAAACACGATATCAATTATTTGAATAAAAGGGACTCTTAGAGCTTAGCCAAATATATCTCTCCAGTTAGGTTTCAGGGAATTATATTATAACTTTACTTGTTTTATCTTTTTTGGAATGTTTATAGTTAAGAGGTTAAGAAAATCAAAAAAAGTAATAATTTGATTAAATTCAAAATCCTGGACATAATAATTAGAAAACTGTTTTTTTTATAAGCCCTACAAACTTTCTTAAATTCTTCTAAAGACTAAAGGTTTCCGAAACGTTTAATTACAATTAAATTTGGAAATGTTTTATTGATAGTTTTTCATTTTACCTCCAATGCTGGAATTATATGCAACTCCAACGCCACAAAATTCATTAAATGCAACAGCTGCAACTTCCCCAGCGCAACGTGTACCGTGTTTATTATCACCATTATCTCGTGGCATAGGATCATCGTCATTATCGTTAATATCTGTACTAGCTTCGTGATCATAATTCATTGCCAAATCTGGATGATTCGATTGAATTCCATCATCAAGAATTGAAATGACAACCCCTTTTCCAGTATATCCTTTTTGCCAAGCAGGCTTCAAGTTCATGTCGAATCCATCTTTTGCTCCACCATTCTGAAATAGTGTTACTCGTTTGAACAATTTACCGAAAGTAGCTGGAGAAATTCTAAAAAGTTTTTTATTCGTCTTTTAACTAATTTCTTAGCAATATTGGTTACGAACCAGTTTTCACGAAGAACTCGGAATTTTTTTTAATACCATTTATTATGCGCAATAGATGTAAGTACATTTATGTTTCATATTAGATACAAGTATTTACGATGCTTTTTGTCTTTACTTTTCATGTTTTCACTTACTTTTCTTTATTTTTCACGGCACTCTTTCTCATGATGCTACAAATCTACTTTTTACCTATGTAGCTAGTAATTCTTAATATTCTTTATTTATTTAGATATTTATGAAAGGCTTGATCGGAATATCGTTAACGAAAAAAAGTTGAAAAAAAGACTTGTCCGGCTTGCTCGGTAAAAAATTGGATTTCGGCATCGCCTTATCATATTGTGAACAGACAACAGTGTTTAGAAGAATAGTTTAGAAGAATTTATCGAAGAATTTATCTTTCGAGTTATTCATTTTAAAAAAACACATTTTCAATCTTACCAAATACCATTGCTCTTTAAAAAGTGGGTCAGTGAATCCATTCTGCGGCAATATACCTCTGTTATTAAGACGATCATATTTAATATCTCGAAGATTGCTTTTTTGATTGTATCGTTGAAAAAATGATGGATATTCTGCATAAACTGAATCAATCCCAATATTATCTCTTTTTGTTCTTTTCTTTTCATGCTGTTGTTGGAACCAGTGTACCTAAATAAATGAGAACAAATTTGAATAATTCTTCGCACAGTTGTGAAGCTCGAAATTTGTATTATGTATAATTAAGGGGATGACGATGCTAATCCGAAAATCACTTTCGAGACCACTTTCTAAAACTTTCACTTAGTGTTTCGCTAAAAGACTCAATGATGCTCTAAAGAATATCAAAATAAAGGTCCTAAAAGAGGCTTTTAAAAAATGATGATTTTTGATCGAAAATGATGACAGACTCGTTATGCACGCATAAACATGTATCCAGTATCATACACTATGATTTATGAATGTAAACATGAGCGAAACTGAGGAAGCACGAGCTTTCTATAGTATGTGCGAACAAAGCAAGCAAGTGAGAGAGAGAGAGAGAGAGAGAGAGAGAGAGGGAGATACAGCACTGCATAGACGTTTAAGAGGAATCAGCGTCGGACAGTATCCTCTCGTGCTACTTGCTTTAGTAGAACGGAGCAAGCAGATTCTTGACTCTTGAAAAATGGATGTTAATATATTTTATATTGAATTTAAAATTTTTATATTAAAAAGTAATGCTTTTTATCAATGAAAGCTAATGTTTGTGCTCAAAATCTATATTATTATAGATACAATCAACGGTTTTCTTGCTGATAGCAACCATATATTCATCCCCTCCACCTCTGGCATAACTTTGCAATAATGAAGAAAAATAAAAATGTACAAAATAGTAATTAAATGAATTGTTACTTACACGTTGATCTTTTGACAATGCCTCATGGTGATGATCACTAATTTGTATAGATCGTTTCCTTAATTTTTTGTGTTCGAATAAATAGTAATCTTTTAAAGCTCCAATCTAGAAAAAACATTTATTAAACCATCGTTTTATCAATTATCTGCATTTTAATAACTTTATATAGTAAATAATAATATCATTTTTTTCGTAAATTGATCATATCTTTAAGGAGGCTGTATCAATGAAACCATGGGAACTCGAAGCCAAACTTTAGCATGTTGCAATTTGGCCTCATAAAAGTTGATTTAAAAAAAAACATGTTAACAACAAAATTCGAGGGAAAAATTAATGTAACAATAGTTAATTTGTGAAAGTGTTAAGCTGTGAACACGGCAAACACAAATTAGTAAACTTTACACCTAGGGAGTGAAAAACCTGAAAGTCTCAAAGCACGTGTAATTTATCAGCCGAGGCTGATAATCACGTACTCTGAGACTTTCTTTTTTCGCTATATAGGTGCAAATACAATTTTTTGTGAATCCCCCAGCCTAAAGTAACATTTTGGTTTTGCTCAGCGGGAGTAAAATATTACTTTAGGTTAGGGTGGCACAAAAAAGTTATTATGAATTGGTGTCAATTAAAATAGTGAATTTTAATTATCATTTTAATTATGATATAAAATTAAAAATATAACACAATAGTTTTAAAATTTTCGATCCGAAGTGGTGATAGGTGATGAGATGCGAGTTAAGGTGACTCTTTATTTAAACATTTTTTTATACAAGGTCTTGAAATTTTGGGATAACGTTAATAAGCGATCTAATTATCTCCCTGCAAAATGTCAGACCCTGTTGCCACGCTAATTTTCGAGAATAAAGTCATCGAAAATTGACTTTTTAACACGGCCTGTATAGGTGCACATCTACTTTTGGACGCTTTTTATTGAATAACTCTCAAAATATATCATACAGCTCTTCCAAAAACTGATAATATAAAGTTGAAAGTTAAAGCTTTCGATTGGTATATTAAAAAGTACATGTTTTCATGCTAATTATTGTAATATTTGCCCGAGAAAGTGAATTTTTATGGTCCAATTGAGGTTTTGTCGTCTGCTGAAGAGGAGAGGGGACGCTTACAACATTACAGCATAGGGCCCTCGGGCACCACAAGAGTCAAAACAAACTAACTACACTCGTATTGACAAGCCGAGTCAGTAAAGAGTCACCTTAATTGGTATAATTTGATGGCCCTGTGCTAAGTTTATATTTATGTCCTTTTTGCGAGATGATGAGGCATCAGAAGTGCAGCTTTTGCTAAAGAAAAAGTTGGCATAAATGTGAATTAATAGTACGAAATATTTTTTATTTTCGGAAAATTTACCGAATTCAGAAAAACTTACAGTACTGCAGCCTCCCTTAAGATTTACATATGGGCTAAGCCATAGTTAGCGTGATGGTCGAAAAATTTTTTTTTCTTCAATTATGTATTTTTTAAGAGCACATTGAAAAGTGAAAATCCTGAAAGTTTCAGCCCTCAAGGTCCAACCCTATTGGATTATCAGGTCCTCAAAGTTGAATTTTCTTTTTCTGCTCATATTCTGCTTGCAATTCTGATTTTCTGAGGTTTATATGAAAAAATTGTTGAATCATGGTTTTTAAGTACAAATTTGAATTCTACATCAAATTTTACACTAAAAACCATGATTCAACAATTTTTCAAATTTATCCCAGAAAATTAGAATTGCAAGCAGAATATGAGCAGAAAAAGAAAATTCAACTTTGAAACCCTGATAATCCAATAGGGTTGGATCTTGAGGGCTGAAACATTCAGGATTTTCACTTTTCAATGTACTCTTCAAAATATACATAATTTAAGAAAAAAAATTTTTTCGACCATCACGCTAACTATGGCTTAGGCCACATATTTATGCGTAAAGATTAATAAATTACCTGTCCAAGATTATCAAATCCATATTTTTCTGCGACGATTGAAGCAGACTCTAAGCCTGATGGTATGTGTACAGCAAAATGGTTAGAAAAAATAGGTGATTCTCGACTTGATTCCGTAGTGTACACACAAATTATAAGTACACAACTTATCCAACCAATAACATTTTTCACTAAATGCATGATTTTTTACCAAATAAAAATAAATTTAACCTTTTTAGAAATAGATTTTTCCAGAAATTTTTGAAATACTTGAATTCTTATCTTTTGTTCAATTTTTTGATCGCACAAAATTGTATCATTTAGATACGTTGATCTGTAAACAAATAAAATAATTCAACTGTAACCTTTGTGTAACAATAGTTAATTTTGCAACAAATTCTCAAAAGGCGTTTTCATCACAGCGTGTGGGAAGTGCTATTTCCCGCACGACGCGTCGTGCGGGAAAATCTTAAAATCGACTTCCTGCACTCGATGATGAAAAAAACTATACGTAACTGAGGCGGTTGTCAATCTTGCACTCGCGTCAATTCAACCCTCGCTACGCTCGGGCTGCAAACTGACAATCTTGCAAGATAGACAACCCCCCGCCTAAGTTATGTAATGTACTATTTTATAGTTATGTTGTGCATTATATACGCAACTTTAACGAGCATGCAAAAATATCAAGCTTGTAAGACAGTTTATAAATATTTAATATGAATGCTGAACTTTTTTAACTCAGCGAAATTCCATTTCTGTGAAAAAAGAACCCAAATCATAAACTATGTGATATTCGTTAACTCGGATGTCACACTACATCAGCTTCAATCGATATACAAATTTAATTATCGCTATAACAACGCCATGTAACTACTGTTGGCACTCCGAAATTCATTTGAATTTCGTAGCGTGCGCGAGCCCAAAAGCCAAAGCGCAGTATCGTATGCGCACTGCTCAACGCACGTGTTGGAGGCTGACTAGTTCGAAAAATCGAATCTACTTTCTCTAAAATACATGCTTAATCATAAGCCATGTACGTTACAGACATGCAGTCTTTGTAAGTTCGTGAAGCTGTTCACACATCTTCGTCTGTTCATCAACTTTTCTCAAGTCCAAGTGAGTCATTAGTGTCGACCACTTGTTCAGTAGTAAAATCCAAATTTATCATGGCATAAGACAATTTAAAAAAAAATGGTTCCAACGAGAGAAACATAAGAGATACCTTGAACAGATTCAGAAGGAATATGCTTCGAATGGATTTTAAACAAATGATAGAAATGTAGATATATGATAAAACGTGAGAGTTCATCTACGCTTTTTAAAATTGTATTGGATGAGAAGCATTTGGAAGTTCTTGCATTTCAACAGCAACGCACGAAACTCAATATTCATAGAATATTAATAGATGGAAAGTCTGCAATTCATTATTTGTTCAATCTCTACTACAAACACTAATCGAACTTACGAAACGATCATCATTTCATCGATCCTGCCTTAGACGATCTCCAACAGGAAAAAAATTCGAGCAAATATCATGCTTACGCAGACCCAGAGAAGAAGTCCCTCATTAATTTTTTTCTAAAAAATTCCGAGGAAAATCATTGCGACGATCATGGATACACCTATTTACACGGAGCTTGCTTCAGCGGCGATATCGAGACGGTGCAACGATTCTTAAGTCAAGGCGGGGACATCAATGTCGACACGTACAAGTGCTCGCCAGTGCACATAGCCTGCAAGTACCGCTGAACCGAGTATAAATTACTATTTTTAGGGAGTTGAAAAAAAGATTGTCAATTTCAATAAAAAGTTTTTTTATTGAAATATTTTTGCATTATATACAAAATTATAAACAGGTCTGCTCAGTCGAATATTTTTTTCTTTCGACTTATAGTGAATTACATTTCAACTTTTCCACTTGTACCGAATCGAACTCCTTTGTGTCTGTCTATCTCTTCTATGAGGTTTCGATTGACAAATCAGTAATGTCTTCTTTCCGAATAGTTGTGTACACATTTTATTCTCAGAGTATGCAGTGTTAGTTGGTTAACATGAAAAATGCCGATTAAGGTTTTTTTATTCAATGCTTTCTGGTTGGAAGAAACTTCATGTGCCTGCGGCACGTTGTCTGAAAGATTATTTAATCATTCTCGGATTTCATTTCGAATTTTGTCGTTCTCGCAGGATTGCTCTGAGTTTTTCCAACTCGTTCTCGTGGCTACGAACCGCCGAGTGAAGTGATACACGTAGCAGCGTTTTAATTCTGTAATTATCTTTCTTTTTCGGTGCATACATTTCAATTTTTTTGCGTAACAATTCGATCCATTGGCTAACTTTTTGATTTCGCTCAAAATCAAACGAATTTTTCATTGTGCTGCGGGTAGAGTTCACAAACTGCACGTGATGTTGCTATTGCCAGATGATAAGTGNCTTAAGAATCGTTGCACCGTCTCGATATCGCCGCTGAAGCAAGCTCCGTGTAAATAGGTGTATCCATGATCGTCGCAATGATTTTCCTCGGAATTTTTTAGAAAAAAATTAATGAGGGACTTCTTCTCTGGGTCTGCGTAAGCATGATATTTGCTCGAATTTTTTTCCTGTTGGAGATCGTCTAAGGCAGGATCGATGAAATGATGATCGTTTCGTAAGTTCGATTAGTGTTTGTAGTAGAGATTGAACAAATAATGAATTGCAGACTTTCCATCTATTAATATTCTATGAATATTGAGTTTCGTGCGTTGCTGTTGAAATGCAAGAACTTCCAAATGCTTCTCATCCAATACAATTTTAAAAAGCGTAGATGAACTCTCACGTTTTATCATATATCTACATTTCTATCATTTGTTTAAAATCCATTCGAAGCATATTCCTTCTGAATCTGTTCAAGGTATCTCTTATGTTTCTCTCGTTGGAACCATTTTTTTTTAAATTGTCTTATGCCATGATAAATTTGGATTTTACTACTGAACAAGTGGTCGACACTAATGACTCACTTGGACTTGAGAAAAGTTGATGAACAGACGAAGATGTGTGAACAGCTTCACGAACTTACAAAGACTGCATGTCTGTAACGTACATGGCTTATGATTAAGCATGTATTTTAGAGAAAGTAGATTCGATTTTTCGAACTAGTCAGCCTCCAACACGTGCGTTGAGCAGTGCACATACGATACTGCGCTTTGGCTTTTGGGCTCGCGCACGCTACGAAATTCAAATGAATTTCGGAGTGCCAACAGTAGTTACATGGCGTTGTTATAGCGATAATTAAATTTGTATATCGATTGAAGCTGATGTAGTGTGACATCCGAGTTAACGAATATCACATAGTTTATGATTTGGGTTCCCTTATAAAAATTCCCTACAGGGTCCCGCGAAATTCCTGCTGGAATCCTATAGGACTCCTGTAGAAATTTCGCGGGATCCTATAGGAAATTTTCATAAGAGTTCTTTTTTCACAGAAATGGAATTTCGCTTTATGATTATTTATTATGATTCCCTATTAATTATGATTCCCTATTAATATTCAACGTTGTCTAAACGTTTTTTAAACGTTTAATTTGCAACCTTTAAATGTTTAAGAGAAGGTTTGAATAAACGTTGAAGAAACGTTGTATAGACGTTTAAATGTCCACTTCCTGAAATCTTCTAAACGATGTATCAACGTTATAACAACGTTGAGTAAACCTTAATCAAAACTGTTAATCAATTAACTAGGCGTTCAGAAAATTGCAAAATTAAGCACTTTTTAATTATAAACGTGCGGATTCCTTCTTAAACTGTGAACTGCTCGGTGTACCCTGACCAGTGCTTTCATTAAGTACATGTATGTGTACGTATAACTTTCCTTAAATTACTTTTTGTGTTAATTGGTTTTTAGAGGAGAATCTGATACCATAAATACACTCTATTACCTAAAAGATGTCTCGTATTTTTTAGTTAAATCAAAAAAATCCATTTGCCGAATTTTTAATCTAGATTATTTAAAAGTGAGCATTGATTATTTCATAATTTAAACCACAAACACTTTCAAAACATAGAATAACAACACTTAAACTACTCGATATATTGTATCAGATTCTCCTCTAAAACCCCATCTACTCAATTGTATAATCAATTGATTCGGATTTACACACAAAGTAATTTAAGAAAAGTTATACGTACACATACATGTACTTAATGAAAGCGCTGGTCAGGGTACACCAAGCAGTTCACAGTTTAAGAAGGGATCGGCACATTTATAATTAAAAAGTGCTTAATTTTGCAATTTTCTGAACGCGTAGTTGATTGATTAACAGTTTTAATTAAGGTTTACTCAACGTTGTTATAACGTCGATACATCGTTTAGAAGATTTTAGGAAGCGGACATTTAAACGTTTATACAACGTTGCTTCAACGTTTATTCAACCCTTCTCTTAAACGTTTAAAAAACGTTTAGACAACGTTGAATGTTAATAGGGAAAAAACCTAGTTATGTTGTTTACAGCCAGCGTTGTGAAGAGTTGGACACATTATGGCTGCCCCAGCAAAATACTCGCACTACTTTGTTGCTATGTACATTGCATCCAACCCAAATAATAACGTTTAATTCAAAGAATTGTTTATTCGTGATCTTTTTGTTCCTAAACTTTTATAACAATTTTATTCTTTCATTGATCAGTCAAAATTATTTATAAAGATGCTTAATTCAAATATACTTAATTACAGAAGAATTTCACAAGTGCATTATTTCATGAGTATTAATTTATTTTGATGTTTGAGTTGGCTGTGCTATGAATGTCAATAATGTAAAGCAAGTTGTCAGTTAGTCTGCTACGACAACTATTGGCTATCTGCATAACCCGTGGCGCCCCCAATTTTTGAGAAATTCCATGTTATTTCTTACGGATAAATTTCAGTTCGGTGAGCGCCGCTGGCATTTTTTGGATCAATTCCCATAAGAGCACATGTTAAAGTCGATGCCAGCGCTGCAACCCCCTCCAATTTCACACGGAGATAACAAATATTGTGTCCAGTTCTTCACAACTTTGGTTCAGTACTTTAAGCATAAGCACATGTCACATTTTTTACGCTTCTGCCCTCTCACGGTAGAGTTTAGAGCTAAGCGCTCTTTAGGTATTGTTGGTATTATTTATTTTTCTTATTATTTTTTTATTATTATTTTTATGATTATTATTGCTTTGATTATTCGATTTTTTATTCTTATTAATGTTTGTTAGTTCCTATCTTAACAACTTCTTGCTAATATATTACTCATCTTCTCATTATCATTGATTTCAATTCATTGTCACTTTTTTTATGCTCTTCTTTTTTAATCTTATTAATGCATATTTCATTTCATTTCATTCAGTTAAAAATCACCTCCTTTTTTAATATTAATTCTTGCAGAGATATTCAACAATTTCAGCATTTAAATATTAAAATTCCTTTAAGTATTAATATATTTAAGGTCAATAGATTATTTGGTGTCATTGAAAATATGATAATTTGAAAAATTGTTTTGGTATTTTTCTTACAATTTAAAAATTAAATAGCTAAGGTATCTAAATAAAAATGTTAATAACACTCTTATTTCTAGAGTGATTTGTATTAAAAAATTAAAAAACTGTCACTAATTATTAAAATTAAAATTTAATATAAAACTTTCATCGTAAGGAAAAAAATTATATCAATTAGATTTCATGAATACAATTTTTTCAATGAGCTTGTCAGAAGTGCAAGTGACATAACTGATCGAATACCAAAAACTTTTCAATGATCCCGTTTATGTAATAATTTTTTCCAATTTAATGATAATATGCAGAATTGATTTAAAATAATATCTCTGTCTTCAAGAGTTAGCTATAAGCTTATTCAATAGTTTACTTGAATAGGTCAGGTAATTAATTATAACATTGAACAAACTAAAATCATTCTGATTTGTTTTAACTGCAATGAATAAAAAAAGGTAATAAAGAATTCAAGATTTTTTTTATTTAAATCCACTGGTAAAAGACAATCTTTCATAATAACAGCCTATTAAGATAACATAAGAACTTAAATAAGGCATCCTATCAAAAAACCAAACATCATAATTTGCATACTTTATATAAAATTATTGAAGAAGTTTAGTACTCCACTTATACGAGTTTGAACACTTAACCAAAGGTTAGATATTAGTAGTTATAAAAACTTCTTAAAATGTCACAAAAAATTTGTTTAAAAACTTGCCTGGCAATTATCTTAAAATTTTGTTGATAATGTTTTTCACTATAACTCAAGTTCAAAATATTCATGTATAAGTACAACACATTGTCTGTCACCAACACTGTTAATATTTTTACTTTTATGGAAATTGTCAAAATTAGTTAAAATTTATATATTAAGGTAACATGGAAAATTTCTTTACTGTTATAAAAATTAGTATAATTTTTAAAGATGCACACCTGATGGTATGAAGAAAATATTCAAGTGTATATACAAAGTTTACAGATTGATACTTCATCAATTTGCTACCTGGAGGTATTAGAGCAATAATTTTGAAGGTTAAGAATAATTGATTTAAAATAAAATTGATCTAATTTTTTCATCAATGCCGATAAACTTTTAAGCGGTTTTCGTTTGTGTGTGTACATATTTCATTGACATGTATTGAACATTGGTAAGTCATAATAGAAATCAAAAGTATTAAGGGCTAATCAAATAAAGAGGATCGCGACATTACGTGTACTCAAATACGTATTTATGCATTGCAAATTTCATTCCTTATTTTAGCTCTTCAGTATATTCCCATCTTTTGTCTAGGCCTTGAGTATGTAGATTTATTATCTACTCGAAAAACTTCGGTCTTATAAAAATTATTATATATTTTATTTAATGTTATATTGAATTAATGAAATCAAAATTACGAACAGTCGAATGATATGATGATGTAGTGAAATATATAATTTGAAAGGATATTTACATGCAACATATACTTCATCACCGCTTACCACACGTCATTATTATTTTACACTTATTCAATATTCAATTACCTTTTATCGTTTACCAAATATATTAAAAAGCAGGTAAGCATCGCTGCAACAAATGAAATTTTTGAAAAATAAGAGAGAAGTTTCTTAAGTATTTTACAAATAAATGTTTGTTTCTATTATAGAAATTTAATCGTAGATTACGGTAACATGACTTATAACAATCATCATGATTTAAACAATTTTATTACCATTTTATAATTTCTTACGAAACCGTTCAGATTCGTAATTTCGTAAAACAGTACCGTTGAGAAGTCAATTATTTAATTTTAACGAATTGGTAATGTATAAAATATTTACTGTAACTTTTCTAACCTGTGCTGTCTAGATTTATTTTAAAAATACTAGTTTTTCATCTTACAAAAGATTATAAATTCACACACATAATCATAACTTTAATGCCCATTGGTACATCGCGAGCATACATGTTTAATTGAATAACCTGAATTCGACTAAAATATTCGATTAATCTATCCATTAGAATAATCAGACCCATAAACTCCTTGAGCAGCTATCCAGGTTTTAGGCTAGTCAAACACATAATTTATTAATGCAAAAATTGTCCACCAATTGTGTTACTAATAAAATCGTCTTGTCTAAAAATTAATGTAGTAATAGAATGAATGCCTGATTTTTTTGCATTGTTGAAATATTTTTTGCTGTGGCATCTCGTGACTTCATTCATCATAACTAATTTTTTTTTTTATTGAGGGCAAAGTAAAATATTCGAAATTTCCAAATCTTTTTTTGAGACTTACATAGAATATTTTAATCCAACGAATTTTCTAAATAAAAGAACCTGAGTAGTTTTTTAGGAATACAAAAATAAATGAAAGCAGTATTTGAGGGTTAAAAAAATCTTTAGTGTGTGATATGTTTGAACAAAACCGAAATGTTAATTTTAGCGGAGGTTTTTTTGGACATGAATCGATCTTTTCGCAGTCGATTGGTTTTTTCTAATTATAAAAACCTAAAACTTATCATCAATTATTATAATAATACATATTTTTATGGTGGGAGACGTTTTTTCTTAATTTAAGATTCGATGATGACATTTTTGTGATAAAAAAAGTAGAATTTTCATTTTTTTGTAAATCAATTTTTAGTGGATCTCCAGCTGCATTTCACGATAAGTGTTTAGAGTGCAATTTTAGGTTGATTTCCAGGAAGGATTTTTCCCATAAATTTTTTGAGTTCAATTTTTCGGACACTTATAACGAAAGGATATAAAGGATAGGTTTTGAGTTTAAATGTAAATAATTGATTAATAACACCCTAAATATTAAAAATAAAATTCTAATTTAATTTCATCTTACGATACTCTTGGAAAATAATCAAAAATTCAGCGAGAAAATGTACTCAGAATACCCATCTAAAATATCTAGTGAGAAAATCAATCCCAAAAATCCAGTTAGAAATCAACCTAAAATCATAATATTAGGTTCGTTACACATGAATTCCCAACTCTACAGAAAAGTAATTGATGGAACAAATCTCGAAACAATTTATGTATTTGCAGCATAAAACGTTGAGTTGCACGTTCTCCGATGTTAATTTTCATACACTACATTTCATTTATCAACCTCTTTTCCGTACGTTTTTATAGAAAACAAAACTGTTTCGAAAAAGATATTTCGAAACTCTTTCCTGGAAGATGTTTAAATTATCAACAAAAATTATTCAATTGATAACAATATTTCAAGTTGATTATCGAGGATGTCCTAAAAGTTCACAAGGATCCTCTTAAAATTTTCTGTGAAAAATCTCAATAGTTTTCAAATAGTTCACAAGTCCGAGAATAATTGATAAATTCCCTTGTATTTTTAAGAAAATTATCTACGTAGATTCCACGTGAAATCCGCGGAACTTGTCTGACTTCTGATTAGGAACGTGGAATTCGATAAAATTTTATTAGAATACAACCAAGAAACCGAACGTAAAAAGAAAAATATTTTAGAATCTCAGTTAATACGGTTCACAAGAGCAAGCCTTTTTGACTACCGTTACCAATCACGTTTACTCCCAGCTGTTTTTTAATATCTGAAATTAGTACGCAAGCACGATGTATCGGGGAATCTTTAGAAGGAACGCAATGCATTCCTTTAAGACAACACAGACAACACAGCTAGTTGAGATCATGTGCTTTTAAGAAAATTTAAGTCGATTCGTCAATCTAGATCATTGCTTATATTGATATGAGTAAAGTTACTAAGAGACGTAAACATAATTTTCATGAATCTAGGCATCCCTACAGATTAAAACAGCAACAAGGACTTTGGCCGACCCCCTAACTTATTCAGACAACTGAATCGTAATTCCTTTTCTACATCTTTCCTGAAAAACGTTTCAGAAGAAGGTTGCTCTAATTCGATAAGCTCAATGCATAAATGCAACGGTCGTAACAGAGTTTAAAAGATATTAAAAAATTGAAAATTAATTTAAAAAATCAATTTCAAAGAGATAAAATTTAAGCTCGGAACTGTTGAAAAAATAATTAATCTCGTGTATATTTACATATTTTTCAGAATAAAGTGTTCTTATAATAGATGTTCACTTCTAGCGATCACTGTATAAGAAAAAAAGAATGCAAAACATTGGCTGATTCAATCTCTAAGAGACAAAGAGCTCGAATAAAAAACCAACTTTCAGAACTCCAACACGAAATCCACATCATGGAAAATTCTCAACAGAAGAGTATTGAGGATATCGACGACGAAAATACGTAAGTTTTTTATTAAATCTTTTTGAATATGACTGTCGTGAATAATGATCATGATAATAATGTAATTTCTCAAAGAATTCAGAAAACTTGAGTTATAAATATTAAATTGTTTTAGGCAATGTGAAATTTTGGAAATTGATCCTTCCGAATCATCTCATTCTAATGTGGAACCGAAAATTCATTGCGTTCTTGCAAAAAACTATCCAGATCAATTATCTAATTGTAATCTTGATGAAATTTCAAAAAGTTCAGTAAATTCAATACCAGAAAATTTACCAATTTTAGAATCTATCAAATATGAACAGAAAAAAGTAACTACAGCCTCCAGTGCAAAGGTAAAGTTATTTCTTTTTTTTCAGCATAATTTATGAAAATTTAAAATGGTGATTAAAGATCCAAAAAATAACTTGAAAAAAATTGATCATCATTGAACGATTTCTAATATATAGAATGATTTTCACTATCTTTGCAACTATCATGCGACACTGTCTTTACAATTATGATTAATTTTTTAAGAATAGAGTGATTTTTATTAAAATACAATTCATATACAATATTAGATTATTACTTGTATTTATTAAAAAAAAAAAAAAAAATTATTTGGATCCCACAGCTCATAACTGGAGGGTTTTCAACTAAAAGCGATGGTTCTAAAGTAAAAGAGAAAGAAGATTTAAAATTAGATGACGCATGTTACTCTAAAAAAAGTAATACTTTTGCACGTAGAACAAGTGAAGAACAAAATAAAACTATCGAAGAATCATGTTTGTATGCAGAAAAGGTAAGTTTTCAATAAAAACCAATTATTCATTTTTGTAAAATGATAGTTACCATGAAATATTAATAAAATAAACTACATCACATTGGGAAACATACGATTCGGTACTGCTTCTGAGCAAACCATAAAAATTTGAGAAAATGGTAAAATCAGTTACGCGATTCCTCTAGTTCTTAAGTACTATAACTCCAACCATGAAGCAACATTTTATTCCTGCTAAGCGAAATCACAATATTACATTAGACTGTAGAGTGGGGGATTAAAAAAAAATATTCGCATCTGCAAAATATTTTATAGTGCACTGGGTTAATTAACGTCGATTCTGTCTGGTCCAACAGAGTGGTGGAACGTGTTTAAGCATAGGAACTTCCGGCGTTCCATCGGACAGAGTCGATGTTAAATCCCTCGAATAATTTTCATAGCATTATAAATGCGCTGGGGTGGATGTTTTTTTCGACAATCTATAGTTGAAAATCTTCATTATTCAGAAAACTGTTTAGTTCATGTTTTTGATTGATGTAAAATTTAATCTTTCAAAATCATTCTCTTTCAAAATCTGAAATCAGAATCGAGTTAAAAGTTGAAGTTGAAAATATGTACTTCAATTTTCAAAATCAATATAAATTTGATTCATTTGCCTAAGGGGAAAAAAAACTTAAGGAGGTTCGGGAGTGTTTGAGGGGGACGAAGCGGGACGCGAGGGGCTCCTATACTTCCAATGTTAAATTTTCAGCGCTGCCAACTTCGAAATAACACGAAATTGTAGGTTTTTTCAATGAGCTGGCACACAATTATAGCTATTATTAATAATTCAATCATTTTGATGAGTTTTTTTCGATGTTTTAGGCTTAAAACAATACTCTATTTGTCATTAGAGTCGAATGAGCACATATTTTTGTTGTTCTAGCTCATTTGTTGGTTAGGGTACGCGCAAATGACCCACGAATTTTTACACATAACAATTTATTTCTCGATAACTAAACGGTCGATGAACTTCTTTTTGCAGTCAAATTATTCCTTATTAAATTTCCTACATGTACGTATTTGTTTCTATTTAGTTTTTGTTTTTTTACATTATGTTTATGCTCATTGAAAGCGAAAATTCATGATTTCTCGTAAGAAACCATGTTAAATGGTCAAAAAATTTTTTCATCATTTTAACAAAATTTTGCGGTGAAAAGTTGTATTTTGATATAAACATTCATATTATAAAGTTTCAAAGCAATTGAACGTGTTTTAAAAATTTGGCTGCATTTCGCTGAGACTCCCGAACCTCCTTAACTTAAAATTGTTCAAAGAAACACCCTTGAACCCCCTGTGTTTTCAGAATTTTTGCAATCATTTTGGGATTTTTGAAAATGGTCAGAAATCATAAAACGAAAAATTTAAAAATATCTGAAAAAATCAAGGAAGTTTCTTGAACAATTCTAACACTTTAATTACGTATAAAAGTTTTTCATTGAATACTTGATTTTCGAATTAAAAAGTTGAATTAGTATTTAGGCCCTTCTCAAGAAGGAGTACTTTCACGTCTGATGTTTTTTTTTCAAATACTTGATAATTTTTATTTATTTTTAGAAATCTTTAGAAACACAGCAACAGAGACAAGCTTTAACGAAAAAAGGAATATTCAAGCACGCAACTCACTCAACTTCTTCCCAGTCTACTATAACTGTGGCTTCAAAGGCCACCATTGCACCAAGCATGCAAATTTCAAATGAATTGAATGATAAAAATTATTCCATCCACCCAAATATTAAGCCATCAATAGACTGTAAAGGAGATGCGCCACAAAAAACTTTGGACGATATCGATAAATTGACTTCCAAATCGAAGTCGCAAGAGATAGAATTAGTTAAAAAAAAGTATTCGGATTTTATCGAAAATCTTGTGAATCGCCTTAAAGACGATAAAGAAAATCGCATTAATTTGAATGATGCAACTAAGTCATTTTTCGTGGATCAAATTAATGATATAATTCAGAAATCTTGGGCTGTTCCAACTCATGGGCATGAATTGGGTTTGAGCTTATGCGATTCATTACGAACAAATGGTGGGCTCAATTTGCTTATAGACAATTGCATTTCAAACGATGACCGATTGCAATTTTCATCGGCACGTCTTTTGGAACAATGTTTGACAACAGATAACAGAGAGCATATCGTTGACTCAGGTTTAGACAAAGTTGTAAATGCTGCGTGTATGTGCACCAAGAGAATAAATTCAGTTGAACATGCTCGAGTTGGTACAGGAATTCTCGAGCACCTTTTTAAACACAACGAAAATACCTGTAGCGATGTAATTCGATTGGGTGGTCTCGACGCCGTACTTTTTGAATGTCGAAAAAATGACGTGGAGACTTTGAGGCATTGTGCTGGAGCTTTGGCAAATTTGTCTTTGTATGGAGGTGCCGACAATCAAGAAGCCATGATTAAAAGAAAAGTCCCAATGTGGTTATTTCCTCTTGCTTTCCATAATGATGATAACATAAAGTACTACGCTTGTTTAGCGATTGCAGTTCTAGTGGCAAATAAAGAAATCGAAGCTGCTGTTCTCAAATCAGGGACATTAAACCTCGTTGAACCATTTGTCACCTCACATATTCCTTACAATTTTGCCAAATCAAATTTAGCTTACGCTCATGGACAAAGCGAGAATTGGCTCTTAAGACTAGTCCCTGTACTCAATTCTAAACGCGAGGAAGCTAGGAATCTTGCTGCTTTTCATTTTTGTATGGAAGCCGGTATAAAAAAGCAACAAGGAAAAACAAGCATATTCCGAAAAATTGGAGCTATTGAGCCTTTGAAAAAAGTCGCTGGTTGTCCCAACGCTATCGCTTCTAAATTAGCTGCTCATGCTCTGAAATTAATGGGCGAAGAAGTACCTCATAAATTGAGCCAACAAGTACCTTTATGGTCAACTAAAGATGTACTTGAATGGATCAAACAAATTGGATTTGAACATTTCATTACTAGCTTTGTAGAAAGTCAAGTTGATGGAGATTTGCTCCTATCCATAACCGACGAACATTTAAAAGAAGACATCGGTATGTCAAATGGGATTTTAAGACAACGGTTTACGAGAGAACTACATAATTTGAAAAGAATAACGGATTATAGCAGTAGAGATACCGGAAATTTAAATTCATTTCTGCAATCTATAGGACAAGAATTTTCCATATATACATACACCATGTTAAATGCCGGCGTTGATAAGGATACAATCAAAACCTTGACCGAAGATCAACTTTTAACTGAATGTCACATTACAAATAGTATTCACCGATTACGGATCTTGGAAGCCATTAAAAACTGTAACGCTAATCAATTTATTACCAGCGCGAATGAAGAATCTGACAAATCTCTCGATGTATTCGTCAGCTACAGAAGATCAAATGGATCACAACTGGCAAGCTTATTAAAAGTTCATCTTCAGCTCAGAGGTTTTTCAGTTTTCATCGATGTAGAAAGACTTGAAGCAGGAAAATTTGATAATAATCTCTTGCAAAGCATTAGACAAGCAAAACACTTCTTATTAGTGTTAACACCGAAAGCTTTAGAAAGATGCGTCAATGACACAGATTGCAAGGATTGGGTGCATAGAGTAAGTAATACTTTGTTCTTGTTCTAGATATTATTTAAAATTAGTAACGTAATTTTTTCGCATGATTTTTCTCATATTCCGGGTGCGTGAAGATGATGAGTTCATTTCATACCCTCTCTAGAAATGTTAAATTAAATCATAAGAAAGCGCGATCGTTTTCGATTTCGGACAAGTGATTAGATTTATTCCTCGTCTCCATAAAAAAAAACATGAAAACGACGCCGGCGCCGATTCTCACGAATCCGGTCTATAAATTCTTCGTTACGAGAAGACAACTTCTTCAACAAAATTTAAAAAAATTAAACATCTTTTTGCATATTTGCAGGAAGTTGTTGCTGCTCTGCAATCCCAATGTAATATAATACCAATCATTGACAATTTTCAATGGCCAGAACCTGAAGATCTTCCAGATGATATGAGAGCAGTGTGTCATTTTAATGGAGTTCGTTGGATTCATGATTATCAAGACGCATGTGTAGATAAGTTAGAAAGGTAAGCTTAATAATATTTTCGACTGCAGATATTAATCATTGCATTATGATACAAAATCCGAAAACTCAATATGTTACGATATATCATACGTTTATTTCAGATTTATGCGAGGAGAACTACCAGTTAAATCCGAGTAAACTAATAGGAAACAATTATGAAAAAATTTATAATGAAGCAGTCAAGTAAAACAAAAAGTATTCACGTCGATTTCAAGCTCAATAGACGAAATTTGGACGAAAAAATCAATTATATTTTTGAAATTAACTGTTGTAAATTTATAATTAATCGCTAGAATTGGATCCAGTCACCTCTGGAATAATATTACTTGGATCCAATATTGCTTCATAACCCGTCAACGTGTTCACCAAGCTTACAGTCATTTGTCAACTCAGTCACTAATTTTATAATTTAATCAAAGTCCGCCTACTTATTAAATATTTTTTACCATATCGAAAAACCAAGCAAACAATATAATAACGCTATCAATGTGTATTTAAAAGCATCCATCATCATTGTAAATTTAGAAGCTACGAGAAGTATCGGGACTCACTACGCGCAAGTAAATTTTGATACCTACTGAATTTTTATTGGGAAATAATGTGGGCGCGATCTGGGTGTTATATTAATCACTACGGTAACTTGTCTGCGGGTCAAGATCGGGTAATCATTTACAAAAAGTATTTACATTTGACTTGATAATTTGAACTGAAATTCAATTACAAATTGAAAAGTAATCAAAGTAATCTTATTAAATTTTCATAAACTTGTAAGGGTAATGTCAGTACTCAATTCACGATACGAATGGGATCACTAAGCTAGATGCTGACGACTATATTGTCATCGGCCTAATACTGACTCGACTATACACTGGTTATTGAGAAACACCCTAGCGCGCTTCTTGATCATCAATCGCATAGTCGTAAGCCCACGGCGCAGCGACGATCCAACTAAAAACTGAAAATATTGCAACTTGCAATCTCGCTCTCCCGGCTACAAGTACCGGGCCGCTTGACTATAGGCTGAGGAAAATCATTATCCCATTCATCAACAGCTGACCTGTTAAGAAAACGATAAGTTCTAACAAATACGAGATAAAGTGGCGCAAGTATACATCAAACTAAATTTTACTATGCGCCATTTTATTGAGTATTTATCAGAACCTACTTTTTCAATCGGACGACCTATAGTTAATAATTGGATTAACTAACTCTCTGCTATTGGAAAATAGGTGGTAGGCTTTTTTCGTACAAGGTGGCGAAAGAGATTCGATATCAACACGGTCGATCTTATGGGATCTTCATTTCATCTTGAGATGTTCATTTCCAAAAAATTTTGACCCCGCAATGATTTAATTAATTTACCTTCGCCTTAAGTGCAATGTTGACTTCAGCTGCTACTGTGGCGTTTAAATGAGGTAAAAGTGACGTTTTGAACAAGCTTGTGTATATTTAATAAAATCTATCACCTATTTCCCAATAGCTTCTGTCATGAAACACAATTATAATTACAGGTAACATATTGTGCGCGCCGGACTATTTGTGCTTGTTTAGTCGTAAAAAAGTGCCTCTAATATAATAATTTTGATAAATTCATATAAGTGCAGTGCCTTAAGTCGCTTTATATTTCTGCCAATTACAGTGCAAAAATTGTTAAAGGTGCAGGCGACCAAACTTTGCACGGCATTCAAGTCACGATTAAAAATATACTTGAAATATTTTCTATAACCATACTTATAAAATCAATTTATATACGTACTTCGTACGCATTAATTTTTTAATCGCGTTTTAAAAAGGTTGCTATTGTGACCGCAGTATCCTATTTCGACTCGAGCCAAAAGAAGCTCGACCAATCTAAAGTCTTTTAAAACGGCCTCGATTTTCGGTCCTTCAATTTTTTATAAATTTTTTAATTTTTTAATATTTGTCGATGTATGTAAATTTCTCTATTTCTTGGGCGTAATCGGATCTTTGTTCAGAAAATATTTCGCCATAGTCATAAACAATAAGTAATGATAAAATAAAAATTTTATAAAAGTTATCTAATTCCACGTATTAAAATTACCTGCAGTCATTAATTAGTAAAAATTGAAAAAAAATTAGAAATTCATAAACTAATTATTTACTTAGATAATTAATACGATAAAGATTTAAATGTATTATTATTATGCCGTTAGCATAATTTACTAAAGCTTAATTTTGTTATTCATCAATCATTGTATTGAAAAAAAGAATTCGTTTAAACAATAAATAAAACTTCAAATTAAATGAGTGCTAATTTTCCAAGAACCCTTTATTTTCAAATTTTATATTGTTTTCTTCTTTTTACTGCATTATATCATTAATAAGTTGGATCTGCTCTTATCTAGATAACGATAAAGTTTAGAAAAGGTTAGTAATACGGTTACAATAAAAATTGTATGTACCTGGTTGTTAAGAATTTCATGATAACTACTATTTGCAATTAAGTGCAGCGAATGCCGACATAGTTTGGATAAAAAAAGTTTTTTGAATCGTGTCCATCGAGGACAATATAGGTTGACGGAGTTTTGTAATGTTTATATTAAATATTTTGAATAATTTGGTGTTATTCTAATTTATTGTTGATTCTCAAATGATGCATCATGTAGTCAGTTTTTCGAATGAACAATGTAAATATTATTTTTATCGGCCGAATTCAAAAACGTGTAGAGACTTTTGATATTTCACAAAAGCAAAAGGCTCGAATGGAAATTATCCTGAAAAAAGACGTTGCCTGTCCAGAACAAAACTAGTTTTATTTTTCGCCTCGATCAATTCCCCCCTTCTTAGTTGAAATATACATGTAGCGCATTAAGAATCGGAGGTCATACGATTATGGAGACGGCATTAACGAGGCTCGCGCAGTTGCGCTTCATCCGCGCGCAAGGACTAACGAACGATGTCGCTCGCCGCGGCTTCGATACTACCTTTCCTGCTCATTATCGGAGCTTCCATCGTCAGCAAAGGTAATTAAAAGCGTGCAAAAAGAGACTGGCGTTGAAAAAAAAAAAACATTACATAATGCATCGAATCCGTGTTCGAGCTTGCCAATTTTATAATTAATTCAGTCCATATTGTTTATTTATTTATTTATTTATTTATTTATTTTGCAATTTGTCATATGCGCAGATTGCAGTCAAGTGGAGTGCAAAGGCCCCTTGAAATACTACAACGATCTGAGATGCGAACCAGTTTACAAAAATGCTAATGATTGTTGCCCCATCAGCTACGATTGTTCGCATCTTCGATCTCATAAGAGTGACAAGTGCTACGCCAATGGTCATGAATATTCCATCGGAGAGACACTGAGAGACGAAGACCGTAGCAGCGCTTGCGACATTGCCTGCATATGCCGCAACGACTACAAAAATAGGTACGTTATTATTCGTACGTTTGAAAATAGCTTCGATCTCGAGATGCGATAACGAGTTGTTTTTTTTCTTCAAGAGCTTCGTTTTTGTGCGCCGCTGTGGACTGCTATCGAATGAGACCGGCTCCCGGCTGTTATTGGAGACAAAATCCCGACTCGTGCTGCGGAGGCGAAGAGGTTTGCCGTGAGTATCCTTGAGCGATTAGTCTTTAAGTGTATGCAAAGCTTATGCACGAAAATGCAACCCGAAATTTCAGCCGAGCGGCCGGAGGATCGGTATCGATGCGAGGTCGCCGGTAAAATCTACCAGGACGGCGACGAGTTTCAGCCGGACGCCAACACGGTGTGCCAGTGCGCGAAAGGTTACGCGGGCGAGAACGTCGAGCCGTTTTGCCGAGCGATCAAGTGCGGCGTCGAGCTGCATCGGCTGAACGAGGTGCGCGACAATTGCGCTCCTTACTTTTACAGCGGTCAAAATCCCAGCACCAGCTGCGCCTTCGCTTACAGATGTCGTGAGTGTGCAGCAATTATCGAATCTTATCCCGTCGCGATCGATCGTTACACTCGTATCATGTACATGCATAATTTTTGTCCACAGCCAACGATAACGACACGATACTAGTGAAGCAGAAAGAGAACGGCTCGAACGACGCGGCGCAAGATAAAGCCCAAGAGGAAGACAGCGACGTCACCTGCACTTTCGGCAATTTAAAAATGCGCATCGGAGACGAGCTGAGCGAGTCCACGGAGCCCGGCTCGAATTGCGTCAAATGCACTTGCCAAGTGCCTCCGATGCCGACTTGCGTGAGGCTCGATCAGGCTACTACTTGCTGATCGCCGAGCGAAAATCAAATTGTTTGTACTTTCGAGCTAAGGTTGAATAAATGTACACGCCACCATTCGACAATAAAGAAACATCTCGCACCTAATCGGCGAATCAAATTGACTTGAATGCGCGTCGCTTGCTTGATACGCGAGATATTGAATGCAGCGCATTACTCACTTTCCGTGTGCGCCGCCGCAGCGATGACGCAAGTATCAACGATCCGCATTGCTTTCGTCGCGCATCGCGAAAAGCATCAAAACATCGGGCCGCTTTCGGGTTTTTTCCTCCTCGTGCTCAGCCGCGACTGTATATAAGTGGAAAAACGAATTTCTCTCGATCGGGTACTTTAAAGCGAGTACGTGCGAGTTGGCGCACAACGAGCCATGCCAACCTCGCGCAATACGTAATAATTTCCAAAAATGTAAAAGAAACCGGTTGTACGCGATAAGTACTCGGGCGCGCTAATGGCAATTATCATAGATTCAGTCAATTTAGTCGATTGGCGTATTTTATTAATTTATTAAGATTCCGTCGACAAACATCGTATCGTCGCGTACAAGCATTGCACCTGTTGAGATTTTTGTTTGTCCTCGAGTGTTATCAGCCGCGCGTAGGAGAGCATGTGTTCGCTCGAGTGCATCAAAGATTACAAATATATTAAGCGCGTCGAGGCGTCGCGTACGGAAGTCGATCGTAGCTGCTCCACGATCAGCGATCATGCTCGCCCCTAGTCCGGCCCTGACTTGCCTCCTCCTGCTCGCGCTGCCGATGATCTCGGCCAACCACGAGAAGGATGCACCGCTCGCCTTCACCAAGTACGGCCCCATCCGCGGCTATCGCAGGCGATCCTACGCCAACGTCACCTACGACGCCTACGAGGGTATACCCTTCGCTCGGCCACCCACGGCCCATCGACGATTCGAGGTGAGATACCTTGAATTTCCCTATGAATTTCGTACCAGCTCGTACTCGCAACGCGAGGATAACGGCCCCGAATAGCCCCCAGAGCCAGCGCCGGCCTGGATCGTGCCGCCTCTCGTCGCCGACAAAGTTCGAGGCCCCTGCCTCGGCCTGCAGATCGACGACGGCAGCGTCGCCGGCCACGAGGACTGCCTCTACCTCAACGTGTACGCGCCCAGTAGGGAGAGCCGCAACGACTCGCTGCTGCTGCCGGTCATATTTTGGATCTACGGCGGGGCCTTTCAAGCCGGCCTCGTCACGGGCCACGAGCAGCAGTACCTCATGAACGATCGCAACGTCGTCTTCGTGTCGACCAACTATCGCCACGGACTCTTTGGATTTCTCAGCACCGACGACCGCGTGGTCGCGGGCAACATGGGCCTGAAGGACCAGAGCCTGGCGCTGCGATGGGTGCGCGACAACATCGCCGGCTTCGGCGGCGACCCGCGCAGAATCACCCTGGCTGGGGCGAGCGCCGGGGCGGCCAGCGTTCACTATCACTACCTGTCGCCGATGAGTCGCGGCCTCTTCCAGGCCGGACTGGCCGTCAGCGGCACCGCTCTCAATCCTTGGGCCACGAGCACGACCTCGCGCGCCGCGGCCTTCGCTCTGGGCCAACGCGTCAATTGCTCGCGCGCCACCACGATCGACCTGATAAGCTGCTTGAAGCAGCTGCCGGCCGATGATTTGATGAAGGCTCAGGCGATGCTGACGGTAAGTGCGATTCTGTTGCCTCGTTTGCCATTTCGTCGTCATTGCGCAAAAATAACCATTCGATTCCGATGACACTCGCGTAGAGCAGCAGCAGCGAGTGGTTCTTGGCCTTCGTGCCCGTCGTTGAGCGCGCCTCCGACGAGCCCTTCGTCGATCGCGATCCCCTGGAGATCGTGCGATCCGGTCGGGCCTACGATGCACCTTTGATCACTGGTATAGTCCAAGAAGAGGGCTTGTCTTTCGCCAATGTATTGGCCAACTCCTCGATGTTGCAGACGATCGACCGAAAATGGGACTCGATAATGCCTCGCCTGTTCTATCTGGACAGATCGTATCCCCAGGAGCAATTGGCTGCCGTGGCGAGAAAAGTTCGCCGATATTATTTCGCCGATAAACCCTTGAATATGGATAACTTGAGGATCTTGAGCGACATGATAGGCGATCGCTTCTTCTCCTTCGACGCTCAGAGAGCTTCGACGCTGCACTCTCGAATTTACAAGAAGCCAGTTTGGTTCTATCATTACACCCATCGAGCCGAGCGATCTTCCATAGGTGCGAGTATGGGGCCGCTGCAAGGCACGACTCACGGAAACGATGTAGATTTATTGTTGGGCTTGAATAACGCGGGACCCGTCGACCCAGTGAAAAACGAACGAGACAAAGCGATGCGCAGAGAGCTCGCACAACTTTGGACGGCGGTCGCGTACTATGGGTACCTACATTACTTTCATCTTTATCTGCGCAGTGCTTACACATATCGATCGATTGTTTTTTCGTTGCAGATCACCGAGTTTCGGACCTCGATGGCAGACCGTAACAAACAAGAATCATCAATTTAATTATTTACAAATAGATGGACCGGGACAGTATCGAATGGTCACAAACAATAATTTAGGAAACAAGCGCTTTTGGAATTCAATTTTCAAGTGATCAAACATCAATTAAATGTGTATTTTCTTTTCTTTTCTTTTCTTTTCTTTTCTATCAAGCTATAAAAATTCAACAGCTAGTTTAAAACAACCAATCAACAATTACACTGTACATAACATTTATTAAATTATTTAACTAAAGAAATACGTTGAGGATAAAACTTCTTTGAGATCGAGGTCACCCTGCTGTGGTACTTTGGTTAAAGTGTTGTTCAATTTTTCTTTAAGCAAATGATTGTGCTTCTTTTTTCGATTCGTTGAATCTGCTTCTACACATTCGTTATCCATATTTACATAAGCAAATTTTTCGACGAAAAATGTCGACAAGTCGTCCAAAATAGGTTGAGAGTGTAATGCCACGAATTGTTCTCGGCATATCTGCAACAGAACGCGTGCAATAATGAATACGGTTACGTCGTGTTTCACCGCGATTGAATTCAAACGAGCCTTACCTTGTTCATGATTTCAACGGTACTAGGATGCGTCCAGTAGCAGTCGTGCACCGATACGTAAGTAATACCAGCGTGCTCGGTGTATATGCTGGTAAGCATCATATGACTAGAATCTAACGAATGTACAAAATTTGGTGCAAAGGCGTTCTTTTGTTTGACTGCGTTTGGCTTTCTGTATATATCGGGACTGAACGATGGGCATACGTTCTTTTTAGTAACTCGATGAATCTTACTGTAAGGTTGGACGACTGGTAAGCCTAAAGGAGTGACCCATTCCATATTTTGTTCGCGAACCGAGCAAATTAGTCGGGCGCATTCGGTGAACCAGTCTTGAATCTCCCGCGCACTTTTGAACATTGTTCGCAGAGAAAGAAAAGTTTTCTGTACAAGATATGACGAAGCTGGCCACAAATGCTGTTGCGGAAAAGCATCATTTTCTAATAAACATAAAAATAACGATTAATTGTATTGAACGCGTTTTATCATACGTATTGAATGAGCATGCCAGTACCTTTGAGCCGTCGCGCTATTTGTAATTTTGCTCCAAACCACGTGACACCGTAGACCGTAGTCATGACCGTTTGTTTAATCGTTTTTCTTGAAACAAAGCCTTCGAGAACTTTGGCAATCTGATTTCCGTTAGCCGCATCTTCTCTTCTTTTTTCGTCCACCATCGTTGCAACGCTATTGTAAACATCTTGAGGCCTATCGGAAGGGCAGAGATTGACGCTTACAGCACCAATGCGATCTCTACCAAGAGCTGCGTAATGTTGAAGTCCGTTGCAACTTCCATCCTGATGAATAGGAAAGCCCGACAAAAATTCTTCGGGATTCGGTGATTTCAAAGCTTTCGATATTTCCATGCATGCAGCCAGTGTTTGCCATGGCTCATCTGATTTAGACCACCACATTTCACCCTAATCATGAAGAGTTGCAGTTCATCATGAGAAAATTCTATATGAATTGAACGAGATTGCAGACGTGTTTATACTCACATCCAAAGGTCTTTCAGCGCTATCGAGAATTTTATCCATTATTTCATCGGCATACGCTAAACGAGCAGCTATTGGTTCTTTCTTTTTAAAACCCGTAAGATTGATGGTATGAAGTTTTAACCAGTCGAGACCTTTAGGTCCAAGAGGTTTTTTAAGAGCGAATACCAGCATGGATCGGGCAAGATCCGAACCCAGGTGGTTCAAATGTGGAGGCACGGGATATACACGACCACGAAAGTCCATATTATGTGGCAGCCAAAATACATTATTTCGGAACTAAAAATAAGCAAGTTAATTTAGAATTTTTCTTCAAAAAACTTCCGAACAGGTTACTTACATGATTGGCAAGAGACAGTCTGTAAAGAGCATCGCACCAAAGTGAATACATTTCATTTTTCTTTTGCTTCAAATCTTGCCTTGCTTTTTCATTTTTTTTTCTTTCGCTTGGATCGCTATCCTTTGGTAATGCCGGAATTGACTCTAACACAGAAGGATGTTGAGGCATTTTCAACGGGACCGAGCCATTATTCTGAAATACTTTAATCGCTACATCGAGGATATCTGTATTTACTGCCCATGGAATTGAAGACAATTGGTTTAAACTATCGAGGGCAGGATAAAGTTGTTTCGGTGGAGCGGTTATCAGTCTATCCCATTGTTGGTTCTGACGAGTTTATCATCATAAATTAATTTATCGCCTGGGCACTGATGTTTTAGAAAAAATAATGCTTACCCCTACATGCGACAGCCTGACTATGTCGGTTTGTGAAACGATGAACCCACCTGAGAACACGGAAGTCCAAGGTTTAGGAGGACATAAAGATGGTATCAGTGTAGTGTTGAAAGTCAAAGTTTCAGGCTGGCTCTCTCGGTACAACTTAGATACTTGGGGATTTGGTTTTATCTATAAGTTTAAAATCAATATTTAATTTTTTCACGAGGAAAGACAAGGCTAAAAGGTAAATTTGATAAGTAACTACCTCTTCTTTGACCAACACGTCGTTATTTCTATAAATTTTTAAAAATGCAGGTTCAGAATGCGCTTGCGTACTTCGTTGGATCTTTAAATCATTAATTATGATGTTGAATAAAAATCGTCCAACATTCACGTGCACGTGAGATTGCCACGATGGTACTTCAAACCCCAAGGTGACACCAGTTTGATTCGCTTCGTGTTCCAGAATCGTCCATTTCGATCGATGATTGAGCTTGTCGTCTCGTTTCAAAAACCATTCGCAATATTTTAGATAAACATCGGACATTTTGTCATTCAAGCCTGTGTCCTGTTTCACACGAGCTTCGTACATTTTAAAAACTTGTGCTCCAAGCTGACGACACAGTGAATTATACGGTAAACTAAACATATCTGAACCCATTCCTAAATTACGAACTTCAGTGAGAAGAGCTTTCACATAGGCTTCAGGTTCCAAAACCGTTAAGTACGGAAACAGCATCATTTTATGAGCGCGTTGTAACATTTCACGACTTTTTAATGTTTCGAGATTTCGTTTGAAGGCCACAAGAGCTGCTTCTCTCCAAGATTCCTCCAAACTTTCCAATTTTTTTCGCTGAAAATTCAAAATACATGAATTGGAATTTGACGCAAACAATTTAATTCAGTATGTTGAATTAATATTATGAATATTACGTTATTTAAGACGTTTCGATCTGGATCCTTATGCAAAGCAATGTTTTTTACAGAAACTAAACCATTAATTTCGGCTTCAATTTGTTTCTCCAGGCGTATTTTAAGTTCATCTATTGTGAAATTGTCAACTGTACTAGATGGTGTGGCAGAAGTCTCATCAAACTTTTGAAGAAGCTTACAATTATATGAAGTATCTGGGAATTCGTAAGTTGGAATGAAATTAGGATCAAGTAATTTAGCAGCTTTATCAACATATGACTTTTGATCATTTAAAAAAATGGATTTGGTAATAACATCATTCAGAGATATATTATCAATCAGCATTCCCTTTTTTACTGTTTTCAACAATTCTGCAAAAAATATTTATATTATTATACATATATCCCTTTGACACATAAAATCAGGCTACACAAAAAAATTCATTACTTACTCAATTTTTCATTGTCTGTAGAATTCATGCGACAAATACATTCCAAAATAAGTGCATAAGTTTGGTGATTCAATTTAATATTATTTTTACGTATTAAATGAGCTAATGTAAAAATTTTTTGTATTTCTCCATTGTAAGCTAACTTCCGTATCACTGAATTCATTATATTTACATCACATATGTACAAATGTTCTTCTTCTTTTTCATGCTTCATGCGTCGTTGAATATACAATTTCAAAACTCTATTGCTACAACGTAATGAATCACTATTTACACAAACATCAATGTATCCCAACATTATTTTGTTAAATTGTTTAAGCTTTTCTTCAAAAATAATTGCATCTTTAATTTTCTTTCCTTTAGCAACAATTTTTTCAGACTCTTCCACATTTTCTTTTTTTTGGCTAAACAAGAAACAGATTATCAACATTATCTTTAATATTTACACATTCATTGAAAATGCTGAATTTTTACATATTTTACCTTTGGGACGAGGAATCAAAAATTTTTTTTTCTGATTCAGACTCAGTTAAATTGTCTAAATTTGTTCTTGAATTCATAACGACAGGGTCATCATTATAATCTGAAGTTGACAACTCTTGCACAATTACATCGCGGTCTGCTTTCCCAACACTTTTAAGAATATCATTAACATTGTCTAAACCATCAACTGCATGTAATCCAAAGGTATCAGACGAAAGGGTAACTTTGTCTATGATAGATCGATTTACACTGTTTGTGCTGAACTGAGATATGCTACCAACTTTACTTTTTTTTTTAAATGCTTTAGCTTCTATTTTATGTAATTTGTCCAGAGTGATTTCAGGTTGGTCAACTAACATTGAAAGCTGAGCAGCATTTAGTTTTTGGACAGCAGCTTTTTTGTTGCTGGATGAGCTATCAGTAACTATAAGGTAATTTATTTTTAATAAATTAATCATCCATAGACTTATTAGAACAAAAATTAAACTAAATTAATATCAATTTCAAATTACCCTCCAACAATTCAGCGTACTGTTTATTTTTTTTCCTGATAATACGTTTTTTTGTAGAGGAGCTCAACAAAGCTTTATTGATTGTGGTTGAAAATTGTCGTGTGCATAATCTGTCCAATGCTAGAAAAAAAATCATAAACAATATTTAGGAGCGAAAAATGCTTGCCCTGTAGTAAGGTGTCAAGTTTACATAAAGTGACACCAACATGCGCAACGTAACCTCGAAACAATTTAAATGAAAGGAGATATTTTGTGAAGGTACAAAATGTCATCGAGTAATTGTTGTGTAATTCATGAAAAAAGTGATAATACTAACATCTCGTATTGAATCCACTACTGATAAAACAAATGCTCTTTGTGTTGACAATGTGTATACTCGGGCCTCGAGGCAACGAGACTGCTCGCACATTCAAAAGTCGATGCATTGTCAAACAATGAGAACCGGTACTAATGCAAAATTATAAAAAAAAACGAGGTCCTCGACCGCCTCGTTATTTCGGCGAGGACCAAGTATCGAAATTAACAATTACACAATTTAACAGAGTGCTTTTTTGCAGCACCCGAGTACTAATGGACTAACGAGCAAGGTCGACATCCTATAATATTACCTCATGGAGTAAGATTGGTCTGCTACATAGTACACACTCGCTAATTCATTAGCGCGACTAGCGCACAGGGTAGCATTTGAACTTGGCGGTTTTTTTTGTACTTCAATCTTCCTTTCTCTTTTTTCCATAAATAAATAAAAGAGCCATTTCAAGTTATATATCGAATTCATCTTTCTTAAGGCCAACCTCAAGTAAGAGCATTCAATTTTTATAATGATGATAAGCAGTTCTTTTCCCTTACTTTTGAAAAATTAAAAAAAAAGCTGATGGATTAAATTGCATCAGTGGAGATTAGAAGAGTTTTAATTGATCGTTAGAAAGGCCCCAAGAGAATTAAGTTTGTGTCATAATATGTATAAAATGCCTATAATGAACCCACACTCGTGCTTGGAGTATTTTTTTTACTTAAAAAAATGTTAATTATAATTTTGCTATAAATTAATTATTAAAGAAAGACTGCCTACTTTTTTAAATGATGTTTGTGTATTAATCGGGAATATACCTCGTATTATGTACTTGGCACTTGAGAATATCTCATTTTAATTTTGTTCCTTTGTCTTCTTAGTCATAAAGTTTAACTTTATAATAATTTTATCTTAAAAAAGGACGAAAATAAAAGGATAATAAAAAAGTATACGTTCGTATCATGAATTATGATTTTTTCATCAATTTTTATTGATACATTTTCAATCAATACTATTTGTTACCATTGTTTGTACAAAGTTACGTTTTACAATGGGCCTATGCCGTTGCACTTGAAAAGCTTCTATGCTTGTAAGATCATCGAGTTAAGTAAATAAACAGTGATTCTTATACTTAAGTAAATTAATTCTAGAAACATTTATATACATAAGTCAAATATAGATATGTGGCAAAGTTGTTTATTGTTTCAAACAGTTGCACACCAAAATACACAAATTAATAATAAACGAATTTGTTTTAATAAATTCGATAAACTTCGACTGCGCAATATTTATTTTTAAATAGAAAAATAAGCCATTGTTAAACCCACTTATTCAATTGTCCTTTACACAGTAAGTATATATCTTAATTTTTTTATCTTATACAACTAGTATCACAAGAGCTTTTACCAGTCAAAATTTATTAATTGCGCGTAATTATGTGTTATAATTTACAGGTGAATTTACATTGATGAAATGATTTTGAATCACGAGTCATCAAGTATACAATTTTTATTTACATATTGATACTTTTGAAACTCTTATGCAAGCAACGTTGCAAGATGTACGTTTATTATTTCATATAAAACCAACAAGACATAATTGGCAGTTTTAATAAAAGAAATCAACTATTTTGTGTCGAACATAATTCATACAATCGAACATCAAACATTTTCAAGTTTTATACGACATTAATTAACATTAGAAGAATAATAATAATAATTGTCAGCTTTATTTTGCATCTAATTTATAAAATTTAATGAATACTTTAACTTTGCTCAATTTTTTCATTGTGCAAAATAATTTAATAAAAAATCTGTCAAATGATAATTTTTTCAATATAAGATCGTGAAGAAACTTTCTCAAGGATATAACCAAATAATATTTAAAATTAAAAAAAAAATTCTTTTTGCTTTTCAGCCATGATTTAAAAATTAAAATTTTAGATCTCGTTTGTAATGATTCAAAAAAATTACCAGTCCAATCAATTCATATTTTATATGTTAATTTTTGAATGGTTTCTTTCCAAATAAAACTTTCATGAAATATTTTTGATAGTTAACTTAAAGAAATTAACATTATTACCTTCATTCAAGGAATCACTCATTTTGATAAAAAGTCGGAAATTACTTTTGAAACTGCATTTTACATTTCCTATGATTAAATAACATAATCAATAATGTAATCACATTTGCCAAATTAATAATTTTTCCAAGAATAGACTTGAAGGCAGAAAACCGAGGAAGATTTCATAATGAAGAATTGTGATACATGAAAATTGATGTCAAATAAACAATGATAAATTTTATCATTGATGTCTTGTCCATAATTATTTCATTGGTAGTTCTATCTTTTTTCTGCACAGGACATTTGATTTTTTTATTCTCGAGAATAAAATTCGTCGAAAATTCATAATATGTCGATTGCTATCATACTTGATGGTCGATTCAACAACTATTACCTAAATGCCTGCATAGCTTTAGGGGTCATTTTCCTGATACGTCCCCGACTACTAACACTAACACCAAGGGTAGATCGCTGTTGATTTTCTTCGTCACTCATTTCATCTTCGCAGTATGATTTATTAGTTCTTTTACTTCTTTTGATAGTCTTACGCAGGCCGCGGTTCATTTTATCATAATCATCTTCATCGTCATCGTCATCATCGTCGTCATCGTTTTCGTCGCTGGTTTCTTCCTTATAACGTGCTCGTTTAATACCACCAGTACGTTGTCGACTAGATTTTCGAGGACCAATACTTCCTGCATCCAATGTTCTGTAAGTTTTTTGCGTTGGAAATTTGATTGATTGTGAATCTAATGAATTGCTATATGATTGATGATTTTCCATCGAATCGTCTTCGTCATCATAATCAGTGTCACTTTGTTGTTCTGCTGTTCCATTAATATTATCGTGATTATGATCGTCACTTTCTTCTTGTTCATTTTTTTGGTCGAAGCCTGTTAGAGATTCATTATTAGTATATACATCGTGTTCCACTGTACCCGTCATATTACATTCCACCACGTTACCAATGTGATCATCGTCGTCTTCACTAGACTCCAAAATAGGTCGCTTTTGAGGCGTCCTTCGAAGTCTCGTATTTATTTTAGGTATAGTTTTTACGCTATCTTGACTTTCTTCTCCGTCATCATCATCATCGCTGTCTTCGTTATCGTCATCTTCACTGTCTTCACTATCTTCATTGTCATTATCTTTATCTTTAATGCCATTTCTCTTAATTTGTTGCTTTTGAGGTTCTTTGACATCTGCATCGTCTAAGTCGTCATCTTCGTCATCATTATGCAAATATTTTCGTCCGTTTGTGGCTGTTCGATTCGGTCGGGTTTTTCGACAATTCTTTATTGGAATATTACGAGTCTGTTTTCCTCGTGGGGTAGGTTCAAAATCTTCGTCCGAAGAATGGTCATCGTCATAAGTATTGAGATCATGCTTCTTTTTCCTTGATCTTGTTTGACGACGTGGTTTACTATCGTCGCTCTGTTCACTTGTACTAACATTAGAAGACTGACTATCATTTTTTTCTTCTTTTTCTACTTCGACATCATCGTCGTCAGAACTCATAATTTTTCGTTCTGCTCGACGAGTTCGGCTACGCAAAGTATTATTTCTTGTAGAACAAGATGGACCAGGTGCGCTGAAATCATCTACCTCATTCACTTGCATCTCGTCATCCTCTACATCCTCATCGTCACTGCTAACTATTGGTTTTCTAGTTGGGCCTGAAAGAAAATAATTCTTGTATACAACTATTCGTTTATAATCTTTTTTTATTTATTTTATGGTGCCCGTACCTGCTCCATTACTCAGCTGTTTAGCTGGAGTACTCTTTTTTCTAGTGTTATTACTTCGAGTTTTTGTCTTTTTTTTACGTCGTTGTTCAGAATTATACATATTCATTATCGTTTTCAGGTGTTCTTCAAACATCGCTGATAACCTGACAGTCATGGCATATATCTAAAAAAGTTCCATTTAACATTAATAGTGGCATGTTTAATTAAATAGGTTTGTCTTAAATGAAAGTTTAATTTTACCTTAGATCTCTGATTAGTGTTAAAACGTCGGCTGTTAGAAATAACTAATCTTACATCCTTGACAAAGTCGTTCAGAGTTTCGTAATTATCTCCTCGCAAATCTTCTTGAATTTGATTCAAGTCCATAGGTGTCTCAATGATATGGCTGTACGTAGGATGATCCATTTCATCTACAGGTTCTTTAAACGGTTGTGAATCTGGCGATTGCCATAACATTCTTAAAAGGGTTTTGCAGTTTTCTTTCCAATTTTTAGAATCAAATAGAGACTTTTTGGAACGTCTAGTAACCATTCTTCTAGTTGACACCTGTCCACTTGTGGATGGCAGATTATTAATATCTTCAACATCGACATCTGATTCCGTTGATGATGAATGATAATTACTTGATATACCGTGGTAAACAGCTGTTACATCCACGTCATTCACGTCCCTTCAAAAACAAAGTTATTTCCCAATAAAAAGAATCAAAGAATCAAAATCGTTTTGAAAATAAAATATCCTTACTTGATTATTCTTAGACAAATGTCAGTGATTATTCTGGCTTGCTTTACAATTTGAGAGTGACGTTCATTAAATTTTTCAGCATTACTTGCAATGTAACGTACGTCAAACTGAGCAGACGTAATACGTCGATAAAAACGGTTTTCAAAGCGGGCTCTTATAGTTGATAAATCAATTGGATATTCCACTTCGAAAGCGTATGCTGGATATAATGAGAGATCGACAGGCGCATTAAAAGGTTCTGCCGCGGATAATGTCATGACCTGATCAAGACCACGCAGTATTCTTCGACAAGAAGCTTCTCGATCTCCGAGAGGCCATTCTTCTGCATGTGGCTGATATAAAGTTTCTTCCAGTTCTTCCGGCAAAATTGGTACTGCTCCATTTACGTCTGCTGATAAACCTAAATGTTAATTGTAAATATTATTAAAAACTTTTTAATAAAAGAACTCAAAAATAATACCATAACGTATAAATCAAAGTAAATTATCATGACTTACGAGTTTCATCTATAGGTTCTAAATCCCATGGACTCATACATTCTGTTTCACCATTATCCCACCTGACAGTGAAACACAGAAAGTATGAAGCTGGAAAATCTTCGGAGTAAGGCTGTACAGATTCTATTTGACCAGTCCACCAACCATCTTCAATCATGCACCTAAATCTATTTCCTTCGCTCCAACTTCTTTCGAGAGCATTATCAAAAGTTTGACGAAGAACGAGAAAATCCAAAACATTTGGCATGTCATGATACTTTATTTGAAACGATACACCTGTCAAATGACCTTCAGCGTCCATTTGAGCGAGCTTTAAACAACATAAACGTGGTGGACGAATCTCGTATTTTATACCAACAACTTTGCAATACTCTTGAGCCTAAATTAAGTTTAAAAACAGAGGTCATTAAAATTGCTTTTTTACGCGTGAAAAAGATAATAATTACCTGAAGGTCGAGTTTTTTCCAAGGTTCGAAAGAACTACTAGGCTCATAAATTTTTAATTTTCGTACAGCCTCTAAATACTTTTCATGGCCTTGACGAAAATAAACTATTTCATCGCCCATCTGTGGATAATAAGGAGCTTTTCTTGGTATTACTTCGCTTAGCCATTCCGACGGTCGATAGATTTCAGGTATGGTAGTCGGTTCTCCAACATATGGTTTGGCCTATAAAAATAAAATAGTATATCGGTTTTTGAACTCTTACAAGAGGCTAATTGAATCTAAAATTATATCACTACCTTTTTTCTAGGTCTTTGGTTTCTTTTTTTCGTCTCCGCATCACTGGGAGGTGTTTCAGATCGTCTCTCTACGCGTTTTCTTTTACTACGTTTTGGTGGCTCTAGTATTTCTCCATGATCAGCTATCCAATCTGAATACTCATCACTACTGTCAGAACTTGGGCTATCTGAACTTAATCCATCCTCGTTTGACGAGTTCGACGATTCTGAAGATGCCGAAGCTTCGTTCTAAAAAAAAATAGTTAAGGTAAAAATAGTAACACTCGAAGTACAAATTTAAATAAATAAGATCAGTTATCTAACCTCAGAATCATCTTCATCTTCTGCCTCTTCCTCGACAGGTTCATTACTACGGGTAGATCTGGTTCTATAACCATGAGAAACCTGACTTCTTCTCTTTCCTTTGACCTGTAATTTATTTTGACTTAAAGAGTTAGTAACCTGGGCTTTCTTCTGCATTTCTTTTTCATAATTATCAATTTCCATAACAGCCAATTCGTTTCTACGCATACAAAAACAAAACTCATTATACAATTCATTTGCATTACAAAAAATGATTAGTTAAATCTTACATTTGAGAATATTGAGTACGTAAAATAGCACGTTTCAGTGGCTTCACAAGTATGGGTTTGTTCCAGGGTGTAGTATTGTCATGTTGCCAATTACCACTGCTTTGACGAACACCTACGTTTTCGCTATGTCTACTTGTGCCATTGTTTAATCTATTAGAAACTACAGGTACTACTGCATGGTCTACAGATTGTTCTTGATCATTTTCATTTATATTGTCGTCATTACCCTCTATATCTACATCTTCAATTTCGTTGATACCTTCCTGATTTTCATTTGCTCCAGGAATACGTCGACGGTGCGCTAACTCTTCAATCAAGGCTTCGATGTTCGAACGCGGCATTTCTCCTGGCAGCCCATCGATTACTTCTTGCAAACCTATAATTTCATAAAAATATAATTTGTGCATATAGAGTGGGACAACCACTAATTAATGGAAAAAAATGGCAAACCATTGGCCCCAACTCCAACATTAGGAACTAGTTGCTCGCCATGACAATTTTCTCTACCTGGTACCAGTCTTTGTATGGCAGGTGGGTAAGGATTACCATCAACGTCGACTAGGAAAGGCGGCGGCATCAAATGTGGCGCTGTTTGTGTTTGTTCATCCAGCACATAATTGTTTGCATCTCGAATAAGCGGCCGGTAATCAGTATGAAAGAATAACTCTTTAGGAACCAACTTTTGTTTTTCAGCCATTGAACCAAAGCCATACATAATCAGATGACCATGTGAATCAGTAGCGGCCAGCATAGTACCATCCGGTGACCATTTGGCATCAAAAATGGCACCGTTACCTTGCCCATCAATGACATTTTGAAAATTAGCGAGAGGCTTATTAATCAAAACGTCCCAAACGAAAAGTTGACCATCGTGTCCAGAACTGAGAATAATACGAGGATCAATTGGATGGGATTCGAGTACAAATATTTCGTCCAAGTGTCCTCTTAAAACTCGAATAAGATTGCCGGATTTAGAATCCCAGATTTTGAGTGTACTATCACTGACAGCAGTAACAACAAATTCATCACTTCGATCCCAACATACCATGGTTACTTTAAGCTTTTTACTCGTGTCTTCATCAGCTTCAGTGCCACTTTACAAAAAAACGTTTCTGAATTAAAAATCTGGTACTAAGACAATTATATAAATAGAATAACATTGCTTACCCAGGTAATTTGGTGGTCATAAAGAGCATTTGATTATGCCAAGTTTGTTGTTCAAAGTGCCATATATTGGCTGTTCCATCTTTTGAACCAGATATAAATTTTAGTCCAGAATGAGCCCATTGAATACTGTCAACGGTATCAGAATGAGCTTCGACTTCTAAAACCCGTTTGGGCCCTTCATTAGTGATCATTCTGTAAACACGTACATGATGATCGGCAGATCCGGCAGCTAGAAATGAGCCACCAGCACTAAATGAAGCACAAATCATTTGGGCCTGTCCTGGACGTATTTTTTCATGATATTGTATTGGTTTCGATCTAAAAATATATATTCATCGTTTTATTTATATTCAGTGAGTATCCCATTCTATTAAAAAAAATACTCACTGGAAAATAACTCTATCGTTGCCTTCTTTATGATGTGGCCAAAAAGCAATCGATCCATCACTGCTAGTCGTGACAAGATAATTGTCTCCATTGCATTTGATTGGACAAAAATTGACGGAGGTTATCATACCAGAGTGTCCAGACAAAACGGCCACCTAGAAAATGTATAGTAGCAGTTATTTATTATAATAATTTTTTGTTTTACTTTCATTGAATGGTGAAACAAAATAACTTACTGGTGACATAGTTTGAAAACACCATATACGAAGAATTCTATCTAAGCTACCAGCAGCTAATAATGTGTTATCAAAATTAACTGCGATATCCATAATTTCGGATGAAGCTCCACGGAAAGTTGCAAGTAATCGTCCGTCTATTGCACTCCACACTTTAACTAATAGGTCATCTGCACCAGTAATCACATATTTTCCTGTCCTATCATATAGTACACAGTAAACAGCTGACAAGTGTCCCAATGTGTGACGATATTTTTGAATTTTACTATAAATTGACGTAGGTATGGCTTCACGCCGACTTATTGGACCAGAATTTTCTCGACCTTGGAGAACTTTTACAATATTTAATGCCTGAGAAAAATCTGAAGGACATAAGACAGGTTTTCCACCGAATCTTGCAGAGTATGTTGATATGTTTCGAAACGAATGAAGCATGTCTGAAATAAATAGTGATTCAATTCATTCAATAATTTCAATAACAAAAGAACTTTCATTGAGCCCATACCTTCTTTGGTGCGAAGCATGGACTGTTTGCCTGCACCAAGCATTGATGCGGCTCCTTTGATGATAGGAGGAACATCCTTTTCCAGCACTGGCCCCATACGTTGACATAATTGAAGCAAATGTTGTGTTCCAATGTGGGGATATTTTGTTTCCTAAGAAAATAATTTGATTATTTAAAAATTAATATTATAAATGATCAAATTAAATCAGTGATTTAAATTATATTTTAAAACCCACAAAATAATATGTATTTTAATAATTAGTCATGGACCTAAGAGTTTTTTAATAAAATAATTTTGAGTTTTACTAGTAGTGAAACTACATAAAGAGTAAATTAATTATATTATATCAATAGCAAATCAATTATAAATAAAATATACTAGACTTTGATTTTTTTTAGCAGTTAAAAAATAATATGTTAAACCAATAAGACTTTGGTTCATTCCTGTATATTCGTATGATAGATATTATACTTGAAAATTTTTTCTTTTAAATCTCTTTAGGTACACATAGTTTTTTAGAGACCCTAGTTCTAAATGCTTTAGAAAATGTAAATACTTTTTAGAAAGATCAGGCGTGGGGAGCACAAGAAAAATATCAAGCTAGCTATTCATGTTCAAGAGAGCAAAACAGATGTGAAAACAAATTTTGAGAAGGGGAAGCAGTTGAAGCCATGTATAACAAAGATAAGAGAGTGGGAGAAACCACTACTATACTCTTTATTGGCTCTACTGTAGAGCAAGCAGCTGGGCCTATGATTGGTAAAGTTTCTCAGATTTGCAAAAAAATAATTAACTTTTTGTGAATTTGAAAAAATGATAATACTCACCAATTCTTCAAAAGTTTGTTCATGATGATTGCCTAGCCAATCTATTCTTGAAGGCAAAAGCTGTAACGAATAAAATACAAAATTTGAAAAAAAAATAAACCTTATAAATAATTATAAATATTAAAAAACTTGTTTTGATGTTATTTTGATTCCTGTTAAAAATAGTTTTTAGTAATAAAAAAAAGGCTTTTTCCGTTTTGTTTGAACAGAAATAAATTCTAAAAATTCTTAAATATCAACAAATTAGGTCATTGTTTTGACCCGCGACAAAAAGCACGTGTAAATGTCAAATGCGGCAGTTGACGTTGCTCCGTGCGTGTAAGCAAAGGAAGATATTTACCTTAGCCTGTTCCAACTGCCTCTTCAACACCTGTAAAATGTGAAAAAATTGAAGGTTTAGTAAGTGTAAAAGTTTTGCCTGAAAGAGAAATGAATAAAGAGCCGAGGTCTTACATTGGCGACTTCGCTGCACGGTCCGTCGGAGAGAAATTTGGCGATGAGAAAATAAAGTTCTGCAAAGAACAGTTATCATGATAATACGCACACACTTAGCGTAAACGCAAGTTTTCAAACTTGACATATATCTATACACATACGTAAGATAAATGAGATATTACCTCCTTGTAGACTAGTGTTGTGCCTTCTCACGTCGGCCTCCATTGTCCGTAACGATAGAGTGTAAGAGTTACGGGAAATGAAAGAATTGCTTGTCGTTAATCAGCTGCTCAAATTATCGTACGCTTGCAACATGGTTTGGATACCCGATAAAACTAAGCGATGCTTATAACAACACTGAACTGGTCACCATTTTCTTCAATAGCGAGGCTCGAACGATACAGTCATATAAGTTTACTCGGGAGAGAAAGAGACAGACTATACGTAACACGTATACGGGCAATGGCAATCGGGGATCACTGGCAAATGCTACTCTCGCTCTCTCTTTCTCTCTCCACCTAAAATGGCGTCAGCTTCTGGGCAAAAATACGTCCACAACGGCGTTGAGCGACCGTCAGCCCGCTCTTGAGTTCGTAATCCTTTTACGCTGTCGTAGCTGTGCAGTTGGCGCTTGTGAAGCGTCGCGTTTTATGCAGCTTGTCGCAACTCGCACCTACAAAACATCAGAGACAGGCACAAAATTAATTCCTTCGATCGCTCTCTCGAAGTTTATTCCAAATGCTTGAAAATTGATCATGTTCCGTGGCATTACACGTTGAACGCGATCAAGGCTCAACGATACCGGCAAGTCCACGAGGCTCAACACGCTCCCGAGCATAACGGAAAAAGATGCACCTTCAAAAACTATGCTCGCTCGCTAATCCGACAGGCACGGAAGCTCAACAGCTTTTGTTTACAAAAGTTTTCGACTTATTTCAACCCTACTCGGTTCGAAATACTCAAGAAATTCTGACGCAACGAAAAGATGGAAGATTAAAAGCCACGATTCCATCGGGCTCTCGTACGCGGATTGAAACTTTCATTCATGATTTTGCAGGGCCACAAAAATTTGAGAAAACTTCATCTATCACATGAGTCAATATTGACTGGTGGAGTTGAGATGCAGCACTCAGCTCACACCAACAATCGTGCAGGCGATCTAATGCTTCGATTATAAACATAAAATAAGACGATGCTTGTTTGGTGAAATCAGTTTAGATGCACTAAAACTGTACTTTGTTCTTTTGATTGATAACGTTAATTGCACACAATGCGAGAGTTGAGCGTCAACGGGTTGAGTTTCGTGTTGCCTCATACGGATGAATTCAGTTGAGTAAATCGAAAGCTAGTCGTTTTTCAATCGACACACGACCGTTAGACCCTGTCGATTCACATACTCACTTGTGCAGCCTAATACGTTTTTTTATGTAAAGAAAGCTCGATTGTCGCCGAGAGCGATAATAACTGCGCTGCAAGCGCTAGACTGACGAGGGCAAAAAATCCAATCGCAAATAAGTGAGCAGCATAAGCACTCCGACTTCGAGCGAAGCAGCAGTCAGCAGCTTACACATAAGCTCTCTATTTGCGCACCTACCTAACCTATATAAAGGCAAGCGCACTCGGTGTATGTTTATAGATTGCTGCTACCAGACGGTTTACGAATTGATTAACGGAAAAATTCGCGCGAATCGTCCTGCCTTTCAAATGCGCAATGCGTGACAGCGGGTTGTTTTAGTTTTTACCGAGTTGATCGCGATTATTTATCTGGACACTGTTGCAAATCTCGCAAAAATTTCGCGCGAAATCAATCTTGAACATTACTTACTCAGTCGTAACTGCAAATTACTGAGGCAGCCTCGATACGCTCGAGAATTAGTAGTTAATTATTGCCAAAACTCACACCGTGTGCACAAAGTGCATTGACTGAACTACAGCACTGGGACTCGAGCGATGAGCCAGGCGCAGCGCGCAGATCAGCCTAGACGTGTGGCAACTGTTCAGACAGAGGCCAGATCTCACGTAACGCTCGTCGCTCACTCGTACACATATAATATCCTACGCATGCTTACCGACGTGTCTGCAATGTTCGTATAACACATGGCGCGATCGCTGAGAGCTCCGCCAACAATGCCTACACATGCGGCGGCTTAAACATACCGTACAACATTTAACACTCGATGCAACTGCTGCGCTCGCGATCGATAAATTTTTTTAAAAAATGGTTGGAATAAATGATTCAACTGTAATGTAAGATTCGAAAAAACAATTTATAAGATCGAATTAGGAATTTACAAAATTATTTTTGATAAATAGATGATAGTCAAAACTAATATAACCGAGGGCAAACAAGTTTTCCGCAAAATATGAGATATTTCACATTATGGAAAACCTCTGCAACTATCGGAGATATTATTCAACAAAACATTTAATGCGAGAGATTTTGAACTGATCCGTACTATCACCTAGAACATTTACAAAATATATTGTTCTTATTGTATGTTTTTAGTTGTTTTTCTTTTTCAATGATTCACATGATTGTTACATGTAATTAACTTAAACTTAATGCTGAATATATTAAAATATTCTATATTATTTTATCTTACTTGGTAATTATACAACTATTTCATCGACGTTTATTCGTACACAAGTGTAAAATATTTCACACAATATTCATCAATCTATGATGATTGGTGTCTGCATTTTAGTATTCATTCACACATTACATTTTCTTCATTCATTGATTGCTCGACTTGACATCGATTAATCTTCGTATTCGTGAGTTTGACGTGATAATTTTTAAGTATTTTGGAAAAACGAGAAAACTTTGAATATTCAAAATAGTTATCACACAAACCATAGACAAAATAACAAAACACTTAGACGTGAAAAACTAAAGCTTCGATCTAACGTTTTTCATACAAAACATAGTTTCATTTTTTTTTTAATTATACATATATATATATAACTTCTATCATGTTTAAATATGCACGTATAAATATTTCAACAAATTGAATAGACTCAAAATCAAAACTTGATGGAATATAATTTGAGAATGATGAATTTACAAAGAAATGCTGCATTTAAAAAAAAAAATAAATAAATAAATAAATGATTAAGCTTTTTACTATTATGTAGTTCTAGCCTTTTTCGCTGCATCATATTCTATTGTGTATAATTTTGTACCAAAAAATGTATTAATCAATATAAAAAAAATAAATAAAAATCAAACTAACTGAAAAACTAATTTTGTAATTCAGGTGAAATAAGATTTTTGATTATTTGGTGGCTTTCCAATAATGAAATGAAATATCACAAAATTTCATTACTTCAACAGCTCAATAAAAAAAATTAAAATTGTAATATTCAGCTATTGAAATTTAAATTTTTGTGATACAGTACACTACATTTTAAAATGCCAGTATAAGAATTTCTTTGATAACTCATATCAAACACGATTATGTATACTACTTATTAGTACATTAGCAATTGCTTGTTTAAATTAAAAATAATATAGAAGCTTTTTAATCTGTACATTACAACCTCATAATCGCTTAAAAAAAAATTCATGCATACTTTTGTCATACAATAAAAAAAAAAAAAAAATTTGAAGAACATTTATCACCAATAAATTATTAATTTACTGCCCTTTCTCTTTGACATAAATTCTTGCTGCATCTTGCCATTCTTGTGAACACCACTGTTTAATCAATAAGTCTTGTTCAGTATTTAACATGTCGTCCAATTTTTCACGCATACTTTTGCGAAGCAATAATTTCGTAGTTTCCATGGCCTAAAACAATAATTTATATAAGATAATGACGATCGAATATATTAAATCATTATTCTGGTTACTTGTACTCACCTGTGAAGATTGCTCGCTCATTGCTTTAAGAGAGGGCAAAAATTCAACTTGGAATTTATCTGGCCACAAACATTTTGTGACGAATCCAGCAGTCAAGGCTTCGTTAGCTGTCAAAGGTCGACCACCCAGAAGCAAATAATTTGTCTGTAAATTAAATAATTTATTCTCGTTAACAATCAAAAATTTTTTTATTTTTTATGAAGAGTATCGAACATACCGTTAAACTACCAAAACTATTTGATAACATTAAAACAGCTAAACCCTCAGCTATTTGTCCAAGTTTGGAACAAGGTGTTTCAAATGTTGCTTTATCACTAGCAATAACTAGATCAAATAGTGGTAGCATTGTAACGCCCAGACCAATCGCATCTCCTTGTATACCCGCAACTAATGGCTTATTGAATGCAGCCAACGTTTTAATAAATTCTCTGGAAAAAAAACGTATAAGTTTGTAATGTAATTATCGTAGTAGCAATAAAGACTTGTTATAATGATGATTGTAAAGACTTACTTTACAGCAGTAGCCATTGCTGTAACTTTGAGCTTTCGTTCAGTTTCATTATTCTCTATAATCTGCGATAAATCTAAGCCATCGCAAAAACTTGTGCCAGTAGATGTAAGTACAACTACACTACAGCGGTTATCGTCTTTTAATCTTTCCAGAACGTCTTGAATTTCTTTCATTACCTGCCATATATAAATCCATAAATTAGATAAAAATTATAAATTTTAAATTCATAAAAATAAAACAAACCTCTAAAGAAAGTGCATTTCTAATTCCGGAATTTTTGTGGCAAGGTGTCAATATTAGCTGTACAAGACGACCGTGCCTTTTAACGCTTACTTCTTTATTTCGAAACTCACATATAGATTCATCATTAGCTGACACCATACTTCTCTTTTTTCTAGAGCTACTTTTAGAAGGTAAGTTAGTATTAGTTTCTACAGCATGTATTGCTTTGGCAGGACTTGTAGATGAATCTTCGGGCAATTTAATGTCAGTATTTTTCGTCAATGCATCGAATGAATCTTCATCTGTTTTTTTAAATTTTTTGCTACTTTTGTTATTGCTTTTAAATAATTTTCTAACGTGTGTTAGGGAATCGCTTTCGTTCAAGTTTGGCTGATTAGTCGTTTCCTTATGAATATCAGTTTTCTCAGAAACCTCTTTCGTTTCAGATTCAGAAATTCTAGCTGATGCTCTTGTGCGGCTTTTTTTATCTGACTTATCAGAATAAGAATCCACTGATGCTTTTCTTGTAATCCCAGATGATTCCAAGTCAAGTAAATCATTTGGTGGCTGTCCAAGATCTATGCTAACCCTAGGACTAGCACCAGAAGCACTTGAATAAGAAGATGAAGAGTGCCTCCTTATTATGCGCGATGCTTCGGCAGCATTTTTTAGTTTCCCTGGATTTATGAAGCTGGACGATGCTTTTGACTGCGTTGATTTTTTTTCATTTTGAGCGGCAGACAGTTCAGTTGCAGAAGCCTACATAAAAAACACATTTACATCATTACATTTTGTGTTCATTTCAAATCGAAAATTATTTTTAATTGAAGCCATATTTAAATAAAAAATGTTTATAATTACAGTAAGACTTCTTCTAGCTCTAGGTGAGCTTGCAGAATCAGATTGACCTCTGGATTTAAGCACTGCATTTTTGACAAGATTTGCTCTCTGTTTAAGTTCCCTTTCAGCTTTTTCAAGATCCATAACTTTTTTTTGACTCTGTGTAATTGGTACTCTTCGTTTTCTTGTATCTTGTTTTGCGTCATACAGCATGTTGACAATTCCCTCATCTTGAAGCAACCTATCAATTTCACTTCGAGGTTTCTTTATTTGTACAACTGCTCCAGACGAGTCTGTAGAATCTTTGTCTTTTGGTTTGTTTGCTTGATTTGTTACCTATAATAAATTGTATTAACTTGTTTGTTTACAACTACATAAAAAAATACTTCAAATCTAATAACTTACTTTGGCTTTTGAAATAGGAACAGCTTTTTTCATTCGTACTAAATTTTTCACAGCATTTTTTTTCTTGGATATTAAAGCATTTTTGTTGACCAGTTTAATTTTTTTCTTTACATCTTGTTTTTCTTTGACTTTTGTTTCTACATGTCCTTGTTCTTCGGGAGATTCACTGTCAGTTTTCTTAATTTCTTCATCATTCGAGTCATCAGCAGATTTTTGCAGCATATTTTCAGGGCTTTCTTCGATGTTACTAACATCTGTAATTTCCATCTTCATTTCTGACTGGACACTATCCCTTTTTTTTTTAGGGTCCGTTTTAGGTGAATCTGAGGATGCAGTACTGTCAGAATCAGACTTTTTACCATCTTTGTTTTTCTGCACTCTTAATTTTTTAGCCGTGAACTCACGAGCTTTTTCAGTAAGCTTTCTTTTACGACCGGATCGGGATTCGTCATTTTTCACTGCTAGTTCTTCATTTTCACTGGCTTTGGGAGATTTAGTTTTAGATAAAGTTTCTTCTTCATTTGAACTTATATTATTAATAGTATCTGATTCATCATCCCCTGGTGACGTTTTTATTGACTTGGCGGATTTCTTCGTAAGTGATTTTTTATTAACGCTTGAAATGTTTTTTTTACAGGATGTTTTTGGCAACTCACGCAGTTGTTTTAAAGCAATTTCACGTTCAGTCACTTGATCAAGTTTGTTTTCTAAAATATTCATCAATTAGATTATTAACAATAATTATTATTATGTATATTTTTTATGAGAGGTACAACAAAAGATAACTTTACCTGAGCTATGAACTTCAACAGTGCTAGTTACTTTATTGACTTCATCTGTATTGCTGGTTGATTTTAAATTTGACCAATCTGGATCAACATCACCTTCCAAAATTGCTAGAAGATCGTTATTATCTGAAGAACTTTTATTGGTCTCGGATTCTTTGCTTGTATCCAGAGATGTTGGTTCTTGCGATAATATACCTGTTGCTGCAGCTGCTAGTAAATGACTAGATAATCGCTGGGTGATTTTTTTTACAAATACAATATCAGCAGTTTTAGGCACTTGTAAGTCTTTTTGTTTTTCTTTCAAGCGCTCTTTCAGAACTTCATTAACTTCTGCAGATGAAGCAATTTGACTCGTTAAATGTGCACCTGGAATTTTCACGCCTGGGCGTGAAGTTTGTTTCATTTTGGTATCTACCTCGACTTTGTTAGGTAGAGAAGAATCTAAGAAAAATAAAAAACATTTAATTAAGCATAAATTTATCATTTTCATGATACAGCACAATTTCGTTAAAAATACTTTTTATTGATTTAGACATTCTTCTTCTCACTTTTTGAAATAAAATTATACGCCGATTATCATTGAAACTCTCAAGTAAATAACAACACTTAAAACTAGAAAACTATGATGGTATGTTTAAAATTTTCATTTGTTAACATTTTTACTTTACTGATACCTGACACAGCAATATAAGAACAAAATACATGAAAAATATTTGATAACAGTAAATTAACATCAACTAGCTTTCATAAATCCTAAATATTATTATATTGAATTCACATTTGTAAGACCAAATTTGAAAATAATTTAAGATATTAAAATAGACTCAAATGATCTTCAATTTTATAGATTTAATGAAACACTTAAATAAATTACAATTTTATTTTTGATTACCTTTGACGGATGTTTTGGTAGGTGACTTATTACTTTTTTTAATATTGTCAGAAGGGCCTTTTTTTTCTACTTTCCTGATTGGAGTTGAGGTCACCCCATCGTTTAATAAGCTTTGAAGCTCCATTTCTACCTCATCTTCTTGATCCTGATTTTGAATCTCTTCTTCACCATTTTCTTCACTCCAGTCATTGAAGATATCTTGCAGTACACTCTTGTTTTTTTCATTAGACTGATTGGACAAATGAAGTTCCAAATCGTCTTCATCATCTTCTTCCATTGCTTCATCTTTATCTTCTTGTTTTTTAGTCGAAGGTGAATGGTCACTGTTAAATGTTTCAGGTTTGTTATTAGATATTTGTTTTTTTATTGATTCCAATGATTCTTCTGATTCATTATTGCAAGTATCTTGACTTGCACACTGATTTTTTTCTATTTCTGTTTTTTCTTTCCAAGTGTGTTCATTTGATTTATACTGGGTTAATATTGATAAATCATCAGAATTTGTTACTTCAGTTATTTCAATTGTTTCAACTATCATTTCATGATCATCAGTATTACTTGTAACTTTTTCTGCATCATTATTGATTGATACAGTTTTACTTAAACAAGTGGAATCAACTTCAGATGTGTTAGAGCTATGATTCTCAATAACAGAAGCTTTTCCATCTTCCGCAAGTGTATTATTAGTCATCTTTGCATCAATTGCATTAGCAGTTAAATTAGGTTCCGTTGAATTTACAGGAACAGAAATTTTTTCCTCTTGAAGACTTTTAGTAGTTTCATCAAAGTCTTGAATGGCGTCATCTTGATCATTGTTTGAAAGAGGTAGATCACTATTTGAGATATCATGGTTATCAGATTTTTGATTGTCCTTTGATTGAGATAATTCGATTACAGTGTTTGTAGATTTATCAGAAATAGACTCATCATTATTTTCTTTAATAGTTTCTTTTTGTGTAACATTATTTTCTGTTGTTGTTGCTGTATCAGAATGATTAGTTTCATAACTTTTCTGACTTGAATTCATTTCACTCAAAATGAGAAAATCTTGTATTTTAGACTGAGAACAATTAAAAAATTTATATCAATATGTCAGTTCAAATTTTAAATTGAATGAAATTTTAAAGTAGCAAAAATATTTATATATACCTCTTCAGAAGTCTCATACTGGTATTTATCATCTACAGATTGTGCTTCTTGCTTTTCATTAACAATATTTTCAGATACTGATTTATCGTCACATTGTTGCTGTGTTGTAACATAATCATTGGGCAAAATTATTTCTACATTTTGTACCTGGCAGTTAATTATGTCTCTTTCTTGATCGTTGTTTTGAACAACAATTTCTTGTACTAATTGCTGAAAACTGGCAGCTCCTGAACTCACTGCTAATTCTTGATCACAAACTTCATCATTTTGTTCCATGTTGATGTTTAAGCCACAAGTGACTTATTACTACAAAAAAAAGCATATAATTATGATATAAAAGTATGAAATATTTTTAGAAATTTGAACTATAAAATGCTTATATTTTAAGCAATACAAACTCTACACTTATACAATGGAAATAACAAGTGAGAGTGAAAAACTACAATTTGACATTATTATTATAACCTATAAATATTGAATACTTCGGCATTTACTTATCGCGTGAACTTTTACAAATAGTCTTGATGCAAACAATAAAATCAGTACAAAAAAAATGAAATTTTCAAAGGAAAAAGTAGGAAACATTAGTAAAAAAAGTAAAAGAAGAGAAATAATAAAGGAGAAGAAGAAAATATGATTATTTAATTGATGCAAATTGTGTGGAGACGAGCAATCTTTCAAAGCCAAAAAATTCATAACGCGTATGTACTTTTAGGTAATACTTGGTAGTTTCCAGCCAACGTGCAAATAGTATAAACGTAGCACCAGAGAAAAACTGCACGCGAACCACACCAACATAAATCAGTAATCACTTTATCACTAATCAGTGTTATAGAACTAAAACCAATAAATAAGACATAGACGCACGCAGGCCTGTTGCTCTATCTTTTTTTCTCTCTATCGCTGTCTCGCACTCGCTCTTTCACTCTTCGAGTTGTGTTGAGTTCCAATTCTCGGTACTAGCGAGTAGCAAGACGTGCCGCGCGCTCATAACCCAAAACCTTGAGCAATAAGGCAAAGCTCTCGTCTCCTTGACTCGTATTATAGGACTCTTTATAAATATATGGTTGCCTCCGCACACACATAACATTCATGCAGAAAGAAAGAGAGAGAGAGAGAGAGAGAGACAGAGGGAGAATGAGAGAGAAGCACAGGAAATAAATAAAAACAATCAACTCACCAATACTGCGATTTGAAACGTTCGTGTTGCTGTTGAACGAGAGAAGTGCAGAATGTCTCAGAGAGGTCGTAGATTACAATCGCGGAAAAATATCTTATGCTTTGCGAAGCTTTCTCAGTAAGGCGACGATCAGCATTCACATTTTATCATTGACATAGGCCCGATAATGCCGGGCGGCAGGCACCGACGCACATTTGACTGTTTGCAGCAGCCTATATAGCACCAACTAATATAACTAATGTATAGCGTCGACACTGTACAATAACCAGCACAAATTGTGCAAGCAAACTAACACAGATGTGTACGATAGCTAGCAGCTCGTTCTTCAGCGTTGTTCAGCTTTTTTTTGCAACCGAAGCCAATTAAACGAGCGAGGCTCGCACAAACGTTATTTAGTTTAGTAATGCATGTACGTAGAAAAAAGCTGCAAACGAAATTGAAACAAATCTTGTATTAATTGCAAGACTCACGTGGCGACGATATTAATTCACAATATGAACAATGTTAAAAGTTGCGATAAACAGCAGCTCGATTGAACGCCACCCGCAACAGTATACACACTCTGCGATTTGCAAGTCTCGGTGAGATAAATACAAGATTGTTGCTCGCATATGTAAGTATAGAATGTTTGCTCGGTAATATACGCGCCTGCATCGCTGGCTATTAGCCGCCTAATGTATAAGCTATTGTGCCGTTTGTCTTGCAGCACTTGCTAAACACGAGCAGTCCGCTGTAAAAGCTGTTGCTGCAGCTCTCTGATCAGTGCGACTCGTCCAGTCGTGCCTCGTGAGCCGACAGCAGTGGATACAAATACTAGCGTACAGTGCAGTACTCGCCGTTCCCTCGTGTTACAAGTTTCAAATTACTACCCCCAGAGCAACATGAAATATAAAAAACGTGATTACTAAAATAACCTTCTCTCATTTATACTAGCTAATAGTGTTGCAATCGGACAAATCGGAAAAAATAAGGACAATGAAAGGTCCCTCATCCTAAGAATTTCTAAGCATATTTTAACCTTCATGTAGTATTTTCTATAAAAAGTAACTTTTGTTTTCATCCCCGCCAACCCTTTGTTTACCTGGGGCTTAATTGTATATTCTAATAAGTTAGTAATTGGGGGTTCTAGTTAACTAAATCAACTCCTGACACACGACAATGAGTATCTTATTGACTACAAACGAGGGCTGGCTCATATCTCATCTACGTTACTTAAATGACGTTTATAATACAGTCGAAGATGATGATAAAATTACAGCTTTTCGATTCAACCAAGCTATTTTCCAAATCAATTCGCAATTTTTGCGAGCTAATCAAGCGCCAAGAGGAAATAATCAAAACGGCCCTCAATGCTCAACTGAAACTAAGAAAGCGAAAAAGCGAAAGTCTACACAGTCGAGTCTGCCTGATCAAGTCCTTCAACAAGTAGGAATTTATTCTTTTCTTTGAAAATGATAGGCATATTTTGTTTGAACTATCCGATTTTATAAGAAATCGTCAAATCACTACATTTGCAGAATCGTTTCGTCGAATCGGTAGGCCAAAAAATTATTGATCGCGCAATCGCTCTTCAACTGCTGGCCAAGTATCAAATCAACGATAGTAATTTGCAATCGAGACTAGAATCCAAGCAGTTTTATCAAGACAGCAGTGTTCGCAAGTTCAATAAAAACTTTAACGGAGGTAATGCGAAAAATTGCGCCATCGTCGCTAATTTTCAAAACGAGCGCTACATTTTTCCGAAACAATGTCAATTTTATTCACTTGATGTCAGACAACTGCAAAGTATGATTGACCTTTCGAATCAATATGATTTCATTCTATTGGACCCTCCTTGGTGGAATAAATCTATTAGAAGAAAAAAAGTTAAATTAGAAGAAAGCAGGTGAGTTACCATTGAATCCTTTATTCACCTTTGCAAATTATCATTTTTTCATGATACTATTTTAAGCTATGATATGATGTACAATAAAGATGTGGCAGACATCCCTGTTGGTAAATTACTGAAACCAACTGGAATAGTAGCTGTTTGGTGTACCAATGCTCCTTCTCACATTGAAAGTATATTGAATGAAATGTTTACAGCTTGGGGCTTAGAGTTTAAGGCAAAGTGGTATTGGCTCAAGGTGATTTTTAAGTTACATTAACTCAAAACTTAGATGAATTGAAGTGCATTAATTTCATTAATTTTTTTATGAAAATAGATCACTCAAAATGGTCAACCAGTTTGCAACTTCAACAGTTTTCATGGAAAACAGCCATATGAGCAATTAATTATTGGCTCAAAATTATCTAACATCAACTTACCAGATGGTAAGATTATTGTTAGTGTTCCAAGTGCAATTCATTCTCATAAGCCACCACTTACAGGTAAGCCAGTGAATTCTTAAAATCTGGAGGAATTAGGCTTATACACAGTAAAGTATAATTTATTTCAGAAATTTTTAAGGAATATCTACCGGATGATCCAAACTGTCTGGAAATCTTTGCTAGATATTTACTGCCCAAGTGGACAAGTTTTGGCTTGGAAGTTTTAAAATTCCAGCACTTATCTCTGTTTGGAAAGTAGTTATAACAAAGAAAACTGAGTATTTTTACTTGTGTTAAATTTAATTTATAAGTATCAATAATATCAATAATGTATTATGTGTTTTAACATAAATGCAATTATGAAGTATCAATAAAAACCCTAAGAGTTAATAAATAATAAATAATTTTAATTTCGTTTTTACTCTTAAAAGTTAAGTATAGAGTTTCTTCTTAATTGATTTCTTTAAGGACTTGGGGTTTTTCAATGCCATTGGTTGAGTTTTCATTTTTTGGATAGCCATTTGGATTCAATCGTTGCCACTTCCAAAAATCTGCACCTGTAAGTTACGAAATTTCAAAAGCTGTATAAAATAGAAAATATCGCGCTCAACTTACACATTTCTTTGATATTTCGCGTAGCCCTCCATTGCAGCTCTTTCCAGGCCAAGGTAGCATCGGCGTACATGGAGGATATGTCACCGTCTCGTCGACTTTGAATAACGTACGGTACTTTGGTCGCGGTGACCTCCTCGAAAGTCCTGATTAATTCGAGAACGGAGACACCTTTACCGGTGCCGAGGTTGTAGACCCTCAATCGTTGACTCGGGCGATCGTGGAGGCATTCGAGGGCCGCCACGTGACCCGAGGCAAGGTCCATCACGTGGATGTAATCTCTGATACCGGTGCCGTCCTCGGTGGGGTAATCGGCGCCGAAGATCGTGACGTGGGGCTTGTTGCCGATAGCCACCTGAGATATGTAAGGCATGAGGTTGGTGTACTTTTTGGTGGGGTCCTCGCCGATGAGACCACTGCTGTGAGCACCGACCGGGTTGAAGAACCTCAGGGTAATGATGTTCCAGGACTTTTCGGCGGTCGAGACGTCCTTGAACATCTCCTCGATGAAGTACTTGGTCTTGCCGTAGACGTTGGTGATGCAGCCGGTCGGGTGGTCCTCGGTGATGGGCAAGGACTTGGGCTCGCCGTACACGGTGCAGGAGCTGCTGTAGACGAGCTGGAAGCAGCCGGCGGCCTTCATGACCTCGAGCAGGTTGATGGCGCCGATCATGTTGTTTCTGTAGTACTGGAGGGGCACCTCCATGGACTCGCCGACGGCCTTGATGGCGGCCAGGTGGACGACCGCGTCGACCTTGTGCTCGTTGAAGACCTTGCGCAGCCTCTCGCGATCGAGCATGTCGCAGTCGTAAAAGTGCACCTTCTTGCCGGTTATGGCCTCGACGCGCCTCAGGGCGGCCGACTCGCCCTTGTAGTGCTTGTCCTCGACGCTGTTGGCGAAATTGTCGATGGCCACGACCTCGTAGCCGTTCTCGAGCAGCTGGACGATGCAGTGGCTGCCGATGTAGCCCGCGCCCCCCGTAACGAAGATCGTCTTGAACGGCCCGGGGGGCACCAGATCGTCTGCAAAATCGACAGAAAGCTCGTAAGATCCCGACAATATTTTTCGCCCATTCGAATATTCAATTTTTCGCTCGAGTATTTCGACTCTTTTGCCGGCTCGATTTTCTTATTCGAGCTCCGCTTGAAATTCAAATTGATTTGGAGTAAAAGATACGTTGATCAATTTTTAAGAACGACATTTTACTACTTATTATTATTTATATATTATTGAGAAATTTTACTTTACCATTTTATTTGAATAAAAAAAAGTTTGCGAATCAATGGTCTTAATTTAAATGAGAATCGAATCTCGAATAGTACATCGTTGATGAAATTTCGAGGATCAAAATTTTTTGTCAACATTAATTCGTTCCGATCACCATACACGAGATTGAGAAGATTCAAGTAAGTTTAAAGAAAAGCGAGTTCAAGGTCGTTTACCATATCGCGTCCCAGTGTCATTGGCTTTCTATGGAGTTTTTAAATTAAAAAAAACGGCGTCCGTTGCATGAGCGCGCGCGCGCGAGACGACGACGATCCGTTGCTCAATCGTCGTACACATACAACAGGTATCGAAATTAAGTAGCCAACGAAATCGTTCGGCTCGCGGACACGCGCGAGCCAGCCTGATATTTGGAAATGGCACGCGTTCGACTGAATTCTCAATTAGCCTCGCGATTCGACCTTGGCAAATGACATATAGGAATAGAGGATGGCCAGAAAGCAAAAGTGGACGAGCAAAGGCGCTCGATGCACGACGCCAAAGAGAGCTGTATTGTAATAATCAGTAAATAGTTGGTTCTCGAGTCCAGAAACGAACGAGTCGCCGAGCGATGCCCGTCGATAGTTTAAACATTCGTATTATTCGATCGCGAACGATGACTTTTGAAGAGGAACACACGCGTACGAACACGAACGTTAATTCATAACGGGACACGTTTGAGATTTAACACGGAGCAAGGCAATATCGCGACGCAGCTGCCTCGACGATCGCGACTACGAGGCAGAATCGACAAGAGCTTGGGGCATTATAATTGGCTTTGAACAAATTCGGATGGCTTTGGCGCGCATTCTGCAATGCTGAACAAACGATGGGTAGCGAAACGATAGCCGTCCGAGGATTATCCGTTGGCAGGTACGGATCGATTCAAGTGGGTAGCAATTAGGGGAATAGGGACGTTCGGTCAAGGGCCAAGGCCCCAAAGTAAAAGTACAATTAGGCCACGTTAAAAACTCACAGTCCCATTTGCGATCCATGCTGATTGAGCGAGACGATGAAAACGAGCAGAACGCGTCAAACGAGTGATCGGCAATCGCTGATGAGGTGCTGCTGGTTTGCCTGCTGTGCTCTGCTCTGCGCGTCCAGCAAACGACTGGGCCCCCCCTATATAGCTATATATCGCTTGTGCGGTGGAGAGCAGCTGCAGAAAACAGTTTTGCAGACGATGACACGTCTACATATAGTACATATAGATGGGAAGAAGAGCTGCAAAGGTTGGGCCTGAAGCGCGACCAGCGATTCTTCTTTGCGCTTCTTATACTCGCTTCGTCGCGCTTCTTTGCCTCGAGCGGCTGTTTTTCGCGCTCCTCGCCCGTTTGCCCCCGTGAGCGTGAAAGTAAAAAAATAATGCCGATGGATTCCCGTTCTCGAGTACCTCGTGGACGGGCCAATCCAAGCTTGCGTGTCGTCGACGATTCACCCATCGACGCGCTTACTTCTGTATCAAAAATTTGCGCGATCCTCTGCGGCTTTGCCGCCAACGATTCATAAATTCCTGACACATCGTCCCACGACCCGAGCTAAATGTAATTGACTTTAAGTGCATTCAAACATTAACAAAAAATTAAATAATACTTTGCTAAATTTGCGTGCTAAAATGAAATATTTCCTTATAAAAATGGCTTGGAATGGAAAACGATGTAAATAAATTTATATCATTTGAAATGTAAGCTAGTTATCATAGAGAGCAGTCATTTAATTAAATGCCAAAAAGTATTCAAAATATTCTTCGTTTACAAGAATGACATGTATGATTGATAGCGCCTGTTGATTCATTTACGATTGTACCAATACCTGACCAGTTAAACAAGTCGTGTTAGTATTTATTGTAACCAATTGTGACAAATAATTACATCTCTTTTTTTGATTAATAATAACTTGAAGATTGCTCCCCAAACTGTCTGAATTTAAAATGAAATTAAAAAAAAATACTTGCAAATGTCGTAATTTTAAATTAAAACTATATGGCCATTAAATATTGAATACAGTCACCCTCTTACATGCTCAGAGCTTGAATAAACTTACCAACTTTTGAATGCCGTTTTTCATGATGTAGTAGTAAGTTAAATTTTCCCTTCAATTCATGATGCAAGTCGAGCTCGGATACGAGTACAAGTGAGCTTTGCGGGAAAATCATGCATATAATAATCTATTATTCACCGAAACTCCGAGTAATATCATTTTTTCAATTGGCATATCTATCGAAACCAAGACCTACTTCGTTCATCTTCACGCAAATTCGTACCACTTTTCAAACTAATTATTTTTCATGAAAGAAAATTTAAAGCTCATTCAAGCTTAATAAGCGCTATATTTGGGTAACATTTCAGATCCTGCAATTTGCGAATTCTGATTGGTTGCTGCTGGAAGCAATGCACATCATACATGCGCCGGCTCTTTATCGACTAACCTGCCAAATCGCATGATCACTGTGTTTTTAAGCGAAATATTAAACTTTTCAAAGTTTATTACGTTTGTTTAACATTTGTAATACCGGCCGAAATGGCTGCGTTCGAAGGTACATTTTTAATTCAATACCTTTCTCAGTTGTCTTGTGAAAATTTTTATTTGATATCCATTATTTTTGTTGGTTGGTTAAAATGTAAATAACGATGAATTTTTTTTAGAAATGGGTGTGCTGCCGGAAATTTCTAAAGCCCTTGAAGAAATGGATTGGACGTGAGTAATGAATGCATATTTGTTTTTTGATTTTTTATACAATTGTTGTTTTAAATTGAATAGTCTTCCAACCGATGTCCAAGCTGAAGCTATACCATTAATTCTTGGAGGTGGTGATGTTTTGATGGCTGCTGAAACTGGCAGTGGTAAAACAGGAGCTTTTTCAATACCTGTTTTGCAAATTGTCTGGGAAACTGCAAAAGACTTATTATCTGGAAAAACAAGAAAATCAACTTCTTCTTCTCAATGTATGTAATTAATTATTATCATCTGAGATGAGTCTCTCAATTGTAATTATTGTTTTACGTTCAATGTTCATTTTTTATATTCAGCACCAATTTGGAGTTTAAGTGTTCATGATAGAAGCAATGCACTATCTATAACTTCTGATGGTCTTAGATGTCAAAGTAGAGAACAAAGGGAATGGCATGGTTGTCGAGCCACCAAAGGTGTCAAAGGTCCTGGATTATATTATTATGAAACCATCATTAATGATGAAGGTTTATGTAGAGTGGGATGGTCAAATTCTCAGGTTAGTATTTTGTTCAAGTTATTCTTCCAGATTTTACTAAAATTTGTATTTATAATTAAGGCCGCTGTAGATCTAGGAACTGATAAATTTGGATGGGGCTTTGGTGGAACAGGAAAAAAATCTAACTCTAAGCAATTTGACAATTATGGTGAACCTTTTGGTAAAAGTGATGTTATTGGTTGCTTGTTGGATTTGAACCAAGGAGAAATTCGATTTTGGAAGAACGGAATTGATTTAGGAACAGCTTTTAAATTGAATCATCAGCAAAAGTCTGAAGCTTTTTTTCCAGCTGTTGTGGTGAAAAATGCAGAAATAGCATTTAATTTTGGAGCACAACCTTTTAAACATCCTCCTAAAAATGGCTATGTAGCTGTATCTGCCGCCCCAGCCAATCAGATTATTTCAAATCCAAATTCTGCTAACACACAAATTCGTACTTCTGACAAATCAGTAAATAACAAGGGCCCAAAAGCTATCATTATCGAGCCATCTCGTGAGCTTGCAGAACAAACTTGCAGCCAAATTGAAAAAGTAAAAAATATTAATTTAACCATTTTTCAATATAAAAAAAATAAATTTGAACTAAAAGTTGAATGCATCAATTTTTCCAGTGTAATAAGTATATTCAAGATCCTCCTGTATCAGTATTATTAGTTGTTGGAGGAATAAGTATTAAAGATCAAATAAATCAGTTGGGACGTGGTGTTGATATAGTAGTTGGAACTCCAGGTCGTTTAGAAGCATTAGTACAAGATGGATACGTATCTCTGGATCAGTGCAGGTACCTATTATTTAAAATTCTATTCATTTTACTCCAAAATAACATTTAAAATTGTCATTAGATTTTACGTCCTGGATGAGGCAGATGGTCTATTAAAGCAAAATTATGGACCTATGATTGAAAGGTTACATAAGGCAATGCCAAAAATGTCAAGTGAAGGAAATAGACTACAAATGATTGTTTGTTCTGCCACATTGCATGCTTTTGAAGTCAAAAAAATGGCTGTGAGTATTTATTATATTTCTCTTGGAATTGAAAAGGTGACAAAAGTTAAAGTATCATAATTTTAGGAAAAACTCATGCACTTCCCTACATGGGTCGACTTGAAAGGAGAAGATGCAGTTCCAGAGACGGTACATCATGTAGTTGTAATGATAGATCCTCAAAAAGATGATTCTTGGCAGCGTATGAGAAGACACATTCAGACCGATGGTGTTCATTTACAAGATAGTCATAGAGCCATTCAAACAGCAGGCATTTATCTTTTATAATCTTAAACAGTACTTCTTCCTTCATTTTATTCACAAAATGAATTCTATTTCAGAGGCCAAGTCTGAAGCTGTTAAGATACTCAAAGGAGAATACTGTCTCAGAGCTATTAGAGAACATAAAATGGATAGAGCAATTATTTTCTGCCGTACTAAAATGGACTGTGACAATTTGAAACGATTTTTAGATGGCATTCAGGATAGAGAATTGTCTAGTGTTTGTTTCCATGGCGATCGTAAGCCCGATGAACGAAGAAATAATCTCAATAAATTTAAACGTGAAGAAGTTCGATTTTTAATTTGCACCGATGTAGCAGCTAGAGGACTCGATATTTCGGGCTTACCTTTTAGTGAGTATTTTAGCAATCTATCACAAGAACAATTATAGAAAAATATTCTTTCTAGTTATCAACATGACCCTGCCCGACGAAAAAACGAACTATGTCCACCGCATCGGTCGAGTTGGTCGAGCAGAGAGAATGGGTTTAGCCATATCATTAGTATCCAGCGTACCTGAGAAAGTTTGGTATCACGGTGAATGGTGTTCAAGTAGGGGTCGTAATTGTTCAAATACCAACCTTACTGAGCAAGGTGGTTGCTGCATTTGGTACAACGAACCGAGGGTATTTATTTTTAAATAAATGATTTCCGATAACTTTAAAATAGATTATAATCAAGTAAATTATAATAAAAATAATTTTTTAATTTTCTTTTAGCTTTTAGCCGAAATTGAAGATCACTTAAATATAACAATACAAATTGTCGATAAAGACTTGAAAATACCCATGAACGAATTTGATGGAAAAGTTGTGTATGGTGAAAAACAATTGAACAGAGGTATGACTAATTTTTTGGCAAATTATTTTTTTACAATGAACAACTTAATAATTAGTGAATCTTAATGACTTATAATTAGGTTCAAACTACGATTATCACGTACAAGAAATGACGCCATCAGTTGTGCATCTTCAGCGTTTAGAAGCTGAAGCTCAAGTAACATATTTAAAGAGATTTCATTTAGTTGCATAAAATTTATTAAAAATTCTTGAAAATTTTAATATTTTTAATACCATCAAGTGTAATTTGCAAAAAATATAATGAATAATTCTAATAATAAGTTATCATTAGTTAAAGCATGGATGGGCAAAATAAATCTAATCATATTGCCTTTTTGTTGTATCTCGTTTTTTATATATTATTATTCTTTTGTTGTTTTCCTTCTTCATAGTGGATCTTAACATATAATATTATCATTATAATGATTTTCTTGAGTGTTTTTATTTGTTTCTGCTCATTTTCAATCGCTGCGCAGAAAGGGCTTATAATATATATATATATCTTTATAACATAGTTTTATATTCACCATTATATGTATTTATTTCAATCGTTGATGCGCTGTGTTTTTTATCATCAGTTCCATAATTTTTTTACGCGGCGCCAACAATATTTTTTTTTTTATTACGTTTTGTTGATTCACAGTGGACATTCCATGAATTGAGAGAAAATCATCTCACGAGGAAAATAAGTGGAAAAATGAATTGCGTATGACGCATAAGAGAACGTTGATTATTGGCTAATTCTTCGAGAGGATGGAGTTCAAGAGACAGAGATAAAGTATGAGCGACGATGAAATACGGAGGAGACATGGTGTTACCGTTGCGTCCTCGCGTAAGCCATCGTCTCTTGAATAACGTTATACACATATGCAACTCAAACGCGTTTTGTTCGAGGCCAAAAATATATCTCCTAATGTGCCAATCAAATAATCAACGAGTTTTTTAAAAAATTTGAAAAGCTAAACGCACGTACATGCTTACGTATTTGTATGTAATAATATTCACATAATTATTATTCAATATCTTTGTTTCTTGTCCTCTAATTTTATCACGCACTCGATGAAATCCTCGCGCAAATTTTTAATTCATTCCTTAGTATTTGCTCCTTTATCATTCATCTTTACAACAATCAGATAAATTGCAAATTGCCGAATTTTTATATATTATATATATTTCTTTTCTTTTGTCAATCGTCGTAATCGTGATAAATCTTGCACACGCGCATCTTGTTTGTTTATGTGTAAAGTCTGTATTTTTGGCGCAATCCGCTAATCGCAGTTTTTTTAATTACGCGCGCTTACGCAGACTCACGTAAAAATGGCACGCACAGCGATCATATTATTTAAGAAAAGAAAAAAGTATAACAAAGTTTGCTCCCACGCCGCATTGTATGGATTCGAAGACAACATTTATGTGTGCACACTCTCACAGCTCACCCTCATGCGTATGAACTCGCACTCGCACATATACCACGGGCTAGTAATTATTTCATTATGTTCTTTTAGTATAAATAATGTTTACCGATGACTAATTTTTCTTTCTAATCACATATCCATTCATTGTTACACTTAGTTTCCGCATTGTAATAGTATATATTGGTGTATGGACAATACAGAAAAAAGTGAGATTGATTTCAAAGATAGGATGAGGAAGGATGAGATTTTTTATACTTTCTCTATCTAAACGGAGCACGCAGTTATTATAACATTATCACTTATATTTTATACTTCATTAGTTTTCTTCCGTCTCTTTTATTTATACATTTATATCATAATTAATATAAACAATTGTGTTAGCAGTACCATATAATTCATAATTATAAACATTATTGTAAGAACATTCATAAAAATTATGATAAAAATATAAATAATAATGATATAAGCAACAAACTCATCAGTGGTTAGTTATGATAAAAAACGTACGATTGATGCATTTGGTAAAAATGATTGCGCGAGACATTTGTGACAGACGAGATTAATAATTATGCACACATTTATTCATGGTATTTATGCAGGAAAAAGTCGAGTCAATATTTTTTTTTCTTCGTACTCCTTTACTTACTCCTCACTAGAAATTTTTTATCAAACAGTCTTGCGGAGATTTTCAATATTTTTTTATCTCAACCCAGTCAAATCGAGTCAAATTGAGAGAGAACAATTTGTATATGATATACGTATGAGTACAATCGAAGCGAATGTTATAGCGGCTTTCGAGAAGTGCTTTATGGTTGTTTAAATTTTTTTTTCTAATTGACGTTGGAATTTTATACAACTTCGAAAATTTGCACCAAATCAATGACTTTGATTACTTTTGATTTTACTTATTGATAAAATAAGCGTGGATGAACGTATATAGATATATAAATATATACATGTATTATATTGCAACAAAAATCACAACTGCTTATAAATCATAATATTTATATTTAATATATTTTTGGTCATCTAAGTTATGATCAGTTGAAAATAAAAAGATAAATTACATTACAATCAAGAAGTAAACCACATTCTGTTTGCGATAACGCTTGTACGCGCTTTTTGATTCTCGAACGTGATTATTTTTAGCCAAATTGTGCCAATACAATAAATATATTGTCGCGTTTGCAGTACGAATGTTATGTTCTGGCAAGACTCGATTATAAACGATATTTAAAATCTATTGAGTGTTAATCTAAAGTTAAAACCCTTAGTATTTGGTTTGATGTTTCAAGAAGTGAATATATATTATTACGTTGTGAAATGAATTATTGACAGTTAAAATTCGATTTGTGTATCATTCTCGGTTAAATGAAAAATTTAACAGCACGGCCAAGCAAAATCGACGTACAGTTTTTTATCTAAAAAAATTATTTTATTCAAATAAGAAATATTTTAACAATGCCTCTTTTCATTAGCCAACAGTTTATCAAAAAATTCAACAGACAGATGTTTGCGTATAAACAAATTTTCGTAAATACAGTATTAAAAATAAGCGAACTTATTATTGATCAACAACGAAATAAAATGTAAACACAAAAACGAAATATACAATCATAGACAATAAAATAGATTTCGGCAGTTCTCTTAATAATAGTCATAAAATGATAACATAATCATAATGTATAATAATAATAAAATATTAAAAATCAATAGCGATAAGCGTTATCTTTTTTCTTTTGTAACATATACACGTATAATAATAGTATGTATTTATAGCAGAGAAGTTATAGAAGAAAATTGGAAATTGCACTTCATGAGAGCAAGTATGATTATCGATTAAAGTAAAAGCAATCAGTTTCACTTCTCTATGCAAAATTGCAATACACCTAAGAACTTTAATGTTCTTAAGATTGTCACAGTCGCCGGTTTTTGCGCACCTTAAAAATGGCGTATTTATATATGTATGCGCCATTGAAATATACTACCATCGTGCTTTACTCTTGGTTCTATGTTTTTTTTCATTCTCAATGCCTCTTGGATCGAAAACATCGTATCATATAATCGAGTCACGCAGATTTGCAATAAGAAAAAAAAGAAAAGAAGAAATCGAAATAATCAATACATATAAACGTAAATACGAAGTATGTGACATCAAATTTGGCTATAGAGATATATACACGAGACATCGAATTTGATTGGTATTCGACTTGACTCACATACTTAACGTAAGAATCTAAACACGAGTGCAAGCAATTAGCAATCACACAAATGCAGTTATTTTTTTGCATGTTTGAGTTTACTACAATTAAAACGCTCCTCGAAATACTGTAAAATCTCACAAAATACTCATTTTCTTCACAGTAAAAAGGCGATTATATAGCTTTGAGAACACTGCGCTACAAAAACTTGGGCTCACAGTATTTCGTTCTATCTTTTCTTTTGTTCTTTTAATAGTAAAATAAATTAAATCTAGATTTTTTTTATAATAGATTACGCAATTATTTTCAAGTGTGGCCAGGTATAAATATGCCTAGGGGTGTGTGAGTTTACGTTTGTGTTGGTGTGTAATGTGTTTAGTTGGATGACAATTTTTTTTTTTAAATAACGAGAAGATTGGCCATTATTTAAACTATATCCAACCAATCGAAATGGTATAGTAAAACGGAAAAAAACGGATTTTACTTCAAAGATGATGTATCGTAAATCTTAAACACAGAATCGCAGAAGAATATCAATCTGGTATTTATTTAGTGCACGTTTAAAACTTTTCCAACAAGTAAAAAAGATTCACAATAAATGTAAAAAAAAGACTTTGATTTTTACAATGCAACCAAGTACGCAATGAGAATGAAGGCGTTCGAGTTATCCTCGAATGAATATTGCAATGATAACATTTCTCAAAAAGAATTTTCACTCTCCTGGAGGTGAGTAAGGTACAGACACGGGCAATATCATTTTTTACATATAAAAAGAGATCATCACACACTTCGACTCCAAAAATTTTCCTTCATTTTCCATGCGTAATGTGCAAAATGTCGAGAAAAGTTCGCTGAAAATTCGTTTTTCTCGTTTGGACTTTATCTAAACGACTATACAAATTTATCATATTTAGCCAAGACTCGCATTTTCAAACGCGATATGACGGACAAATTGTTATTTGTTTGAACATGCTATACATATCTCTGCTTCGACTGTGTACTGTTTATTAATCGTGTAAATAAATGAGAAAAAATAATATCCGACAGTGTTGATTGTTTTAGTAGGTTCATACGTTCAATATAACTTCTTGCCTGTCATTAAAATGTATTTATACGTATTTAGATGCATGTATCATGATACATCAGCATCCAAGATGAAACGTGGCCCACTAAATATTAAACTATTACAATATTTCATTGCTGTTCTTTTTACCTGTGTTTTATAATTTATTAATTTCAATCTTTTTTCTTGTACGCATATAAGTCTAAGCGATTACCCTTGGAATAATCGTATAAGTAATACATCGCAAACGTATACGTATATTTCTCACCAATTATTAATTAATAAATTTACGTACAATAGCTATTTCATTCGCACTCTGATTTTTTTATTTACGCTCTAACTTTGCAATATTTAATTATTTTATAATTTATTGTTTGTTTCTTTTCATTTCAAGTTGAGTAGACGAGTTTTCATATGATAATCGTTTATTGTTATTATTATGTAATATTTGTTTATATCAATTAAATGGCGTTACAAATTTTTTTGTCGTCATCGCTTGCGATGAATAATGAATCATTTTTTATATATACGTGTAAATTTCCGTATGATGTATGAAGAATATGTGTGTGTATATATTTTATAATACGTATATGCTATGTAGTTTGTTTAATGTTGATGTGTGTTGTGTGAGTGTACGCTTTTTTGACGAGGTGAAAAAATGGAGAGCCCACCCAAGCTCCCCGGACCTCCCGAAAGTAGGTAAAAATGGCGTTTTATTTCATTTAATTTCATAAATATTATCGTTAGCGCACACGATCACTGGCCGCATTTGCGAGTGACTTGGATTGATCGGTGCTTATCCGGAGATGGTTGTGCGACGGTATCGAGTAACGGTTTTGAACGATCGTACTTGAGCGCCACCAAAGCTAATGTAGACGATGAGTGGTCGTAGTAATCTTCTGGCCACCACGACGACGTGGTTGGACAGTATGTAGCTGCTTCGACTCTATCTGGATTCATCATCAGCTCGCCGACAGTATAACAATTATCAACATTTTGACGATGATTACGATGCTCATCATAATCATAATCCAAATGACAATAATTCATAGTATTATTTTTAACACGTCGTTTGAGATGTGTAGGGGCTCGAATAAGTCACAAAAGCTCGTATTGCCTGAGATGCATTCGCTGAATGATGTCCCGACAGTCGTTGAATACTCGCTTGATGTTCTCCGTATCGACGGCGCACGTAAAATGTGGATAACAGTAGTGTTTGCCGTCGCCGCTCGCCGTGCTTATGCGCTGGAAAATTTCAAGGAAAGACGTTTTAATTAATCAGCACCGCGTTGAATTTACGGAGGCTAGGGACAGAAACGAACTCGCGAAATGTTTCGATTTCGATTAAAAGCAATCATCACAAAGATGTACTTTTTAAGACGAATAGAGAGTAATTGGGCTTTTTTGCCGAAAAATCATTGTTTTCGCAAATAAAAATAGTGATTTTTCGTACAAGTTGTGTGTTTTATGAATGAAAAATGATTTATATTCTTACTAGAAATTCGTCCCTAATAAAGTACTTGGCCCTAATGACTTCGGGTGCCTCGCCGGGATCAGCAGCGACGCCAGGCTCCGTTGGCGTGAGATACCTGCCGAAATCAGGAAAATAGTCTTCTAATTTGTGCTTGCCCGCCTTTATTTTTTCCGCGAGCAGATCTTGTTTGTTTAAAAACAAAATGACCGATATTGTGCGAAGCCACCTGGAAAAAGAAAAGACGAGGAGTTGATTGATGTAATCTAGTCGGCGAAGCGAAGCAATTAGTCGCAACGAGTTTCAAGCAAACGCACCGATTGTTCCAGATACTTTTGAATAAATCGAGACTCTCCCTTAAGCGAAGCTTGGTCGGATCTTCTCTGAGCACCATATTGTAGCTGCTGCATGCCGTCACAAATATAATGGCTGTAACGTCGTTGAAGCATTGTATCCACTTTCTTCGCTCGTCTCGCTGACCACCCACGTCGAACATGCTGAAAAATGTCAAACGAATGCCGAGTGAATGTCAAATGAGCGCTTCGATCACAAGTCTATCGTCACAAGTCAGCTACTCACTGAAAGTTTACTTTGTCCACTTGAAATCGCGTTTCGAAGATACCAGATGTCAAAACACGACATCTAAGTATATCCTGCAACACAGCGAACAAATTTTCATTTCAATTATTCAAAGGCCATAAGTCGAGTAAAATTAAATGAAAAAAGGTTCTTACTTGTTCCGTGGGTGTGTAGTCTTTTTGCTTTACGATGGCTACTTTGTCTAAGAAGCTGTAAGAAAAGAACAAGTGGTGAGATTTATATGTCGTTCAATCGCAGCCGAAGGGGATTACAGAAACCGCGAGCGCGTCGATCGAACGAAAAAGAGAATGCGAGAACGAGTCTACTTAATTTTCATTTGCTATACTGGTCGAAAACCAGCGGATAGCACAGGTTTACGCAAATTTTAGCACTTGCCAAAATCTTGAACGAGATTCATTAGAAGCTTTTTTATCATCGTTATAGAAGCCATGGCATTTTCTCTCATTAGAAATGTTCTAAATCTTAATTTTCATAGCTGCACCCTTGAAAATTTACACTTTTTAACATCCATGTTTCGTTTAAAAAGAGAAAATAAAGTCGCAAGATGTTTGGCTTACTAAAAACTAAGATCCGCTTAATATATTCTTGCTACAATGATACGAGTCTTTGTAAACATCAAGACGACGAATCGCAAAGGGGCATCGTATTGAAGTAATGATCAGGAGCTTTCGCAACTTTCGTTATCAAAACATGGTCGTGATGTTATATTTTATACGGTTGTATGTGTATGTGACTGTGTTCGCTCGAGGCTATAACAATAAATGCCGTGTAATATAGATTTCGAGCTGACTCTCGCCATTGGTCAATTATTTTATTGTTGGAATTTTTCATATTTTTTCTCCCGAGTACAATGATTTAGTATTGTAAAATTGACGTGGCGCACGAGTAAGCAAGGTTACTCTGGGTTTATAAAAAGATTTTTTGAGCTGCGTTGAGTTATAATAAGTCGGCGAATTGTCGGTCGGCAAGAGAACGAGCAAAGCCAAAGAGAGCGAGCTCGTAGGCTCTTATTAATACGTATTGCGAGGAGAACAATGATTATGTATACTTTTTTTCACACAAGATTTGCTATTCTTTGTCGAATGCATTTGCTCGTTCTTGACAAGAAGCTGCTCAGAGCTTTAGGAGCGATATGAGCCTACTGCAAGCGTATTTTTTACTTTTGTTCGACCAAATAAAATTCAACACGAATGCAAGTGGAAAAAAATCCTTAAGCAGTATTTTAGGAAAATAATAAATTAAGTTGTAATTAAAGTAGTATTTAAATAGAAGGGCTTGAAAGAAGAGCTCATCGCTGTTGAGTGCGTTGAGTAGAAAAAGATCAATAGCTCTGGTTTCTACTCAAGTTTAGCTTTAATTGTTTACACAAGTCTTATCTCAATTAAGCTTGAGCGAAGTAAAGAAAAATTGAAGGAAACGTTGAAAATGAAGAGAGTCGAACGTGAAAAAAGGCGGGCTCGAGTTAGAAATCGGAAGGCATTGCGGAGTAGAGGCAAATGATGCGTACATGGCTTGAGTGTATGTTTATATACGGAGAGTGGAGCGCATTCTCAATGACATGTATGTGTGTTTTGTGTGTTTGTAATGCGTGTACAAAGTGAAATAGTCAAACGAGCAGCGATATCAAAATGAAGTGACTGGCAGAAAGAGACGCAGAGAGAGAGAGAGAGAGAGAGAGAGAGAGAGAGAGAGAGAAATGTGTACGAAGAGGAATGCAGCAGCGCGCTCGTATTAACGATCGAGTCTGGCTTTATAAATTGATTGATGCTCGTTTAGTTAATTGATCAAAGTTGACGAAATTACGCCGCAGAACGATGACTCGGCGCAATTGCAAGCAATATCAGAGAGAGAGAGAGAGAGAGAGAGAGAGGCAAGCTTATAACGTAATTCAGCAACGATCATGCAACGTTGCTCGGTCGCTATAGTTTGCCGTAAGCTCGAGCCTACGAGTATGCGAGACACGAGTCGTGTGTCAAAAAAGCCTCTGGTCGCTCTCGCTCGTTCTAAGCGAGTCGATAAGTTTAATATGCATCGATTTTGTTTCCCATAGTTCGGCTCGGCCAGAAGCTTTGTGGGCGAGCAGCGAGCTCCCTTCTCCCGTAGGCCGTCGTCTCACTGCACCGCGCGCGAGTTATATATATACGGCGCGAGTCGTAGAGTACGCGGGCATGGCCAGCTACAACGAGCGCCGGCGATGTTTTATTATTATATATATATATGTACACATAGCGCGACCTTTCAATCGAGCGGCTCGATGCAATCGCAAGCGCAACAGAGAGAGAGACTTTTTGCGCGTCGACACATTGTCGCCGCATTCGCGCTAGCAAACTTTTTTTTTCAAAAACTTTTTCCGAGCTGTATTCTGCCCATATTGCGAGCAATACCGTAACTACTCTTGCGATATGTTGGCATTATCGCAGAACGAGGTAGGCGACGTTGGACTTGTCACCAGCTGCGGTACAATATATCGAATGCAAACTAATGAATGAGTCGAGTAAAGAAGCAAAGAGAAAACAACGAGAGATAGTTTCATCTCTGTGTTATCCGCGACTTTGGAGGAAAAATAAAGAATCTCGCGCGAACAATGAGGAATTAGTGCCGAGGAAACACGTATTATTGTAGGTCGGGCGTGCACGAGGCACAAATTAAAAGCACATGACAGTCGAGCTGGCGAGTTCTTTTCTCTCTCTCTCTCTCTCTCTCTTTATTTACGTTTCGAGTCGTGGCTGCAGCAGCAGCAGCAGCAGCAGCGTTTCGGCCTCGTACTACTCGAGAAAAATTAAAGAGAATCTCGCTCGAGTCCCAATAGATATGGGCCAAGCCAAAGAAATGCTCTCGGTCGGATGCTGGAGCTTCGGGTCATCGACCAGTCCCTCTCTCGGCTTGTCCACTTCATCGGATTTTCGTTTCCTTTTTCAAGAGAGCAGCAGCAGCTACGCGACGGTATCGTGCGCGCGAATGCATAGCTTGGCTGGCTATAGGTAAATGCACGTACACACCCAGCAAGTGTGTGCATCTGTCGCGCGCGAGATAGCCGCGCCAAGTAAGCCGAGTCGAGAGCGCAGGCGCGTCCGCAAGCTCTCTTTCTAGCTGCATAGGCTGCAAGCATACACGCATCGTGCTCACGAGCACCAATCTCGATATGTGTGCTCGCGCGTGTGTGTATTATGAAAACGCTCGAGTTATTTTTAGATGGACGTTGATGAACGCTTTTTGCGCGATCTGACGCTACCGCCTGTATACTAGTACGTACGTACGCTCGTATAGGTAAACTACGCCACGCCGGTAAATACGCTAAAGACCCTGTCTTATTTTTTACTTTACTTTTTTTTCCTTCTTTACTCTTTCTCCGTTCGCTCGCAATCCTACCTATGCAATTATGCATCGATTGTACGTGTGAAAAAAGATGTTGGACACTCACTATTTGGCGCAGTCGATGAGTTGATACTCGTTGCTCCTTTCGAAGCTCTGCTGCACGCCTCGGTCCTTCCAAAGCGCCTCCACCTTTTCGTAAAACTCCTGCAAGCAGAGAAAACGAAGCAATTTTTAGTGCACTGAATTAAGTTCAAAATCGTCTAAGCGCGCGCCTTCTACCAAACGAAATGACATGCAAAGAAAACGGAGCGAATGCCCGGATAACGGGTGAAATTCAGACAAACGGGCGCGTTTCTTCTTTTCCGACTACTTTTCGACTTGATTACTTTCGACGCATCGTATTTCGGCGATCGTAAATGATAATTGCAATTTGCAGTTGTTGTTGACTCGAGCGTCGATCTTCGCGACTCAGCGACAACTCGTATGTTTGTTTGTATGTGTCGAGCGATCAATCGGCTATATAATAATTGCCTCTCGATGCATAATAATTCAGCGATATGTAGCCTCTGTACGACGCTGCGACGTGATCGCAAATAGAACAGCGACGAGGTGTCATTGCTTTCTCTCGTACTCTTTCTCGCTCTCCAATACCTATCCCTTATTTTCAAGCGTTATCCCTATATACCTATGTACAGGTCAAGCTCTGTCTCTCTATGTAACATATATTTGTGCACATTGATAAATTCATTCTGCACCGTCGAGAAAACGTAAACAAAGCATAGTGTGGACGCTGCAGCACCTTTCCTATACACCATGTACCATTGTTATTATTGGACGCGTATCTTATGCACACTACTTATGACCTCTACTTTGCTCTTTTTCCGCGTTTTCTCGCAACTACAACCCATGTACTATCCGCACTATCGAACGATTCACTAAAGTTTCTCAAATTCAAAATCGAATATTTCCTCAATTTATATAATCGAAAAATCTAATTGCAATTTTGACTCTTATGTTTTTCTCTGTTCGTAGTGAGGAGGCTTACATTGTCTCGAGTGCTCGATTGACGCCAGTTGCATACTTTAAATCCATTTTTTAACGTAAATGTGCTGGTTTTCGTCAACAGCCTCGATATATGGGATATATTATCTAGACATAGATATTTTTTTTTTATATAATATGTACAGGCAGACTGACTATGTTTCTCGCGGCAATAAGCTACGTGCCATGTTTCTGCAAGTAGCCTCTCCCTCGCTGTTTTTTGGAAGAACGACCCAAGGCTTATATCGCAAAGCAGCCTCCTATAATTTGCCGCCGAGCCTGACAAAACTTGAGGCTCAATGGGCATTTGTACGCGAAGCGCGTCCATATGCGCGTGCTTACCCGAAAAACTCTATTTTCTATAAGCTCATTCCCAAAGGACCATTTGTCGCCGCTTCTTTCTTTTATATAAATTGACTTTGATTAAATTATTACTTGAATAATACATGTAAGCTCGATATTTTTTACGACTGCATTGCCAAATTTACTCTTATAATAATATTAGAAAATGTTGAAATTCTTGAAATTCATCGAATGTACGAAAACCATTGATTTTCAGGGATTTTTTTCGCGATGACTCAACTAATTGAAATTTGGTCCAGAAAGGTAGTAATTACAGTCAGTATTGCAGAGGTTCACAAAGTATTACATATATATATACGCGGAGTGAGCGCGATAAACAAGCATATCGACAATCGAATAACAAATCGTTTTCCGAAAATGAAACTTTTTCAATGATCAAATATTCATTTCATTGATGGATGAAGAAAAGAGAAAAAAAGTGAGATAATCGTAGGTTTTATTTGAAAAGAGATCTTAGACATAAAATTGCATAATTCGGTGAATGATTGGTTGGTTTATTGACACTTATCAAGTAAGCCAAGTAAAATATATAAAATTAGTTGAACAACGAACGAGTTGTTAATGAAATTTTGATAAAAAGCTGATTTTGCATCGGCTATCCACACGCATTTGCTTCACGGTACTCCAATTTTTCTGCAGCTAAATTAATTCGTTTTTCATTCAAAACTTTTCGACAACTTTTATGTTACAAGCGAGTACTAATTATAGAACTGATTCATCTATTAGCTGTGTAGATACATGCGATTTAATCGTATTAAAATAGCCCGAGAAACGATTCGGAGATATCGAGCGAGCGAAGCAAAAAATTCAGAGGGTCAGAAGAAACGAGAAACGGGAGGAAGGGAAAAAAATGGCTCTTCTCCCGAGCGTCACATTAATATGCTCGCGGTATTTGCCAACCAGTCGAGTCGAGCAGCGAAATAGAGCCGGGCAAATGGCGCAAACGAGCGGCAAGAACGGGAATTATGCGCCATATATTTGTGCACGAGATAGGTGTGTTGAGTGTGTGTGTGTGTGTGTGTGCGCGCACGTAGGTGTGATACGTATGCAACTAATTAAAAGCATGCGCGCCTATCGTATTTTTCTCTGCATCATTTAGCGCAGCGTCACGTTCCGTTCTACAGAGCTGCGTCCTACAAGCGAAAACACACGGCCCCCGACGAGGAGAAAAGCTCGCCGCTCCCGAGCTGTCCGAGTCTCAAGCCAACGCTACTACTTGGCTAATTCGTTTCTTTAATTAATAGCTTAATTAATACATCGGCGAGCAACGATAAACAGCCATTACCAGCAAACTGTGTGAGTTGCTCGACTGTTTGCATGATTTATTTGTAGCTAAAGCTCAGTCGAAAGCTGCACCGCAGTAAATTACTCATCGGTAACATCTTTTTTACCCCCGAGCTTTCGGCAAATAAAAAAGTATCAATCCAGAGCTTTGACGCTGTCTATCCTCTCTCTCTCTCTCTCTCTCTCTCTCTCTCTCGCTCTTTGCCTCGAGCAGCGAGCACGCACGCGTTCAAAAATAACTGCACGGAAAAATATTTGACAGTTTTTTTTCTTCATTTTTCAAAACGACCGTTTTATTTTCATCTCGCAAAGATATTCGCTCGTTTGCCTTTTATCCTCGGCATCGGAAATGAAAGATAAATACCACGAGCTTTCGAAGCAGTGCGAGAGGAGCCTGTACGCGTATACGCATTTCGAATCAGGATTAATCCACGTGCTAGCGCACAAACAAAACTTGTAAATAAATCGGCACATTTGAAATTTGAAAAATAAATGATTGCCCGAGCAACCAAGGAAAGTCAACGCTTCGAATTCATTGAGTGCAAAAGAGAGAGAAAGAGAGAGAGAGAGAGAGAGAGAGTAACGGAAAGCCCTCAAACACGGAAGAATACGTTCCTATACATAATTTCACGCTTGGATATTTGTTACAATGCTCTTGTTGTTGGGAAACGTGTTTATTTCACCTGCGAACCCCATTACATCTACAGTGAAACACGCGTGTATAGCTGTGAGCTCTCGATAACAAGCCCCGAGACGGATGGCTCTTTCGTCACGTGTCGTCGATAATCGCTCTCGCGACGATGGTCCATCCGCATTCCGTCGCAGAGGCAAAAATGCGAGCACTGACCCTTATACCGTACGCGTATGCATGGCAGACAATGTTCAACATTTCACTCGCTCTCTCGGAGTTTGAAATATTTTACAATGGTTCGTGCCGATGCGCTGTGTCGAATTTCAGGTCGAGCAAATGACATGGCTTAAAAACACAATGGGAAGCGAGAAATGCGTGTCCGTATTAAACTTACCGGAGGATAATCAAAGTCCGGCGAAGTTGAGACGTCGAGTACGTAGTCGACTCTGCTCTGATTGGCAGGATCTTCTAACGTCACGGGCGGCGTCAATGTGTTCATCGCACTGGTTATCGTCTGCAATAATACGTTAGAATCATCAATGGTCGAGCCTTTGTCGAGAGCTTTTGCTGCGCTTTGCCCCTTTTTTTTAACTTACCACGATGGCATCCCTGATGTTTTTCTTTATATCTTCGATTTTTTGCCGTTTTTCTCTGTAATCAAAAAGTACCGAGTTAATTTCATTCGTTGAAGTGTCATATTTATGTCATAATATAGCCAGTTGAAATTAATCGTCAGCTGCTCGTATAATATGAATAATAATGGCATATTAATGAGTCTATAGATGAGAGGGGATAGATTAAGCGGCAGATTTTTTCAAGCGTTCAAGCGTCTTTTTTTCGTCGATTTTTGTTCGTCGAAATCTCAAGTTTGACTTTTGATAAGAATTGAAAAACATCGAGCAGTGCAGACATCGAACTGTTGGTTCAGATGTTTAAGAAGTGTTTAAGAAAAGAAAAAAATTACGAGTTTACGAGCTTTATGATGACAGCGAAAGTAGGCCAAGTATAGGAGATTTGGCTGAATATTATAAGGTGTACGTAGACAAAAAAAGGCGAGCGTCGAAATGGAGAAAATCGTGTAATTCGGTTGATTCAAATCGCGATCCCTCGAGACACATCTGGAGACAGAAGACGAATCGATAAGCGCTTGAACGTACACGATGAATGCAATTTAAAAAAGCGGCAAAATTAATCGTTTGCAAACTCAATGATTATTTACAAGGAAGAAAAAAGCAGAGCAATCGCTAATGAAAACAAACGCCGTTGAACTTGGTTTGATCATAGCAAGCGTCAAGTGGCGCATTATAATGCGATACCGATGCGATATAAGCGCGCAAAGCTTATAAATGGTCGATTTAATTATATAAACGAATGTACGCGCGTGTCATTTGCTAAATTTGAGTTGGCGCAAAGCGACGAGTCGCTGGCGGTAGATTGACTCGACAATTTCCTCCTTAGCGATGACGAACGAAAGCGACACGGCTACAAGCTAACGAGTCGAACTTTGTTGTCGAGGCAAAGAGGAAAGCGCTCAGAACTCACGTTTCGCTGAAGCCATTGACGTGGAGTATTCTCATCTGCTTGACGATTGTACTTTTGCCGGATTCTCCCGCACCTGCAATAAAAGAGCAATAAAAAGGATGGAGATTAGCAATGAAATCGATGTAAATGTTGCTGTGAGGGGGCTGGCTGAATAAAAGCAACGTACCGAGCAGCAGAAGCCTATGAGTGGCTCGATAGACCTGCTTATCCTTTTGGAGCTGCCTGGTGATGGCGTCGCTGCGCCTCTTTTGGTTTTTGCTGTCATCCTGGCCCTGTTTGCTGCTCTGACTGCCGAAGCACCCCATGACACAGGATAGACAGGCGAGTCCGCCGGCGGCTGCGCTCGCCGCTGCTGCCTGTACCGAAGCAGCGGCAGCGGCTGCGGCTGCAGCGGCCCCAGTACTACTGTCGCTGACGCTCTCGGCTCCAGCACCACCACCTGTTGTAGTAGCCGCTGCTTGTTGGCCGCTCAGCAAGCCGCGTCGGGCCTGAGCCTCGTGGTCTTCCTCGTCCTCGGATTCGTCGCAGCCTCCTCCTCCTCCTCCTCCTTCTCTTTTGCTCTTGTGCTTACGGTGCGGCGACAGCGACGACGTCGACGAATCCTGACGCTGCTGCTGACTGCCGCAGCTCGCAGCTACGACAGCTATATCCTCCTTCACCTGTGCCGACGACAGTGTATAGCCTTTGAGCCGTTGCCTCTTGGATCGAATGCGGCTTGGAACGAGCCAAGATCGCAGCTCCTTTGCTTCTTCTCGTCGTCGTCGTTGTTTACGACCGAGCGATCGACGGCATCGCCGCTACTGCTCCGATTGATGGCAGCTTCTGCAATTTTTACATTTTTACATTTTACAATTGTACGTGTTTGCTTTAAAGCACAAAAAAGGCCAAAAAAAACTGTCTATTTTATCGCGTTTTCTGACTTTGGCTCTTTACTTTGAGCATCGAGGCAGAGACGAGCCGACTCGTATATTCGAGCAAATATTCGCCTCCTCTGCAGCGACTTTCCAGTCTGTCGGCGATGCCGATTCTGCCGTGCGCTGTTTTATTTTTACTTTACTAAATCCAAAGTACCGCCCGATTCGCGAGACTCTACTACTATTCCAGAGAACACAGCAACGACGCTCTAGTATAGCAATAGTAGTAGTAGTAGTAGTAGTAGTAGTGCTCGACACAGTCATCACAGTCATCGACACCGCAACTATTTACATGTACGTTAATTTTGCAATTTTGTCAAATTGTAAGAAAATCTGCTCGTCTTGCAATATTTCACTAGGCGGACACGATTAAATTTTTCTCTTTTATTTCTTCTTTCTCGGGCCGGCATCTAGATCAACGTAAAGCTCCAACTCTGGACAGATACAGCAGCACGGAGGAGATGAACGCTTGGACTCGAAAAAGTCGTGGTCGACTTTGCCGGTCGAAATACGCGATAGGATCTGCTGCGTCAAGTCGCTAAGTGGCGGCGAAGGAAGATGAGCGAAAACGTAGCGACGTTGCAGGCAACTTGCGATCGCGTCGCCTTCTTAGGCGGATCAATCAAAGCGAAGCTACTCTACTACGCGAGTGAATTCGTTTTGAGTGCAATCATATTGTCCTACGGCATAATCGGATTGGCTGTACATATCTTTGAAAAATAATAATAGGCCGAGAAACGAGCTGTGCGTGTGCATTCCGCGACTCGGTAGGATATACACGCGACGAATGACGATGCTCCCACGCATTCCTTAGGTTATCGCGGCGGAGCACGGGAGAATGGAGAAACGACGGAAGGCGGTGGCGGCGATCATATGGTGCGTGCTTGCACAAGCTAAAAACTCACTCTCCCTCTAGGATATCTCAATAATAAAAGAGTTTTCGTCGGCAGCCAATAGTTGTCGCACTCGTGATACGAAAACGACACCGAGCAGAACTCGTTAAAGCTTTGCTCCGAAATACGTTTGTTTTTGTCACTGGCACTGCACACATAACTTATGACATGGCTCGTAAGATGGAAAGCACTAGTTGCAACGAGCGAGTCTCGATGACTCCTGCAACCAACATGTCGTCTGCTAGCAGCGCCTCTCGCACTCGCTCTCTGTCTCGCTCAGCGGACGGTGTGACAGACTCGAACTACCCTTCATCCGTGTACGTGTGCGACTCCGAGTCTATGCTATATACTATGTGTGTAGCTTGCTCAGCGAGCTTTAGCTCCTTGTGGCCTGTGAAAAGCTCATCTCTAGCACTAACCTCGGCTAAAAGCTCACTTTGCAAAGAAATCGAAAGAAGAAAAACAAAACTCACCCACTAAAGGCAGCTTCCTAGATAAATATACCAAGAGAGAGAGAGAGAGAGAGAGAGAGATAAAGAGAGATAAGCAAAGATAAGGAGGAAAACGCAAAGCGTAGCCAATTTATAGCGACGCGAAGGTTTTCGTTTCAACCATCACTCACTCGGTCGCGTATGCACCAACACCTATAAGAGAGTCCATACACATGCACTTGGATGTAGCTCCCGTCGTCGAGATGTCGTAGTTACTTATAACACGTACACTAGATGGGCAGAGAGGCGCAGTGCGTCGGAACAGTCAGTCAACTGGTTTCGTCACATGTACACACATGGGCACAGACGCGGCTGTATAGGTGCGAGCAAGTAGAGTCGCGGAATCAGGCAGACCGCAAGAAGCTGCGCGACACTGGCATGGAGCTTTATCTGCAGCAGCAGCAGCAGCAGCTTCTGGAACAAGAGATGAAACGATTCGGAGGGCAAAACTGCCGCTGCGTGTTTGCGTTTTCTCTTTCCAGTTGGCTCGTCGCATTTGGCTGTCGTCGTCGCAGTGCTCGTACTCGTTTTGGCTCGCTTCGCAATTTCGCATAGATGTGTGTCTGCGAATACGGAGAGGGAGCGAGAGAGAGAGAGAGAGAGAGAGAACGAGTGCGAGCGCCGGTGATGGCAGTTCGGCCGTCGTCGTATATCGCGCGTACGCCCGCCGCCGCAGCCGTGCTTCTCTCGAGCAACCAAGAGGCAATTTTCGCGAGCAAAAGCAGCACCTATAACACATATAGACACGATCGCGGAGCCAAACTCGCTCCGAGTCAACGAGAGAGAGAGAGAGAGAGAACGCCTACAGTTTCTGTTTCTGCTCCTATATTATGTGGTGCGTTATCAATCCGACTGCTCTCGCTCTCCATCTCGTTCCTTTTCACCGCGGCCGACTGTGCGCGATATTCATCAACGGTGGCGTACAAACAAAGCGAGACTCGCGAGCCGAAAGCGACCATCGAAGCTATCCTGCGCCCAACTCGATCCGTATACGCGAGCTTGATTACGCTTCTACCGTTGAAGCTTTGCTGCAGAAGCCTACGCCGACCAATAGGACGTATAGGACGTGCCTGTGGACTCGAGACTGTGTGGAAGCACACCGATATCCAGAGAAGCTATAGCTCGATAGCTCGGCGTCCAACACTAGCTGATATCGGAGCAAAACGTCCAACGACACACGCGTGCTCTTTGCTGCTGCTGCTACTGCTGATGCTTACCTATAAACGAGAAGAGCTGCCTCGTACATCAGGGCGAGTGACGAGTGCCGCCGACGACGACGACGACGACAACGACTCGCAGCGACTCGGGGACTGCTAGAGCTTGTACTGAACACGGGCTGCAGACGAGACTTTATAGCACTCGATCGACGCGGCTCAGGATATCTGCACAAGCACGATTAAGCACAATAACACACATAGACACACGCACGGAACGCACGCACTGGCCAGTGGGCTGGCCACTGACACAGCGAGCAGACACAAGAGCGGAGCAGCAGCAGCAGCAGCAGCACACAGATCTACCAATATATATATGCTACATACATGTATATACCCTCGCGTCGTTGTCACCGTCGCCGTCGTCGTCGTTGACTAGTCGAGTAGTCGTCGGTGCGGCGCGAATAAAACTAACTGAGCGAATAATCTCACGTACTTGGATAGGTGCTAGCAATGGACTGCTACACGCGAGCGATATTCACGCGTGTAACACATATAACGCACGGATACACACGCATGACACATCGCTGCTACTGCTGCTGCTTATATACTGATGTTAGCTCACGCCTCGCTGTAATATATAGCCCCTTTGTCTATAGTCGTGGATGTATATATTATATATATATATATATGTATAGGTATAAGACTCCGGACAGTCGACGGCTCGCGCGAAAAGCTGTCTTCGAGTTTCGACGATTATGACAACGTCGCTTCTCGGCCGTCTACTCGACTCGGGACAGTCGGGATTCCTCGGCCCCTTCCGCTCCAGCCCCCCCTCGACTGCTCGAGCTATATAATACAGTCTCGCGCTCTACGTAAGAGCTGCACACCTATATGCACCTCGCACACTGATACCTATATACTCTCTTACTTGTGTCTCTATACAACTTTATTCTCTTCTATGTCTATACCTCTATACCTGTCGGATGTACTGCACCTACATATCTATATTCTATATATATATATATATATATATATAATAATAATATAATACAATAGATATATATATAGGTAAACGTGTGTGTGTGTGTATAAACGTTGCCAATTGCGATCTCGCGAACTTGCGAGATGCGACTGCGCGCCCCGCCTCGTCCTCGCGAGTCGCGTCTCACTCGCGAGCCGCACAGCAGTCGACTTGCGAATCCCTCATTTTGCCAGAGAGTCCAGCAGCGACGGCTGACGAGAGTAAAAGCGCCGCGTGTCGCCCAATGCAGCCCGATATGCGCTCTCGAATCTCGATGCAGACCTCCTATTCGCTTATTTTTTGCTCCTATATGCTTCCTCTGCTCCTTCCGGCCGTCGATTACTTTATTTGCACAATTATATTTCGTACTTCGCGTACCGATTATACCTAGTGGCTCGCTTACCAGTCAGTCGATCGCTCATTTCGTGCTCGCCGTTCATCCTGATAGATGTCGCGGCTTTCACTAAAAACCTCCCCAGACACTTTTGACAATCCATTTAATTCGTATTGCGTGCTAAAGCGTCACCTACACCATTTTCTGAAAACGTAACCCAAACTTTTGCCAATAAAAACTTTGAAAACTTAACTTAGCCCTAAAATAAAATATTTATAATAATTAATGATTGGAAAGTTGCAAACCAAGCGACATTTTTTTTTGCTCATTTTTTCATAAATAATCGTTTTAACCATATTTTTAGCTAATTATCAACATACTGCTTTATTAATAATAATTTTACAACTAATGTATAATTTACAGTTATATTTCCAAGTTATGCTATAATATATACACATAAATTATCTATACAATACTTACAAATATCTCATTTATGTCCTTTCATTTTGTTCTTCACAGAGTTTAGTTTCAGCTACATCAATGTGAAAATGCATATAAAAATAAATACACTGATCTTATGAAAAAACAGAATGTTAAAAAGTTGACAAGCTGTAGAATTCTTTCTTAAATATGCTTTTCACTAGCAACACATTGATAAATTTTTCAGCGTGGTAAAAAATATGACGCAACAATTCTACAATATTATGTCATTCTGAGAAAACATAACAAATGATCGTGCATGGCTAATCAACCATCAACTTATTGTAATACAAGACAAATTCAAAAATTGCCATTTAGTTTATTGACCTGTTTTGGCTTAATGACTCTCAGATTCAATAATTTCTTGAAAATTAAAAATTCTTCTGTACTGCCAATATATATCTTTTATAGTTAATCCAAAACTGGTCAGCATAAAGTTTATTAAACCAAGATTGCATCAAAATAGTTGTGCAAACTATTTTGAAGTCAACACTTTATTGAACTGAAGTATATTCTTCCGGTTACGATTTTGAGTTATCATCCTCGCCATCTCCCAACAATTCTTGTAAATTAACGCTTTCAAAATGTTTCAAAGCATTCGAGCTGCCTAAAATAGTTTTGCCAAATGTTAGTCAATCAACAATTTATTTATATTAATTTTCAAATAAAATCAAGTAATAGCATAAGTACCAGCTTGAGCTAAAAATAAGTCTTTAAGGAAACCCAATTCTTTCTGAAGCATGTTTATCTTTTCTTCCAGTAATTCGTTTTCTGTTCTTAATTCATTGACTCTTTCCAGAGTTTGTAGTGTTTTTTGTTTGCTCTTAACTCTTGATTTTTTAACAGCTTGATTATTTCTATCTCTTCGTTTTCTGTAATCCTCGTCATCATCATCCTCAGATGCAGATACTTTTTTTCTATTTCTAGGATTATCCTTGGTTTTTGGTGACATCTGTTAAATGAGATTTGGTATAAAGTTTTATTATAAATGATGTTGCAATGTGTAATATTAATAATGAAAGTTTTATTGCAATAAGTGGAAAATGGTGAAAAATCCAGGATGCTGCAATATTTAAGTAATGAATAATATTTACATTTTCACTGGAAAAATAATCACTGCAATCACGAGAAAGGTTCATGTTCATGTTACTAAAAGAAAAGAGATCACGAGCTTTAAAAATAACTTAAAAAATCGTATAAAGGACGTACAGCACCACGACGTCTCACAGACGAAATGTAATGTCTCGTTCACTAACCAAATGAAACGAAGATATAAAATATGAACCACACACCGCGTAATGGCATTGCTATTTTACTCCCTCTCCCGTCGTATTAGGCAGCCAAGCTGCTTTATTCGAATTGATAACAAGTTGAAATAAGTATAGATGGAACGAGAAAGACAGAGCAGTCATGATCAGGTACTTACTTTGATATTGCTCTCAAATCTCGATTAAGATAATACGAGATACGAATACTTTGACAGGCTGCAATGAACAGTGACGTTTGTGGGTATAAGCTGCGTGGTTATGCGTTGACGCTGTAAGCAGGAGCAAAGTATTAAATTATCCTTGGAAAAATATTGTTTTTAGTCGGTATGTAGTACAATTTTTGCTCGGCACACGGGATCACAGCAGAGTCGTGACTCGTGTGTACAGAGTGCGGACTGCAGCGGCTGACGCAATAGCGTGCACCAATTGGTTTCATATACGCACGCTTCATCCGTTCACGCGGTTTGTTCTGCTATTAGTCGATCGATGTTTCCTACCATATCGACTCAAATAAGGTTACCCTCGTACCCGCCAATATTTGTAAACAAGCCAACACAACTCGATTTTAAAATACGAATGAATCATAGCGTTTGCCGCAGAGCTGCTCTGCAGATGCTGTCCGTACGTCATACGTGAGGTCATATTCGCAATTCGCGCATGTTCTTACCTGTTTGAAGTAGATATCAATTTTGCGAAAAAGCCCAATTTGTATAATCGGTTTATATCAATTTATTGCTAGAGAACTTATACTTGCAAGTGAACTAAGCTAATTCTGCTGTTTCTGTGCAGAATACTAGTCGGCTGTTATAAACATTAGCAAGTAAATTAGCTTATGTCTGTTGTGATTTGTGTACCAGGTTGTCAATCGTCATCAACTTACATCTATGAAAGCGGCACGGTAATTACGTGCCAATAAGTTATCACAGAATTCTGAGCGCCGTGTTTTTTGCCCTTCAAAGACTTTACCATTTGCTACATTATTGCAAGCAACATTTGACATTTTTCAAAATGTGGCAAGAAGATCCTAATGAAACGCTCGATGATGATATCATTGATTACATTGTTCATGAACATATTATCTTTTTGATTGATTACGACAAAAGGATGCAGACAAAATATCTTTCCAAATGTCTAGAGGTATGAGTCATAGCATGTATTTCATCTGTTTATACATTTTACATTATTTTACATCTATTATTGAATTTTTTTTTCTCTTTTTAGACTTATCAAAAAATTGCTAAGAAAAAATGTTCTTCCAATAAACAAGATCATATGGGAATTATTTTGTATAATACAAAAAAGTCTAATACCGATGGTGAACATGTTATGACTTTGCAAAAATTTGATCTGGTCACAGTAGATACTTTAAAAAATGTCAAAATTTTGTGTAAGTAATGGTATTTGATTCCTTATTCACATTAAACATTTATTAATCTTGCAGTCATTTATTTATCACACTTACATTAACTAATACTCACATGTATTAATTTATCTTATAGTACAGAATATTGATTCAATTGGTGAACCTGACGATTCTGGCAAAAATTCTTCTCCTCTAGATGCTTTAACTTATGCATTACAAATTCTAAATTCTTCTCAGAAAGAAAAAAATGTACATAGAAAAATTATTCTTTGCACTTGCAATGATAATCCTGTTATTGATACTCCTGAAAGACACCGCATCGAAAATCTAGTTTCCACATTCAAGGATAATAAAATCAAACTAATGGTAGTAGGTTTTCAGAACTCTTGGAAAGATGAAATATTTTACAAAGACTTGCAAATCATTTCCAAGACATTTACAGAAGATAGTTATAGACGCATTTGTTTAGATGACCTAGAGTATAGTATTTCATATGCTACTAAAAGTGTTTGTAAAGTCCCATGGAAGTTCAGTCCAAAAATCACCATTGAAGTTTCTATAAAAGTCATTAATTCGTAAGTATCTTATTTAATACCACAATGTAGCAAAGTGAAAATGTATTTTTTATAGATCTGTTATGGCATCACTACCAAAAATCAATGTATTAAAAAAGACTAATGAGCCAGTGGATGTAAAACACATCATTGCAAGTAATTCTTATGAAGATTTTCAACCTCATGATACAGTGGTAAATGATTTTTTTGTCTAGTATCACTAAATTTTGAACATTTTATTCTAAATAATAATTATCATGAATTTTGTAGAAAGAGAAAGATGCATTTGACAGGAAAGAAATTATTTATTCAAAAAAATTTGGGGGTTCAGAAATTGATTTTACAGCGAATGAAATGAAGAAATTCAAAAATTGCAATTTGGAACCAGCTATTGAAATATTAGGTTTCTCACCTGTAATGTGTGATCCAATAATGCACAGAGCTCCTGCGCATTTTTTGTCTTATACTTCTGATTGCAATGAAGGTATCATAAATTATTTTTACTTTTCATATAAAAATTACATAAAATTATTATTTTAGAAAGTAGAGATTTCTTTTCAATATTTGTAAGTAGATGTGCATCTAAAAAAGTAATGGCTACATGTAAAGTTATTACAAAAGCATATGTATCTTTTTGTAACATGATTCCAAGTGAAGAAGATGGTGGATTTTACATGTACAGACTTCCTTTTAAAGGTACATTAAATTTTTCTTTAATAAATTGAAAATATGAGTAAACAAATCATACATTTTTCATAGACGAAGTTCGTTTTTTGGATACTTTATTGCAAGATTTTATATATAATTCTGATAAAAAATGTGATCTTGATGAAACGACAATCCCATTTTTTATGGAACTAATGAAAATGTCAAAGTTTGAATACAGTCCTAAACTGTTTAGTAATCCCAAATTTGACAAATGTGTTGCTCATATTGAAGCACTGGCATTAGAAGATAGACAGAGTCCTGCAATAACAGATACAACTCGTAAGCACCAATGGAATACTTATACTAATTAAATTATTAATTATTGCTAAACATTCAATTTTCTTAAATAGTTCCAAAAAATTCATTTAGCTCAGAAGTAGTTGAAATAGAAAGGAAATTAATTAAACAGCTGAATTTAAAAGATATTGCAACTTACCAAATGGCGCAACAGCTTAAGCGAAAAAGAACTTCAAATAAGGATGATAGTGATGTTCTAGCAAAAATTAATAGATATGATTTTCAGTCACTGGCTGAAAATGATAAGGTACGTGAAAAAATGATGTTATTTGTTAAAAAAAAATTAAATGCAGAATAAATTTAAACTTGATTGCTCTTTATTTATTTTAGCTTGGTAATCTTACTGTACCAGAATTGAAAGCATTTTTAGCTGGAGTTCGCCAGCCCTTTTCAGGGACTAAACCCAAGTTGATATCTAATATCAAAGCTTACTACGGAATTTCTTGAAATGAATCTATGAATTTTCAAAAACAATATTTTCTTGATTATTTTTTATATTTTTTCTTATTTTTCTATGGTTTTTGTTTATGTAACAAAGAAAAAATTTAATTACTTTTAATTACCAAAGTGCCGATTTTTTAGCAGCTACATTGAATACATAATACAATGTAAAGAGTACATTCTATCAATAAAATTGAAATTCTATCTCTAGATACGTTTTAAAATTTCTTCGAAGTGTCCCCAATGAAGTTAAAAAATATAAACCAAATATTATAAATAACATCATATGATTAATAAAAAATTAGGTAAAAATGAGTTATTGCATAAAAAAAAAAATGGAGATCAAACGTGGTTCAATTTTATCTTACGTCATATAAGTATTTTCAGAACTTTATTGCAAAGAAGTTCTACAATAATTATATATTTATAAAAGGACAGCGTTGTTTACATATAACAATAATAATGAAAGACTATTGTAATTGTAGGATGTTTTTAGTATTTTCTGAGTACATGAAATATTCATTAAAATTTGACAATAATAAATATTTGATTTATTGAAGTTATATTAATACCATTTTAGTCGTTCGTTCATGCGGTTTCTAATGTCCACTTGAATATTTTTGTGATTTTTTATCCTGGTCATCGTTACAGTTTCACATATCAAAGAGATTATAACGTTGAATGTGTGACAATAAGATGACGGTTTTTTTTTGGAATCTCGACGACATTTCGATAACGGGTTTCGCTTACGAAGCCCTGAGACAACAATCATTGAGATACACATAATCATCTGCATTACTGTACCATTTACAGACACATTCGTAAAGATTTTTTTTTTAAACTAAATCTACGACATCAACTATATTCAGATTATACAACAATTACTGAATATTTCTTTTGCAATTAACAATTTCGCGTAATTTGATATAATATTATACGACATGATGCTCATGTATAACAGGTAAAACGTAGATTTCGATAATGAGTCAATGTAAATTACGTACAAGTAGTAAAGTCATTGTAATAATTTCAAACAATGAACGAGTCATTCGAATAACAGCTTGCCGGTGAAATATTCATGTTCAGCTACACATTTAAACAAATGGCAGTTTTGATTTTGTGTATATAATGCTCTCTCGTATTGTAACAATTTCTTGTTTTTTTTTTATCATTCAAAAAATTCGATACTTGTCTATTTTACGAATAGTAATTTCACGATAATGCTGCGCCAATTTTTTTTCTATATTGGAACTTGAAATGTTATAAATGGTATTTTTTTCGCATAATGGTTTTTTTTTAAGATCCTTTTAAATTTTATATCAGAATATATTATAATAACTGCAATATCAATAAAAACGGTGGGTAAGTGGCAGCTTGAAATCGTGGCAAAAAGTATTTGATATTTTGTTGCATTTCAGAGCTTCGATTCCATAATTATTGAATTAGTATCTCTGAGTTTTTTCTTTTCATGCACGATCGTCTGAAACGGCTGTTTTACTTTGTAAAACTCGAGATTAACAGAATTGAACGCAGCGACAAATTTATAATATATTATATCTTTAATAAGTAATATATGCAGTCCTTTTTTTCAGATTTAGCAATATTTGTATTACTTTCTAATAATGAATAACATTGTAATAATTTTATTTTAATCGTCATGTAGTGTTAAAATTGATTTCTAATATAAAAATCGATTTGGTTTAGCGCATTTTTGAGATAACGTTACAATAATAATCATACAATAGTAACAAATCATCAAATGCCAATGACAATGACAATGACCGAGAATAACAGTACATTATATAATACTATATGTGCAATATGAAAATGACAAGTTATAATGATGATGATGATGATGATAATAATTATAACAATAATGATAATAATAAAATTATAATAATTATAATAATATATTTATATACACATGTGTACATAAATAACATACATACACAAATATATATATTTCTAATCATCTATGTAACGCATATTGAATACAACAATCACACGTATATATACACATCATATAAATAAATACGATATATATTGAAGCGACAAATTACAGAACCGTAGAAATAACCATCATCATATTTTTTATAATATTTGTTTATTCTTTACCTCAGTAATTCTCATCTTAATGATAATATTTTTTTCACTTATATTTATATACTTTATCAGTATTTATATTTATGTATATATTTATATTTGTTTTAGTCCTTTTATCTGTATCTTTCTTTAAATTAAATATTTAATTCATCGTCTTTCTCTCTTCATATCCGTACACGGATATTTTTGTTACTTTTTTTATAATTAAATTAATTATAATTATGTATATATTTATATTATTTATAATATATATTATGTAAGATGGCGAAAACTCGACTCGTCTCTTTGCTTATATTCAGTATACTTTGCTCAAGTGACCAATACTCAATTATTTATTTATTTTTTTGTTTCATCCTTAAGTTTATACTTTTTTGTTGCTTTAAACACTATAGTTTAGAGAATTTTTTTTATATATGAACGTGTAGAAAGATTTTTTTATTCTTATATCGCATAGTGACTAAAATTCGATAAAAATTCAATCTTAAAATCACTCGATACTATACTATATAAGCCTTGCCGGCTGCCGTACTGAAATATTCATTATAATTCTGTTCTATAACTTACTGCAGCGCATTTTTTTTTTATATACTTGCGTATTCATCGATTCGAAAACGACCTCTTTGTTCAATTTATCAATTTTTCCTTATGGTGCAATTGTTTTCTCTGCCGCGAAGATCTTTCATTATGATATTTATTCTAATATATTTCTGCAACTGAAAAGAGTTGCGCGTGACGGGCGCAAATCTAGTGAATTTCGTTCTCGCGTTCATTCGCCTCGTGGTATATATGCCAAAACGAGCGAGCGTAACAATCCGATGCAGCTCTTTTAATGAAAATAAATGCCATTCTCACATGAACTTATGTACACAAATGTATAGTAAACGCGAATCGCTCGTATGCGAAAGAATTAAGGACAAAACGTAGCACGACAGACCTTAAAAGTTGAAATTCGCCCCTCGGCTGATTGATGCTCTATTCTTTATGGCCAAAGATTTAGTAATGATATATTAAATTTGATAAAGTCTTAAAAAAGTTGTTTGTATTTATCTAAGCTCTTTTGGTGAAGAAAAGATTTCGAGTGCATGAAATGATGATTTGCTTTTTGTTCTCTCGTTGGATAGAGATCATATCACAAAGTATATCGTTTTACTCATTGTCAGAAAACGTTGCACGTGCGTCCAAGTTTGACGTTTCGCCTGAGAAATAGTTAATTGTCTCACAGAGATAGTACCGTGACACACGAGCGTTCGTTTATCGTTTCATCAAGAATAGAATATATAATATTTGAACTTGACGGAGTTTTTTTATTCATAGCGTATAATAAGTTTATTACAATTATGTATAAAGTCTGAATGCGAGAGATTAATTTGGAGCAGTGTTTATAGTTTTAATTAATGTAGTTAATTAAAGTTACCAACAATAAATGTATAATTAGTTGCGTTGTAAAAAAACAGTTTTACACTTCTTCCTGGCTCATTCGCGCGTGTAAAGTATTAAATTTAGATATTCGTTTTCTTTCATTTTTCAATGAGTGTCACTACAAGAGCTGATGAGAAAAATGACTTCTTTCTGTTTTTTCGTTTAAACTCAAGAGAACGCAGCACGCTCACGTTCCGCATCATTGTACTCGATAATAAAATCATCATCCGTTTAGTAGTTTCCCTTCTAATTTATCATAGATGATAAGAATAATGCTTATTATTAATATTTTCCATATCTTTATATACTTATTATATATTCAAGTGTAGTCTTTATTAACGATAATCCTAAAGATTGATAGAAAAGAAGATCATCGGTCATGTCAATCGCGTACAATACATCGTAGGTGTATAATATATAATATATATAATGTTAGAAGCTCGTAAAAGCTCGAGAAGCGCCGCATGAGAAGATATTACGTACTATATGTTATGTATAATATTTATAATACGACTCGAGACGGTTAGTAACGTTTTCGTTCTCTGATTGGTTTGGCTCAACTTTCTCTCATTGTTTTTGCGGCTCGCGTCCTCTCGCCGAGGAATGGAGAATGACCCCGCGCTTCTTGTCCTTTCATCTCTCAATTTTCACTTTGTCCATCATGCAATACATATGATAATTTCCTTTATAATTATAATAGAGGAGTGCGGAACATTTGCGAGGAACGCTCTGACGATTGGTCCGATTTGGAGTACAGTACATAAGAGTTACAATTGCAATCATTTTTTTTCTCTCTAGCATTTTTAGTCTCATCGATCATTTTTATCAGTAGTTATATCGGATTTTTTTTGCTCACCGGGCCAACAGTAGCAGACTCTCGTAACTTCTCTTGACTTGTCTACACACTTTATTATGATAATAATTTTATATTCATACATTTATATTTATCCAAGTTGAACATTTTTTCGGTTAATAATACTTTCTTTTGCGGATAGAGTTGATCGATGACTCGCGACGTAAGTTCATCGTTACACACATCAACAATTAAAATTTTTTTGGTCGTTTCATTCATTAGTCCATGGAAAGTATATAAATATTATGCTAAAATATATACGGCTAACTCTCTGCGAATTCAGATGTCCCTAAAACCCTTTTTTTTTCATGCTAAGAAATCTTGTTGTTTTTACATGCCTCCAGATTTTATGAAAATTTTCTAAAATCCTTTGTAACCTCCTTTAAAGTTCAAAAGTTTGTTTCTTCCTTCAAGTCGTGTTGTTGCTTAAAATTAATCATCTTGATAAACCCCTGAGTGACTTTGGAAAAAAATACTCGTTTCTGAGCTTTGAGCGGGAGAAAAACCTAAAAATCCAAATCCAATCAAGTTCGATCCCGACTGTTATCACCAAAAAATTAACAAATTTTCTCCATTAATAGCCTTCTATTGTTTCTTTGCTATTATAGCATTCTTTACAAGTTGTATGATTTTTTTCTCTCAATAGTATAGCACGATCATAAAGTATTAAGACATGTTTGAAGTATTTCTTTCAACGCTTTTTGTTAATTTGAGTAAAATACAAAAGTAAAATTGAAATAACATTTTCAAACATTTCTGATATGAAAAACAATATGCTTCTCAGTGCATGAAAAAATGATTTTTTTTTCCTAGGATTAGATTTCACAGAAAAGGCCACATGTATACATATGCGTATATTCATTAACGAATTCTGTCGGAAGAATTCTGGCCATTGTCGTAAAATTGTTTCTCATATATTTTTCGCTGGCATTTAAAAGCAGTCTTTGAGGATGTAATGATCAAGTATTATTTGTTGTAAATTTCGACGCTCGATCGACGTGGAAGTAAAGGTGTAAAAAGAGAGCAGAATCAACAAGATGAAAGAATGGAACGCGTCGAAACGGTAGTGTGAATCGAAGAGCTACTTGTACGATTATCGTCAGACTCGTATCGACGATCGATTGGGCAAATTGGAAAAATTGAGCGAATTGAGCGATTTGTTAGCAAAGCTGCGCAACGCGTACAAACTTTGGACGATCGTTTAAATTTTCTCGGATTCGCGCCTGAAAATGTCTTGGCTCTCAAGCTCTATACTGCCGACACATATGGTCTTTAAATAAGGAATGTCCAACGAAGTGCCTTTGGCTCGTTTAATACACAGTGCACAGTCTCAAACTCACGCACACACACGCACACACACGCGCGCGCAAGCAGATGTTACAAAGTCACGCATCGCGCTGATCACGCAGCGAATCATCCTCGTGTATCGCGCATTCGTCAACGCCTGAATCAATGTTCAATGGAAAAATGTCAAGTCGTTCGACGGCAGGGGAGTAGAAGCATCGGGAGAGGAGGTGGCGTTGGTGCTGCTACCGGCGCTGGCCATGTCGATGAGCAATCGAGCCGCTGACTCCGCTGCTAATTCGTTCCTCGGCCGTTTGACCAAATCGAGTCGCGAGCCGCCACCGTAGCGAGTTGGGTCATTTGGGTATGTTGGCTGCTGCTGCTGCTGGCGACTTGGCTGTAGAGGCCGCAGCTGCAAACTGGCACGATCGTCGTCCAGGTGATGGCCGGATCGCTTCGTGCCTTACTTGTTCTGGGCAAAGGGCGACGGACCCGTCACGGCGCTCCTGTGGAAGTGCACGTTCTGCCACTTGTTGTCTTTCTTGTGCCATATGCGACTTTCCTCGCTTTGCTGGGTGTGCGCCACACCTTGTCTGTGAGATCAACACGCCAACACATTTTAGTCGCTTTAATTGGCCCTTTTATTCGGGTAATGATAATTGATTGCAATTGCGTCGTCGGCCGATTATTAAATCAGTGCCGTCTGGCGCTTCGGAAAAGCTCGCGATTTAACGAGTATACATTTTTCATACGTACTTGTCCATGTACTGGGTTAATCTGACGTATGCGATGCATGCCGCGTCGTCGCCGAGTAGATGTACGTGCGGATTCAGGATCGTTGTGTTGACGGCTTTGCAATTCTTTCCCAGCACTGCGCAATTCAACCAATTTTTTTACAAATACTTTTTCTTTGGTGCAATCGATCGACTATGTAATTTTGAAGCATTCGAAAATATCGTCAAAGTACTTTTTCTAAAATATACCATTATTTTTATATTGTGCAATATTGTGCGAACGATAGAAGATTTGGTTAAAAAGAGAAAGAAAATTATCCTCGGCAATTGGAGTTGTAAAAAGCGTGAATTGATCGAGATAATTGCTGAAAACGCGTGCGTTTCTTTGACGAGTGAGCTCGGCGAGCTTTTTTTTACTTATCCACGCGGAGCTTCTTGACATTTGCCGCTGACAATCATCGATACATGCGTATACTCAAAAGCTCGCCGAGACCGACACATGTCCCGAATACGTGCCTACTCGAATGAATGAGATATTTGAAAAGAAGCACTTGAACAATAATTACGTTGCTGCAAATTTACTTTCATTGCGTGCCCAAAGCAAATAACATATAATTACCATTATCAAAGTAAAATTTGTGAAACTCCATTCCTTCGACTAAATTACCTAGAGCTTCAGGCTCGAAAGCGGTCAGATGAGGATCGCAGATCTTTCTGAAATGTCAAATGTTAAAAATTAATGTGCTTTATTAGGTATGAAAAGAGACTCGGATAAAGTTTCGAGCGACTTACGTGTAAGCCTCGAAATCGCCCGTGTTGATGCTCTCGATAAGCTGCTCGGTCATCTTGATGATTTCCTGGCGTCTTGCTGCAAATTGCCAATAGTTTGTGAAAAAAATCTGTCAGTATCGCTCATGTTCGTTAAACGACCTCTCGTTATCGGAATCTTCCCGAAACAACAATTACAGCACAACAGCCACATGCACTTTTATAAATATCAATCATCATTAATACGGTAATTCTTGTCATTTAAATATACGTTTGTATAGTTTTTAATAATAATCTGTCAATTTCTTTTCGAAACTGTTTTTCTCGCGGACAAGAACGTACAACAATCCGTTCTCTGTCCATAATACGCTAAACCAAGTATAGCTCAAAAAAGATTATTATTAATTGTCTGTCTACGCTTCTATGAAATACTATCTAAGTTTATTTTGGTGCTACTATAGTTGGTGTTTTCGTTGATGCTTTTTAGAACATGACCATTTTGAGGGCAATTTATCATAATCAACGGATCGTGGACGGATGTGATTCTGTGACTACTAGTATAGAGTGAACTTGCCGAGTAAATTCTATTTCACCTGTTCTAGTATATGCTTTTTTTTGCTGTTTACACATCATTTTGAATCATACCTTGATACTTTTTTAATGGGCTTCAGTTTTTATCGATTTGTCCACGACCGATCGTCGATTATCGAGTCTAATTTTGTGTATCGTGCCCATTGTACTATCTACTCTTGAAAAAAATATTTACAATTTGCAGTATTGAAAAAGTTATTTAATCGATTACGAAATTATTATTGACCACCACTGTGTCTACCTTTGACCGACACAATCGATAGCGAGCTTTTTTCATGCTATTCAAAATTTCACGCTATCGTGAACTCGACACTTCAAAGTGTATCTGCAGTTAGGCAACAGTAACTGGATAATTAAATACTTCAAGTCAAAAAAACCATCTAGAAGAAAAGAAAAGAATCATAGCTATCTAATAACATTTCAATTGAAAATAATAAATAAAAAAATCTAAAGTAATTAATTAAGATGATATTGATACAAGAATTAATTAATTCATATACTTTTTTTATCAATCAACTTTATTTAGAAATCATCAAAATTATTTCAAGTATACTATCGAATGCTATCAGGTTTTTCTTTGTTTCGTATAAGCCAAGTTGGAAGCAGCATCTATGTTAATTAAATTTTCGTTTCTATTGTATCTATTCTTTTTCCTTAAAGCAACTTACACCGAGATATAAAGTTAATGTCAACAAATTCACTACAACGTTTATGTCTCTATGGTTTACATAATGAAAAAAAGCACAAAATTATAATAAACTCGTATAGCTGTAATTATCAAGCTGAAGTGTATGCAGTGCGAACCTATTTTGTTTACAAATGTACAAGTCTGACAATATGAAATAATAGTAAACAACGGTGGGATCAGGGTGTCTTTATACATATTTATACGCTTCAAACGTTCATAATCGTGTTGATAATTAATTACCAAACAGTTACAAATCCATACAGCAAAAACGTATAAAAAATAAAAAAAGTTAAAGAGCTAAATCTACGATTGTCACAATATTACCTGAACTCTGAGAGTTGGTTGATAGCTGCTTGCAGGTCTTGACCGGACAGACGATTCGTATTTCTATTACAAGTAACAGTATCGTCATGTGTGTGTATTTTTGTTGTTGTTGTAAAAAAATTGCAGACACGCGCCTTTCACTCGTCTGATGACGGACAAGTACGTAAGCACGAGTCGTGCTTTTCATATGTATGCGCGCAGGGAATGGACTATAAGTGTATCGCTTTAATTAATTTGTTGGAAAACATCGATGGTCGTAGAAGGTCGCAGCGATGCGCGCGTTTTTCGCATTAGATGCGACGAGACTCGAAATAATTTCAAACTTTTCTAATTTCACTCCAAACAGATTACTACTGCTCGTTTGGCAATTCATCGGCTTGCGAGCGTATCCTGTAGCATTGCGAAATTTTCGTGTACCGTACACATGCTTTCTTCGAAATTTTTTTCAAAACTTCATCAGCCAGAATTTAAAATAAATAAAAATAAAATCACCATTGTCCAGTATATATTACACTATTGCAGGTGTAAATCGTGCCTGAATAATTACATATAGCCCCGGCTTACTTCTCAACTATTTATTTCTCCGAGACATTTATTTTATGCACAATAGTCTCTCCGATGTATAATACAGCGATGAGCTGCGATACGCACAACTACGTCACTAAATTATTCAGCGATCGCTGATTTCCCTGAAGAGGATCGAATTTTATTATGTGCATCATTCGTTTACCTTTTTGTACTATTCATAAATATTCATTATCCTCAAGACTGAATGTTAAAAATACATACCCAGATGCATTTTTAGTGGCTACACCTTTCTGCTTTCTTGTTAATATTTTCCTCATTCCGGCTTTCACGCAAATGTAAAAAATAAAAATAAAAAATGCAAAAAAGTTATCAGTTCAAAAGAATGAAATAAAAAAAAATCATATCTTAGATAATTGATTGAAACACACTTCTCGAGTAAAACCAGTCAGCAAAAATAACATGCCACGCGATGTAACAAAACAGGCACGCCTAATCACTTTTTAAGATAAAAAATTAAATATGCGCACATGTATTTGGAAATAATTTATTTTCCTGTTTCAAACTCAACAACCAACAAGTTTTTAACTGGTTAAATAAAAAAAGCGCGTATAAATGTTGTAAACATTTTTTGTCTAGATAAATTTATTCATTTGTTGTTGCAAACGCACATAACATTGTAGTATATACATGATTGCTTAAACATACACATCGAAAATGTCGTTTTATACTGTCGACACAGTACACACGTACATCATATTTTAACTTTATTTTTACGAAATCAATTTCGTTTCAAGTACTCGAATATATTTTAGAAAATTACAACTTGGCACACTGATATCATCGTTCATTTATAAGAGTACTATGTATAGTTGAATATAGGATTTAATTAAGAAATGTCAAGGCGTAATAAGTATTAAATTAAATTAAATTAAATAAATACATTTTCGGATGAAAAAAAATTTAACGACAAGACTTTAAAAGCTTTTTTATTGTGATTGGTTATAATTTTTATTTTATTTCATTTTGATGTTTTTATTAATCACATATTTTTGGTTAAAATTTCATAGTTTCATGAAAGGGTAATTGTATTAACTTTCAGCCGATGCCAAGACGATTATTAGAGCCGTAGCATACAATTATTAGATTATATACATGTAAACGATATTTAATGAGTAGAAAGCTGTTGTGAACGCGTGGTTCTTATCTATGTACAAATAATTTTATTATATTTCCGTTTGAATAATAGGTTGAAAAATTGTTGTAACAAATTATTTACATAAAAAGATTGCACTACTTTTATACGTATTTTCGTAGAGTCTGTCTGTAATTGTTATATATTTTATTCGTTAATCAGCGAGAATGCTAATTCATTGTAAAGTGGTTTTGATTTTACAATGCATCAGCATGTTGCGATGCGTATTTTAAAAAACGTTTTTTAACCTGAGACGTATTTTGAAGTGAGACTTTGTATGCGTGCACGTCGCGGGGGAGATGTGGAGGAAATTTTTCCCTAGCACTAAAAAATTCACAGTTTGGATTAGTTTAATTGGTGAAAAAATTCACTCTCACTTGGACGTTCTCTATTATAAAAATGTAACAGCAACGACATGTTGCAAGTTCAACGAGTGCAAGAAAAAAAGTACGCCTCCTCGTGGCTAAAGGTTTAGCATACGCAGGAGGACTGAACCGTCAATCGGTCTTTGTTTTTATATAAATCGTGTACGATAAAATTTGTGCCTATTAATATTTCGTAACTGCGCGAACCTCCACATTTCCTCGTTTGCGTAAAAAGTACTCGAAGAACAGTAACAATTTCTTGGAATAGTAATTAAGGTAAAAAAGTTGAATTGTCGATTTTGAGTGTGCAGGACAACGTATCGCACGAACTGGACGGTGTTAATTATTGTTGGTCGAGCCGCGAGTGTCAGTTTATCGGTTTAGATTGGGTATTCAAAGGGTTGAGTTTAAAATTGAAATTGAATAAAGATATAGAGAGCGAGAGAGAAAGACAGATAGTGGGGAAGGAAGGAAGTGACTTCAGGAAACGCTACACCGACAACAGCGAGCGTCCTCGTGGCCCGAGGCTGACCGGCCGCTTTTCATCGATTTTTTTACCTTCTTACTAGAGGGCGCGGAGTTTGCGGCGCCGACGCTCTTCTTACCTTCGTCAGGATCGTAGCCCAATTGCCTGTAGCCGCCAGCCTGTTGTCGCGGTCCTTCGGCCTCTGGATATATTTATAACGTCAAAAATACATACATCGATGCAGTTTTGCGCCAGTCGTGCAGGCAACGCACACAAATATACAAGGTTTAATGCACAAGTCGCAGCGGTCGGCGGAGCGTTCGTCAATTGTCGTGCAGGCACATTGTTGTTGTTGTTGTTGTAGTGTTGTTTTTAGTGCAGGCGAGCAAGGTTGGCAACATTGGCAGTAAGATGCAACATGCAAGCGCATAATAAGTAACGAGTCAAAAAAACATGCCAATAACTTTTTATATAGATCTAACATAATCATCATGTTTAGCAATGCCGTCTTTGCACGAGTCAGCGGATAAAAGTTAGCAACGATTCTTCCTGACTGGCATAATAAAATTAATGAAATAGTACCATCTCGTGCAGAGACTCAGCAATGTAGACAATTAATGTTCGCAGCTCAAAACTTGCTCATCTCTCGAAACGTATAGCATCAATAATGTTTAAGAATCGTCAAAGTATATTTTATTTCGATGCGATAAGCAAGGTCCGAGTCGTCCACACATGTCCGTCTGAAAAAAAGCCCCAAAAAATCCATACTTCACACGGCACATAATACGATAGTAACAAGTACACCGACACCATGTAGTACACACAAATATCCATCTATATACATTTTATAAGATATATAAATACAGTTTTATATTTGTGTAAATTTATTGAAATTTGTGTAACACTTGAATCACGCTGGCTAAAGCACAATGTATATAATTTGTATTAGGTTGTTTAGAAAGTGCACTGAATCTTTTCAAACCATGCGATATACTTTTTAATTGAAATTTTCAGAGTAGCTGATTAGTAAAATATGTTGTTAACTGCAATGTATGTTATACACGTGTTGGAACATATTTACAATTGTGTGTTACCATGCAACCTAAATATTTCTATGTCGGTAGACTATTTCGATTAATGCGACGCGAAATAATTAAAAAATGAAAAAAAAACATGTATATATATTATTTATATATTATTTATATATCGGCAAATTATACCTTTAAGATCGTACACGTCAATACAATTAAATATCTCTATACGCTAACAATAATACAATAGGCTGGATGGTCACAATAAGGCAAAAAAAATCGTGTGCTCGAGTACTGCAGTCTGCCTGTCTATGAATGCGTGTTTTTTTTTTCTTGTGTGTATAAACTGTGTTGAAAAACAAAAAGTTTAAGACGATTACTACAGACCAGTGCTGGCTGAGCTCTGTCGTCTGGGAGTTTCTAGTAGATCGTTCCTAGTCGTGAAGACCGTGCAGGTTGGGGGTGGTGAAAAGCCACCAGTCTGGCTATTTTGGCTGTTACTACTGCTGCTGGAGCTGCTACCACTTCCTATATCACATTCCCACATGCAAATCAAGTAACTGTCGTACTATGTCTCGTTCGTTTAGTTATCTTTTATTTTACTTCTCTCAACTATCAACTATTTATCTTGCTTCGTTTTTCAACCCCCTCCCTAAGGTTACGTACTAAATCTGTCTCGTTCTGCGAGTCCCTGACCACCACCGGCCCTCCCTCCGCAATTTTTATCCAAATTTTCTATACTTTCAGCAATGCATTTTACTCGTTGAACAATTTCAAAATTAAATTTCTGCGATGAATGGACATGTTTTTAATGTAACATGCGTGCCTACTCCCGGAAACCGAGCGTAAATGAGAAATTTTATGATTCACTGTTATGGTCGTAAATGAAACTCTTTTGCTTGATCTTGATTGTGTACGGGAGTACTCGTGTAGGTGTCTGTGTAGAAAACGAATAATAGCATTTTTACTACTTTACTGCAAGGTAAATTTCAACACATCTTCAATAATTGTATAGCAATTGGGTATAATCAATAATACAATCAATATTATGAGTTGAAGGTATTTAATTATTATTTTAAAGCGAGTAAAGCTATTGAAAAATGTGTAACCAGCTCAGATATTCTTGCAAATCTACACAAGATATTTGTAATAAAGTTTATAAAAAAAAAAAAATTAATTTGCCATGCTATTAAGCGAAAAAAAAAGATATTTGCACACTGCTTACCGATTATACAGATGATCCTTAACGGACGCTCGGTGACTTATCTTGCTTACTCTGACTAAACTAAGACTACTTTTGATGTTTTGCATTATAAGATCATGTGTCAGCACTGAGATAATTGGTATAATTTTTTCATGAATGGGAGATGAATTTGTAGGGCCTTTTGTCGACGCTCGACGCTCTTGTGCATTTTTTGATTGGCCGAAGCTTATACAGACCGTGAAAAAAGGAGGCCAGCAAAGATCAGACTCGAGTTTGTCGCAATTAGTAGCGGTGACATATATGGTCGCAAGTCAGAAAACCAGGAACACGTTTAAGTAATAAGACTCGTTAAGAGGTTTGGGCTTGGCACGCAATAGCAAATCGATGCAGCGGAGGAGAGAATGAAGAGTGGCGCTCGGGTCAGTCGCTCGAGTGTGTAAAAAAGCGATTAGTTCGGAAGGAAGCCTTTGTTCATTATTGTTCGTTGGATGGAGGTTAATTACCTTGAGCACCCTGCAAGAGGACCGCGGCAATACCTAGAGGACTACCGGGCGTTTGTTTCTGCGCCTGTGCGGCTCCTATGGCCCTCGAAAAGACGGAAGCTGTAGAAGCGGGACTACTAGGCGGCGTTCCTTGTGACCCGTACGCTGAACCGACATCAAGTTTATTTCATCATTATTATTTCGTTATTAGTTTTTGATAATTGGATTTGCAGGCAAAGTCGCTGACTCGTACTGTTGCTGACACGTACGACAGCAGCAGCGGCGATAAGCGCTGGTTAGTAGTCAAACACACGAGTTAGAGAGGGGCACATAGCGCGCGGCTTTTTTTTCATATACAATAAATTGTCTCGAATTCAACTCACACGCGCTATCTTTACTTTTGGTCACCAGCTGCAGTATCGACGACGCCATGAGAGGTATATCCGATACGAAGCGCGCCGTGTGGCTAAACTCGCACGACGCCAGCGAGAACTGGCCAGAGCTTTTTTCCGCGCCGACGAGAACTAGATAGCGAGAAGCGAGTATTATATTGGCTAGAGGCCCGCACGGATCCCCGCATTATGTATGCTGGCCTAGAGAGCTATTTACGCCGCGCGATTTCCGAAAATATCACCGAAATTCTCTATGCTTACAATGCGCTGGCGGTTACATTATACGAGGCGTCGTCGAGCGCCGTGATAATGCGCCAATTCGTAAACGTATACGATTCAAGGAGCATCAATGGCTTATGCAACGCACGAGCGAAGCTTTCGCGCAGCAGCAGCGATGATCGCGCGATCGATGGAGTAACAACGACATTTCTACTCGAAGCTTTTGATTAGTGATGCTTGATGAAAAGCTCTTCTGCGCATGTACATGTATATTAATAAGGATTAGGCACGATTCACACCTTTTGCGTTTGTGGCACACGCACGAGTTGTGTAAAAAATTGTTACAACGAGCTGGCAGCAGCAGTTTTTTGGTCAATGATCGGATGCAACTAAGACAATGGCGATCAGGCAACAAAGGAAGGCTCGCTGTTTATTAGTATAGCGACAAAACGTTACAATAAGTTTGTTAGTGAAAAAAACATGTAGGTTAGCTCATCGATTCGTTACTCGACATGAAAGGTTCAACCGAGAAGCGCTAATTAATCACCGTCATCGCGTGTGTCTCATTCCTTACTACTATCTTCTTCTTAACAATTCAACAGTCCAACAGAGAGAGGTAGCAAAATTTTTCCCGTATACAAATGCTTTCGAAATGGCATTTTTATCAACGTGCGTGAGTTATTTTCTTGTTACTAGCGTGCTTCTGTTTGGCCGTCACCAGAGTATGAATAATCAGGCACACGATTAGAAACAACAGGACAAACACAACATCGAGTGTTCTGCTGACTGAGTTGAGTAAATTACCTTCGGGATCTTTGGCAATGACCGTGCTGCTCCGATCGACACCGCCTTTCTTATCCTCTGTACAACATATACACATACACATTTCATACATTTACTCGTCCTTTGATAATGGTTTCTATTATTATTATCGTTCTTATTATTATTATTATCATCATTTTTATCATTATTCGCTCATTTTCATTTAATTATTTTTTGCTGGCTTTAAACAACATTTAATTAGTTAACAATTTTAATCAACGCATACATTAACAATATTACTGAAACATTGCGCCAACACATTAATCAGATTTTATACAGTACTTTTATTAAATGCTGCCAAAAGTTATCAATAATACTCATATAATTAGACACTTACAACGGTGATTTATTTTTTTGACCAAATTTTCTAATTAATCATAGCCGATACTAGAAATTCTTTACTCAAGCTCATCATTTTGACTCCGAAATTTGTTTTATATACTCAGCTGACATGGTAATTATACACCATCTTCAAATTATTCACAAAATAATTTAAATTTCATCAATAATAATTTGCAGAATGAACTTTATGAAAAATTTGGCATTTCAAGCAAGTTACAAATATCTTTCAAAAAAAGAAAAATTTCAATATTAAATCCGCGCGTTTGAATAATTTTCGTCAATAAACTCCTCGGATATAACTCGTATACTCGTCCGGTTCGACATTTTTTTACAAGAATAGTTCACTAATCAATTTACGTTTTAGGGAAGAAAATTTATTGCAAGATGTTAGAAATAAGTAGAAACCCGACTGTAAGACGAACATCATGCATGAGAAGTTATATGTAAAAAAGTTGAAAAGTATATATTTTAATGACTGGTTGAAGTGAATTAAAAAGTAAGTTGCATTTAAAAATCATCGAGAGTCATAAATAATGGCATATTTATTGTAGAAAGCTTCAATTAAAATATTAAAATGCAAAAGCAAAGTGAAACAGGGTGCAAGCAAAGGAATGGGGCTTCAGTTTGAGATCTGTAGCAGAGAATGGACATAACAACATATCATGTGGATGTATTAGACAGTATACGTAATTTTGGTGTTCATAAATCCATAACACCAGATTACACTTGAACTATAACGAATAACTAAGTTATTTTTGTCATTTGGTGCATTTCAGAAAATAAAACTAACAAATACAGAAAAATAACTAATTTTTACAAGTTTACCGGAGCACTCAAAGCATCGATGCTAGGCACAGTTGGTGAAACTTTGAGACCTAATTCATTCTCAACAAACATGTTTGTCTCATTAGTGTAAACCGAAAGTGGCGTGTGTAAATGCTGTTATGTATTATTTATATTCGATTAAAATTGATTCTACTTTAACAAGCGCATCAGTGATCGGAAATGATGTTCAAAAAAATTTGTGAAGGTAAAAAAATTAATCGGTTAAGTAAACAATTTTAGATCAAATTTTTTCAAAAAAAGTAACAACAATTTGAATTCATGTTATGTTGTATTTGTGTCCGGTGTTCGTATGTGTATTCACACACTTAAACTACTTTTACTATATACAGTCCCTAATGGACTCGACACAAAATCTATGTGTAGTAAAGCGATACATTTCATGTGTATACATTTATTATAAATCTAAAACAGTTAAATAACGATTTTAAGTTTTGGATTCATAGAATCGAGTATTCGATATTACCGAATAATGTTGACCTACGCTTCAACTTTGCTTAAAGCCAGAAATTATTGTGAATACAGTTGTGTTTCCTGTTGGATTTTAAAATGTGAAATTTCATTTAGAATATGCATGCGCTTTCTTATTCGTTTTTTAATTTTTAGGGTAGATAATAAAAGTGAATGCTAATATAAATATAAGTCCTTCATAAAGTAAAAAAAAGAGTGAGAAAAGTTGATCCGTGGTGATATAAAAAAGTTTAGTAAGGTGCTATAAGTATTAAAAAAGAGATAAGAAAACATTTATTTTTTATCGAAATTGACCCGAACGTAAAATTTTAAAAATTGTAATTTATTCAGTCATTTAAAAAGTTTATGGAAAAAAAACTATTGCTAAAGTTTACATCGAACAAAATGAACGTTGGTGCATGAAAAAAGGATTATAGACTGTATTAATTATTAAAATAGAATATTATTATAGAGTTACATCGAATTCATAGAGAAAATTTCCTGAATTATCCTTTTTTCAAGCATTAGTTTGACCGATTAAACTGTAAGCATATTTTTTTCACTTATTAAACTGATCTTTTTGCTGACCTTAGATCACGATATCTGCTGATTTAGAGGTGAAACCTATAGTCATGTTCTGATAGTCGCGTAAATTTTCGTTGAAATATTGCTTGGAGATATATTTCACAACTGAACAAACTTATCCTCTTTTATGTTATCATTGATAGAGCGAGGGTAATTTCAACATTCTATTCTAATCTAAAAGTGTAACTTTGATCAGATTTTAATTTGGTAGTAAAGAGTGGTGGTCAGTGTCCATAATTACATCAACCAGCGCATCGCTATTTAAAGTATTGCGCATTCAAAATCAGTGAAAACAAAAACTCATGAACTTTGTATATACTGAAAAATCAAATGTATGAAATCCGCTGCTACTTCAAATGTAATTAATATACATGATCAGTAGTTTATTTCATTGATCTTCTATATGCATGATTTCGTGCAATGCTATGGATTAATAGTATACACGTTTAGAGAATAAATATTTATTATAAATATATCAATATTTTTATTGCAAAAAGTTCAATTTAAAACTTTTAGGTGTTATGGATTTGTGAGCATCAATACTACAATAATTTTACTTTACCATGTAATAAGTGGAAAGAAATTCGATAATACAAGGTAACTCGCTTTGCGTAATCATATGTATTTCCTTTAATTAATTACTTTTCACATTACGTCATTCATTCTACACCGTTTGTTTGTTTTCTTTTCACTGTTCAAGTTAATACGTTTTATTGTTTGTGCGTGTAAAAGATTGAGAGCGAAAGTCGGGGGCAACAAGCGATGTGTCAAATGGGTAAGCACGACTACGAAAAAATATTGTAAAAATGATAAGTGATAGAGGAGATGAAGAAAGAAAATCAATTTCGAGCATTTTGTACTTGATGGACTGAACGATTATTATGTACACAAGAATCATAGATAGTTTACTTGTAGGTACGAGTCGAAACATGTGCAATAGCGAACAACACGTGGCTTAGGCACGCATCGATGAGTCTAAGAAGACGCTTGAAAAAGTCAAGGAGCGAAATATATATACAAAAATATACTTAATAGGGATTATATACCGCGGAAGAAAAAGAAGAAGAATGTCAATTGTTGAAGCAATGTTTCGGGATTGCGAAAGCTCGGATGCAAGTAAAGTTGATTGAAAGAGCTCGACGAGCAACGCATGGCGATACGTTACTTTTCGCGTGACTTTTGCACTCATTTAATACAGAGCTAATGAAGCACGTGACTTACGGGCCGTACTTATGCAACTGCGACAAGTGTCGGGAGAGTCGACCAAATAATCTGCTCCTGTGCAAAGCGATGCACGCGACATCATTACTATAAACAAGAAATTGAGTCGGACGATCCTAGCTCGTGCATCGGTTCGAATTTTGCTCTGCGCCCTTCGCACTGTTATGCTATCCACTCGATAACGAAAAGCTCGACTTGCAGCTTAGCCCGTGCATTTTTCCAGTCCTTCGCTCAATGATGCTAACAGCACAGATATGTTCTATTCATACGATGCAATTTTAAGTGCTGCTTATCGTGTACATTATCGTATACTTATTTTATCATTTCTCCTTTTGTGATTCTGCTTTTCCTAATTAGTACGGAATCAATCGAATCGATTGGCTTCGTTGAGAAAAGTCCACCATGGCTACTTGTCGCGTACGTTCGAGTACAAACGACACGTCGACACGTTCGGGTGCATTTGCATGTTAAAAGAGGCCAGTGCATGTACATGCGCCATTTACATGCGCTTATCAAAGGACACGTGTAAATTATTTTGCGACCAAGATTTAGGAGAGCTGGTGTTCATTTTCAAGGCTCGCGTGTATGTGCGCGTAAGTGTGTGTGTGTGTGCCAACGTAAAATCCAGAGACAGAAATAAATAGACAGACAGGTAGAGAGTTGTGACTCAACGATGATCGATTTGTTTTGAGTTTTTTTTTCGAGCCGCCATAAGCAGTTGACTGAATCGAACAAAAGGTCCGTGATTTTAGAATATGCGTCTTCAGTCTTAGAAAGAGAACAAGGATGTAATAGTAGCTAAATTATGCACGTATGACAATATGACTCGGCCGATTGTGAGTGAAAATTAGTAAAGACAGTATGGGACGTATTAGTAGTAGTAAGTAGGTAGAGTATATAGTAGTAGTCACAGATGAATTGATTAGAACTTATTAACTGAATGAAGCGAATGATAAGGCGATTTCGATTCAATTTTATTTTCTCATGGTATACAAGTGACGAATTTCATCTCAAATAATGTTTATACCATTTTTAAAATTTTCTCCAAATGAAAATTTAAAATACTGTTTTTCGACGGCACCAAATAGACCTAAAAATCCTAATTTTTACTTTTATTAATTTTTGTAATTTCATTACCTATGCTTTATACCAATAATTTCATAGTTTGTTTTTGTTTTTTTTTCTTTACAAAATGAATATATATTTCACGAATATTATAACACTGAAGCAAGAAAATAATGTTTTCAATGTAATCCTACCTTTAATATCATCATCCTCCAGCGTTGTGCTGCTATCTGTTGATTCCTTCACCTGGGAACCATCGCCCTTCTTGGCGTTGCTTTTTCCACCTAGAGTATATGCAAAAATATTTCACATCAGTAAAATAGAGTAGTGAAATCATTTTGAAATCAAGCCCTTTTTTGTGTACAATGGGCTATGTATATAATCTTGGTATCAAAATGTACAAAAATTCTCGAGACCATTTACTGTGAAGAATCAGAGCACACGATCGATAAAAATATTTCTGAAAATATTTATTGAATTGTGATGCAAAAGGACTGAATCGTGTTTGGCTCGATTTGACCTACTCTCTATAATTCAATGTATAGATCATTACCCTTAAAATTTAGAAATAAGACAGTTGAAAAAGTATCAGAAGCAATTAATTTATTATCTTCACTATCTTATTATTCCCATTTATACTTTATAATTATCTAATAAAATATTTGCTTCAATAATGATTTGAAAAAACTATCAATTGTGATCAAGTTTATTTTAGACAGAATATAAATCCAAAAATTATTAATGTAGAAAAGTTGTAATTTAATAAGAATATGCAATTCCCATTTTTTATTAAAGAAAAAAGATTTTAAAGTAAAAAAAATAGAAAATGATAAAAATAAAATACAAAAAATAAAAATAGAATGTAGGAAAAATTGCGGAACTTTGTATGAAAGTGGATGAATGTGAAAAATTATCGTACATATAGCTTGAGTGTGCAAAAATACATGCTCACCAGATATTTACAATTGCATTTTTACATTCTAATAAATAGGCAGATGGTATTGCCGTGCAAACGTGCAGAGTGATAACGCATTAATCCAAAAAAAACTTTACAACAAATACTAAATAAGCAATTTGGACCATTAAAATCAGTATCATTTCAAGTACTTATTCATCCGTCAATAGAATTTTATTTGTCGAAAAAACACCATAAAATTGAAACGATATTGAAAACTATAAATTATATAAAGAGCTGTGAAGATTTTCCATCGTGATTTATATCATAATCCTTCACAGTGCTTTAAAAAAATTGAAGAGAGTTTATTATTACTCCAGAAAGGATTTATCAGTGCAGTACACGTTTTTCTTTTAACCTTGGCAACCAAAAAAAATTGTATTCAAGGCAAAGTAAAATTTCTGGCAAATCCTTCTTGGCGTTTTAATGAGTCAGCAAAATGTAAATTAAACACTAGTTATTTGTACGATGAAAATTATTAAATGAATTTCAAATCACGGTGCTTACCACTTTTCGGATCTTCGGATCACAGCGTTTATCACAACGTGCAAATTATTGAATTGATTGGTTACGTGCGTTGTTAGAGGGATGACACGGAGGAAACAAACGTATTTTTAGTAACACTTCATTTTTAAATTATGATGATAGTACTAATGTTCAAAATTTTCAAATTAAAAATCAAATTTCATTACAAATTTTGGACTTTATTTAAAGGTATAAAATAAGTACAATGTCAGGAACTGTATGTTGGTTTTAAAATGCCTCTAATACAGTAGCAGTCATTATTTTCGACGACTTTTTCGTTCATGGTGAGCTGATTTTATTTTTTTTTATTGTCACGAATGCGGAATGCTTCTTACTTACAACGCTCCACAGATATACTTAAATACTGTACATTGAATTTGAATTAATATCAGTAAAACTATGTACACAGAAAGATCAAATAATGTAACAATACACTTTTTCAATTACGTCTACTCTATTGTTTGTTTACATGTATGCAAAACTACTTTTAAAAAAGTAAATTGACAAACTAGCATAATATTTGTAAATCAACTGACAGCTTTCAGCATGGAAAATGCAGTTTGGTCAAATTATTGTTAGTTGATACGATTGCTGTTGCAACATGACAAATTTTTTATAATATAACAATATAATATGATAAAATGTTCACATGTTTCTAGCTTGCTATGCAATTGGCAAAATATTAATTTTCGTGAGAAAATTATATTTTTGCCTTTAGCGAATAAAAATTCATCGCACATGTAAAATATATAAGGATAATATCAGCATAGAATCATTTGGATCTAAATGTAAGTAAATCATTAAAATTAAAATTGTTCGCAATAATGAAAATTTCAATAAATGAAGATTGGGATTGAATATTATGATTAATTTTCAAAGGCTATTTCTTAATGAAGAATTTCTCGTGCTTTAAATTTACTTAAAAGCTTATCCGTAAATTTAAAATGTCAATTTTTCCCCATGTTTTACGAAAGTTTGTCTGTGATAGAAACTTTAAATTAGTCAAGAATTTTTTTCTTAAAAATTTCGTTTGATCGAAATCAAACTTGTGTTGAGTGTGTTGTTATAACATCTGTGTGCGTTTTTTTCTGTTTCAGAAATCAGAATGATAAGTTATTTCGTTTGCATTCAATCTTTTTTTTCTGACTCTGATTCTGTTTTTGCTTCAGATGTATTTGTATCGTTTTCATCTATTTTTTTCGCTTGTTTCTCTGTAATGTTGAAGATATAAATTTATGAATATATATTTTTTCAGAGTAATTATACTTGAAAAAAATTGTGTGTTGAATAAAAAAAAATCATCCATATTTATAAAAATATATAAAAAGCTCAAATTTTAAGCATCTTGTACCTCCAGCCCGCGCTTTTGCCGACATGATTAAATACTTTTTAAAGGAAACATATTTTTTAGTAAAAAAAATTAAGGAATGTTAGTAGATATAAAATTTGAAACTTCATGTTAAATGTTGTTTGAAGTCACCAACTGTACGATTAGCTATATGAAAAAAAAACAGTATATAGAAGTTAAAAACATAAAAGCCGTCTATATTCGTACAACGACATGAACAAAATACAGCAATGATAAGTAATATTTCAGATTTTTCATTGCAGAAATATTATTTTTTTAAAGAGAAAAATTTAATAATCTATATTAAATCTTCTGATGTAAATATTTATAAACCAGATAAATATATGTAGATAAATGATTATGATGTTCTGAGTCCATATGTATGCAACGATAAATTCAAGATGGTACAAGACATTTGTTTGAAGTATGTACTATTTTGATAGAATCATGGTGTAACAAACTTCATCTCGGCGGGTATTATTTTTTAGCCAAATGCTATGTATGTGTAGCCGCAAATGTCTAGGTGCATGAAGTTGTATGCATGTTATCCTATTAGACATTTTTAATAACCGTATGCCTTGGTTACGTAAGTTGAACAAATGCTGATGCAAATTCTGCATATTTTCTATACGTGCTAGTTGTCTATACGAAAGCTATGTAGTCTATACATATGTATCATAATTTTTTTTCAACTTTTGCGTGTTTTTGTTACTAAATTTGTATACTTTTTTTAAAGAAACGGAGAGTACCGATCATAAATCATTTTAAGACTCGAATGAAAAGTCAGGATACTTTGAATATACTCTTGATAAAGCTAACTCTTGTGAATTTATAAATGAAAGTACGCATTTATCGATCAGTTGTAAAAAATAGCAAAGATTGTACGGTAGCACTAAGCTATGGAACAGTGTTAAGTACGCGAAACTTTACACGTTCATCAATTTACTAAATTTTTGAACAGAAGTCATGAGTTTATCATGAACGTGTCGAGGTGTATGTAAAACAAAACACATGATAAAAGATATATATGTAGCTTATTATAAGTTCTAATGAGGCTGTAGGATGCACACGTGCACATGATGCAATTATAATGTACTGTTAAAGACCTATCGATGTATCAGGTTTGTTTACATCAAATGCAATGCATTGAAACGTGATGGTTAATTATTTTTTCTTTAATCTGCAGCACATAACTACTTTGCTAATGAAAGGGATTCATTTCTCTAGGGGTATACATTATACGTTTGGCATTCAACTACGAAAAATCGATCGTCGCTATTGTGCGTAAGTGTATTGTGTACGTGTTTATTTAAATGTATATATACGATCGTCTACGCTCTTGAAAGTAATTGCATCACGAGTTTATATGTGCATTAGCATTTTAATATATAGATAGAAAAATAGATGTCAGTCGCGCAAACGTTTGCCATTCGAGACTGATTATTATTCGAAAAATAAAGTCGCGGCTAATTAAACGCATGAATCGAGCGAGCTTATGTAAGGCAAGTGAAAAAAGCTGGCCGCTATCGTGGCGTGCACATATATTACCGGTGCTTCTCATGGCTAAGCCAAGGAGGAGACGCTGCTGCCACGTCAACGAAAGAAAAACTAAGGCACACGAGCGGTATCTCGAAGGTGACCTGAAAAACTACCGACCGACTCGATAATCGTGCGTGCGCGGCAGAACAGACGCACGAATAATACCGCCTTTGCGATTAGTGCATAAATATTGATTAGCCACAGACCGGCCGAATCGAGCAACGTCACAGCTGTTTTGGATCCTTGAACAACGAACGATCGTTTATTAATTCTTGAAGAAAAAAAGCTGATCGATAATTTCAACTTACCATACACGGCCAATTTAACGACGTTAAGCGGCAAATCGCGGAACCGATCCGAGACCGATTTTTTTCTCGATACCGATACTACACGTGCTAATTTCAGTGCCATTGGTTTTATTTACATGAAAATCTATTTCTATTCTGTCTACGCTTCATGTGGTGGTGTGAAAGAAGCTTAGCAAGCCATTTTTATCCATGAAAATGTTGCCGATGATTTCGGATGATGTAGGATACATTTGTGCTCTTGTCGCATCGATTGAATTCAAAGTAGCAATGAGCAACGAGTGGCAGGACCAGTCGGGCTTTTGATCAATTTTTTTCGATACGTCGCCAAGTAGCACAAATGTATTTTGTAAATGTGTATGTTGGCACATTTAGATGGTTTTATTCGTGTGTTTAGTCGGTAAAGTATCGAGATGTCATACATACGAGCAATGACATAGAATACACATTAGGAGGTGAACGTATAAATTGATGCTGCTTACACTGAAAGAAATCGATCGACCGCACCGAATTACATTTAACGTAAGGACAGAATTTTTAGTTCTCAAGAATCGAACTTTTCGCGATGCGGTAGATGAATTTTTTTCAGTTTATCATCATGTGTGGATGCTATATATAGATGTTTTTCTATTCGATGAGATGTAACGTATAAAAAAGAATAGACAAAAGAGTAGAATTATGATCGAAAAATAAAAAGAAAAAAATATCAGACAAAACATAACGAAGACGTATCGTTGGCAAATTTTGCAAATCGATCAATCTTATTATAGCTTATCGTAAAGAAAGAGACTGTGCACAAATATACAGCTCATGAAGTAAATTTCATTGTGTACATTATGTAAGTTTAGCGAGTAGTGATTAGATTATTAGATGGTGTATATCTATGGGGAAAGCTATAGTGAGGTATAGTGAGGCGGGGAAGGGACTTGAAATTGGCATAAATTGGTTTATACTTGAAATGTCAAGGAAAAAGTAAGACGATGTTGAAAAAGCAGCGGCGGGCCGGAGATACTTACCAGGCGGCTCATACTTACTGGAAAAGTTCCTTGTGGCCAGCATGGTGGTAAGGATGGCGCCCTGTCGAACAACAAAAGATCCGTTAAGCGAACAATTGTCATGATCTCGGGTGAAAAATTCTTTATCTCTAAGTAGGACCTCGGGCACGGGCTTTTCCGCGAGCTCGTGGTCCGAGCGGCACATGACGAATTTGTTTTTGATGGATTTCATGTTGGGCTTTTTATCGGACGACGAGGAGGACGAACGAAACGAGGAGGACGACGAGTCCCGACAACAGCAGCGTACGCTCATGCAGCTCAGACGCGCACGCACGACTCGCGACCACCACGGTTGAAAAGCGACTATAGGACTCCGCGAGCTGCTCGCTTTACTCGACCGATTCGCGGTTCAGGGCCGCGACTACGCAGCATTTTATGCCGCGATGGCAATTATACAACGTCAGCCGCTGGAGTCATAAGCACGGCTCGTTTATGGAAATGCACTTTTACGTAAGATGTGCTGGCGCGTTCGCTTTCTCGCGCTCCATCTCAATCACGATTATCTCGATTAGGATTCGGAAATTAGAGCCGACGAGCTCGGCAGATCTCGTTGGATCGTCGCTCAATAACGAGACAAAGAGTCGCCATTTTCGAATCATCGTTGCTAATTATTACACGCATCTTTTCGTAAGCAGGCAGGCAGTGTGTCGAAACTTTACGTAATCGCGAGCGTGTGATTATAAATGGGTGCAATTGCAGATCGCTTCCTCGTATGCGCGTGTCGCGCCTGTAGCAGCGCGAAAATGCAGAAAATGACACAGACAGGTACTCACTTTTAATTTGCGCCTGGCATTGAATTTCTTCAAGCAATCCACTGTCTCTTGCCTGTGGACGATGGATGCCACGCGCTCGCGTTGCTGTGACAAACAAACAAATTAACGAATGAATTAGAATTTCATCAATTCCACTCGCTCGAACGAGGAACAAGACAAAGGGGACTTACGCAGATCCATGGGTGTTTGAGGGCGTCGTTGGCCGTGATCCTCTTGCTCGGGTTCACCGTGAGCATCTGATTGATGAGGTTTTTCGCCTCGGGCGTGACTGTGTCCCATTCTGGCGTGGGGTACTGCATTAGAAGCAATCGTTAGAAGCATTCATTTTATAGTATGTAAATCGAACGAATCATTTGCGTGTATTACTGACGTCGTAGGATCCAGCCTTGATCTGGGCATAGAGCCGGTGCTGGTCCTCGTCCCAGAAGGGCGGGTAGCCGACCAGCAGAATGTAAAGTATGACGCCGCAGGCCCATATGTCGACGGGCTTGCCGTAAGGCTCCTTCTTGAGGACCTCGGGGCTGAGGTAGCCGGGCGTGCCCGCGAATCCGTACCATGCTTGTGTATCGCCTTGGACTTCTATCGCCAGGCCAAAGTCGGCCAATTTCACCGCAGCCCCTTTGGCTTTGCTGGCTAAGAGTAAGTTTTCTGGCTGCCAAGGTTGATCAACCGACGCACAATGAGTCGTTTATTAACAGTTGTAATACACACAAGTGTTATCAGGCTGCGGGATAAATACCTTGAGATCTCTGTGCACGACCCCGTTGTGATGGCAGTGGTGTACGCTCTCGAGGATCTGTTGAATGCAGTGCGACGCGTCAGCTTCGCTGTAAAATTCCCGTGCCACGATATCTTCAAACAGCTCACCGCCTGTTACTCTGTGTGCCAATCAAATCTCGTTATGCGTCGAATCGAATAATTAACAAATTTTGTTTCAATGTGCTTTTCCTACTTACAAGTCGAATACGAGGTAGTGGTAATTTTCCTCCTGTATGCTATCGTGTAATCTGACTGTAACGCAACAAAAAGCCATCATTACATAAACATTGTCAAGTATATTGATTAAAAAGAAAAATAAGAAAAGATATTCTTTTCGGGACAGCTTTTGTTTAGAGCATCCTGCGTCGTTTGGTCATCGACGACCTTACATCAGCCCATATACATAAAGCGAGTGTAAATTATTCCCTCCTGCGCTCCATTACTTTACTAGTCGCGTTACTACTACATAGTGAATGCAGTAAACAGGTGCAGCTAGCTAAAGTATGCTTGAACAACGTCGTGATATCACACGAGCTCCTTTGCTTCCTACATTAAACTGCGACCAAAGTACTTTTTGTTTCGTCTCTCTCTCTCTCTCTCTCTCTCTCTCTATTCTAGATCAAGTAAGCCAAGTGATAAAACAAAGTAGGTTTGTCACAGAAATGGCTGTAGAAGTATAGCGGTTGTATTATATGGAAAATTATATCGAGCAGCTCAACGGGAATTAATATAGGCTGCGGCCAGCTGCTTTGAGCTTGCGGACGTCGTCGAGGGATCGAATTAGCATCGAGCCAAGAAGAGCACCCGATACACAGACCCAGTGCAGCTAACCACTTAAACCACTTTTACTTTTTACTTTGCAATTGGCCCTTTTTTTGGCAAATTTGACTAGAGATCATATTTGCATGAAACGCCTACTTTTGTCACTCTTCATTTTGTCTTGCAACTGCACAAGTACGTAACGAGCCGGCCACTATGTCAGTGACAACTCGAATTTGTATCGTTCGCAACGTCAAGTTATAATGATGATTAAGCGAATCCCGATTTGCAACGAATACGAAATGAGTAGTAAATATTTTGCCTGTGCCATGATTCGGCTTTGCGATTTGAGAAAGCCTTCAAGGTGTGCAGAAACGAGTGGGCAGAAAATTACATATGGTCGCCTCGCGTCATTGGACGACGTCCAAGAGTCCTTTCCAAGCGTCTTGTCCAGCTGCTCAAAGACCCGAAGCTAATCCGCATCCAATCGGCACGATCGACGCTACAGAAAATGACTCGCCGATCGCTGACTCGTGCGGTAAACAAGAAACGAGTTGGAAGAGCGAATTGTCGCATAAAACTCATCATATGTCTCAGTACCGTCTCTTTTTCTAGATTTATGCGAGTAAAACTGTGTAAGATTAAATGGACAGAGCGTAAAATTAAAAAAAATCGGAAAGTTTGTTGCAAAGTAGCAGCTGGTCAATTACAGCGCGGTTGAACTGTAAGCTAGAGTTGGAAGCAGCAAGCCATCACCCGTACCAGTTGGCTAATGTATGAAACGTCTACGTCCACTAGGAAACAAGCGAGCCAAACATCGATCCACCTACGATCGACGTGAATCGGCTTCGCGTCACGAGCCAGGAGCGCACGACCGTCGCACCGAAACAATGCTATGATAACATACAGATGCCGTTTTTGCCGTTTTTACAGCTCTCGCTGCAATTAAAAGCTTGTTACAAAATGATTGGTTGCGCGCTCGAGTCTTTACTTGGCGCGCCGAGTTTTAAAAGAAAAAAATACACTTTTTATAATGCGGCAATAATACGTACTTCTGTAGCTGCACCACCCCTGCAAAATTCGAGTATTTAGCAAACGCTGCTGCGAAAATCCCAGATATAAAGTATTTTCCCCAACGATAATAGCTTTGAGCTGTTTTGCTCGTCGTTTTTTGTTGAATTTCGTAAGTATTCTTGGACATGGCACGCGTTACTATCAATGTTTGATTTATAAATGATTTATTTATTTATTTTTTTTTTTTTTTTTTTTTTTTATAAATGATGAAACGTCGATCAGGAACTAAGCAATTGGATCAACTATTGCTGTAATGCTTGTCGCTTTTGACACCACCTAATGGCATTTGCAGCAACGATTTGTGCTTGGCAATAGCTACTGGATTATTTCGCCTGTGTCCGCGAGTGCATGCAGGTAAAATTTGAGCTTTAAAAGATATGGATTTTTATGAAAAAAATCTTCTCTCAGCTCCTATTGCAAGAGAACAGCAATTCTTTTCTTCGATCCGTACCAGATCGAAAAAAACTTAGGGCTCGAGTCAATTGTTCAATCGGTCAATTTCTCCAATTAAAATTCATATCGAATATACTTACCGATATTTGGATGTTGGAGTTTTCTACATATTCGCGCTTCTCGTTCCAACTTTTGAAAATCTGAAATGAAAAGACAAAACAAGTATTATAAGGTGAAGATTAAGTTTAATAAGAATTACAATTATAAATTTGTCAATTTTCCTGTGCTGATAGAATCGGACTCGGGGACGGAGCATAGTGACTTTTGGTTTTTCTCAAAAAAGACTGCACAAGTAGAATTGGTAGGCTCAGTTATAGCGCAAATGCAATGCGCGTAGGTTGCAAAAGCGTTAGAGTCGCGCGGCGAAATAAACCCTTGGCGTGCTCCACGGATTAATGATTCTACAATCCTTCGGACTGGCTGCAAGCTCGAACGTGCATCGGTGCAATTAGGCTGCTTTTCTTCTAGTCTGCACAAGAACAAAAGGCCTCCAACGATGTGACTCGAAATAACTCGGACCCATATTTTTTACGACAAGTCCGCTTATTCAAGCGTCCATGTTTGTTGCAAATGGAGCTCACAACTTACTTATAAAAGGAAAGAGGAACACGAGCTTGCACAGTTTCTCATTTGAATGATTTTTAGTCGCGTAATGTTTTTTCCTCGAGTGGCTGGATTGGTGATTGCAATAAGCTAAGACTCGTTTCGACTCGAAATTTCAGCTCTGCAAATTATCGTCCGCAGCTGCCTGCACACATATGCAAATGTAGCGAGCTTTTGAACGAGCAGTCGTTACTTTTTTGCATTTTGTATACTCGACTAAGCTAGATTATGCGCGCGTATACGAAATTTACGCTGTACGTTTCTTTATTTGGAGCGCGAGCCGGCCAAATGCTGCGCGATCACGAATTCCCTCGAATAAGGCGCTTTAAGCCGCGCGGCTAATCGAATCGGCGCCTGATCCATTTAACGCTAAAATACGCGGCTAAAACGTAGTGACAAATTAACGCTCGTCGACTGTCTCGCCGAGGTGAAAATCCGCCCGACTACATTTTTCCCTTTCCCAAAGTCTTGCTTTAGTTTTTATGCTTAAAAGCGCCTCGGCTTCGCGTGTACCTACATTATTCCTAACGTTGACTAGAAATTACATCGTACGCACCAACACGCACTAACGCAACTTGGCCGTTAACTCTGGTTAAATGGATGAAGCGCGATGGCTTTGCCATTGTATGCACTTTTCAGCCACATAGCCCGTTTGGAGAAAAAAAATAGAGAGCCGACAATTTATAATTCACAACTCGTTTTTCTCTTTCGTTTTTAATTACCGATTAAGGGAACTATTTGCAAGTTGACAACACATCGCTTTTAGGCAAAGTTGTGTTATTGATTATTCGTACTTATTTTCCCACTCTTATCGCTTTAAGAAGCAACGCACAAGTTCAAGTCTATTTTCGAGTATTACATGCCGGAGCAGGAAAAGCGAGCCATAATTAGCTCGAAAAATTGCGAGTGCACGAACGTCACCTTGTCAATGCGCAACTCGAATATGCCTAGAGGTGTAACGAGGCGTATCAAAGCTGCGCAACAAATATATTCGATACGATCGTCATCGTCAACGCCAGAGCAATGATTTTACGTTTTTCGATGTTTTGTCCGACCTTTGAGTCGGTGCGTGCGCGAGCGTGTCCACTCTCATGGCTGGTGGACGCGATAGAAAAAAAGTTTTGCCAAAGTTTGCTCGAATTCGCTCGGATTTGAATTAATAAATGCATTACGCGATAAGGAAAAATAGATTTGCTATTTGAGCCAGACGACTAGGCGTCGCGTTCGGCTTTGAGTGGCGAAATAAGCTGCCAAAACTTTCGCTCAGTCCTTTCAATGTACAGAGCTGGAAAAGTTATTCGATTTAAAAACGATACTATATCGATTTTGTGTATTATAGTTGGCATATGAGCTTGGAAGCGCAGAGAATAAGACGGGGCCATAAGCGTAGTTTATAAGCATAGTTAAATTACAAGTTTTAACTTTTCCTCTAAATGTCCCCCGAGTCGATAGGCGTTGACAGTCGATTCTTAAAAGTTGCAAAAGATTAGACGCTCGAGTTTGAGCAAGAATCGTTGGGCTCGTTGTTGGACTAGCTATGCGAAGCCTTCGACTCGAGTATGAAATGTATTTATAAAGAAAAATGAAATTAGAAATGCAGCTGTAGTCGCGATTGGTGGTCGACGAGAAAAAAGTAAAGGAAAATAGACTGCGAATGCTATATAATATAAGGAAGCCAGATATGAAATGTCTTACAGATATGAAATTATCGATCGAACGAGTAATGAGATACGGCGACCGCGAATAAATTGATTCTCTGGATTTTTCTCCATTTCCTCCTCCTTCTTCTTCTTCTTCTTTTCATTTGTCTACTTTCTTTGGTTGCTTTCGTGTCCAAGGCCGATGTATTAACGCACAAGCATATAATTGAATGCTGAAACAAGAGAGAAGTACGGCTCGGGTACGGGGCGCGCAAACGAAGCTGCGCGCGGCAAAGAAAAAGCAATCGACGAGGAGCAAGCGAACGAGTGCAGCGCACTGCAGCGGCACCGTCGAATAACATTATAAAAGCGCCAGTGACGTAGGTAGGTAGGTAGGTAGGTAGACCAGGTGCGGCTGCAACGACGTCGGCGCTCGCTGGGTCAAGAGGTCACTAGAGCAAGGTCCAAATTTCATCTTTCGCGCGCATAGCTCACTTTTTTCCCTCTTTTTTTTCTCCTCATTCGCATTGTCCACCTTTTTATTTTCAGCTGATTTATTTTCAGCTCTCTTCCTTTTTTTCTCCTGCGCGCAAATCGCATTTCCAATGAATCGCCATGTGCGACTATACTCTATTATAGGCTTTGAGTAGTATTGCTGCAAGCCCGACGGATTACTTATTGCAGCTTTCTCGGCCATATTCGACTTTTCGCTTTACATTTAATTCTTCTCTCTCTCGGTCCATTTTCTTCTTTCATAATCAAGCCTAAGAAGCTAATGTACGCAACCTAGGCCTATCGCCAATGTTCAACATTAGTTCACAAGTAAATTCAAGCTCATTATTCTGACCAAATGACATTTGAAATGGCTAAGCACAAGACTAAATACCATTTGCTCGTTTATTCTTTTACCATAAGCTTTTACCTCTTTGAAAAAATCTAATAAATCAATATTCAATTAAATCTATATTTTATCTCGCTTCGAGCATTAGTTTGAAACGAATCAGTGCATTGAGAAACTTGTCAATCGAAATTCGTCCTTCCTTCGCCACATCGAAAATGCATTCGATATTTTTAATTTTGCAAAAGAGACATAATTATAGTTCACCCGAAACAAAGTCAATAGTCAAGTATCATCGAGCAAGTTGGCACTTTTGCAGCTCTTTCAATTATTAACGCCTTTATCTCTCGATATAAAGATTATTAGCGAGCTGGACATAGCTAGAAAAGAGCAAATGACGCGATCGGCTAAAAACGCTTGTGCGAGATTTTTGTCTTGGTTCGTTTCTCTTTTCTGCAACCAGTTTATGCATTTCTCTCTTTCTTTCTCTGTGCACATCCAAACGCGCTCCGTCTTTCGAATCTATTTCGAATCTAGCCGTAGATAAAATTAGCTCAGAGCTTAAAATCTCTGCGAGTGCGAGTATACGTCACTCGGCGAGACAATAGTATCGAACTAACGACGATCAACAAGTTGCTTATTTGTTAATTTTGACGTATGTATCGTAGGCGGACTCGCTCGTTAATTAGCCCGCCCGCTCATGGCAATAGCCTCATCCGGAATTCTGCTTTACAACGTCCATCGATTTCTTAGACATGATTTTCTTTTTGCTGTAAAATTTCATTACTTTTATACAATTACTCACCTCTAGAGGATAACTTTTTCGTGTTGATGATTTTGGCAGCAAACTCGAGGTTCGTACTTTTTTGCACGCATCGTCTGACCACAGAGAAAGCCCCTCTGAAACATAGAATAAGAAGATATGCATTAGTACTGGAGTTTGGCTACGATGATGGGCTTGTCCAGTGGAGAGGGAATGTACGATAGAAGGCTCGGTGCAGGCTCTTTTGGTTGTGTATTTTAATTGGATGATGGGATCGCGAAATATTAATTCAAACTTGACACCTCTCACGTGTGTCTTTGCTTTCTCTCTTCCTCGCTCCGACTTTATATAAAGTCGCAACCTTGAAATAAGAATGTAAGTAAAAGAAAAGAAGGCACGAGTCGAAGGCCGGTCTCCACGCATACGACACTCGCACATGCAAATAATACAAGAGTTGGTGTGTAAATAATTTCTTTAGCCGCGACAAGCAATAATCGGTGTCATTAGTTTCTCAAAAATGAAACATTAACAAGTACATAATATAAAGGCGCACACAAATGTGCGCTTCGACTAAGCTAGATTATGCAACTGCAACGTATATATTATAAATACGCTGCAGTTTGCAAAAGTTATAAGCAATTTAATAAAAAAAATGCTTGAATGTAGGTGGCAATAATATAAACGCGCCAGATTCAATTTAAAACTCGAGAGAGTCGAGGCGAGGAAAGAAGACTCGAGAGCGAAACAATTGCGACTCGACGCTAATGAACATTATAAATGTCTGTTTAAATTTTGTGTGTGTATGTGGGTGAGTGTTAAAAGCAGCGTATGCGTCTCCAGGGGCGATATCACGTAAGCGGGGAAATATCAAGTACGCGCACGAATCTCCTTGGGAGCACGAGGGATGAATGCGAAGCAAGAGCTGTAGCTTGTGTGCCTAACTAAGCAAATTGCCACAGGTTTAGGCTCGATTGTCTGCGCTGTATCAACTGCGTTCTCCGTTGCTCAGGCCGCTGCTCTGCGTGCAATATATCGGAAAATCTACTTTTCTCGATCAAACGCTTCCAAAATTTTAGATCGGAGCTAGGCTAATTTCATGTTTTCGCAGGCGTCTTCACAGATGTACTTGGGAACATGGCAAGTGGAGCTTTTTTCCAAGTAGCATCGATTGATCGATCACCGTGTGAATTGGTTCAGCATCTCTCGAGCAGTTAGCCGTCGCGAGAGCCCGAGCTAAAAATACACACGAGCAAGTGATACGCGCCGATAAGACGCGCGCGACAGACTAATAGAAAAATAATGCGTTGAAAAGTTTTACTCGAGACTCGAGCTGCAGTCGAATCCAAGTAAACAAGCCAAGTCGAGAAAAGTACATCGATTTATCTCATTGAACAGCTCGTGCAAGACAATGATGCACATTTGAGACAAAAATCCACGCGTTAATTACCTCGGAGGTTGCAATTTTGTTGTAAAAAAAACGTTGCTAATTCTTCCAAGTGGGATAAGAAAAGCCAATCGACTTTTGGCTAACGTTGGTCCTGCAGACGCACAGACGCACCCGAGTGTCAACTGCATGACGAGCTGCACTCGAAGCTCTAGTCTGTAACTATCTTTCAAAACTGTCGCTTCGTTATCAGACGTTCGATCATTCGTAATTTATAGCTTATTATCGTTGACATCCGGCAAATGGTACATCGTCGGTATCTGTGAGCTGCTCCGCTCATGAATATTCGAAATTTCGGTGTCAAGGCTATACGCGAAGCTGTGTAATATATATTATACACAATACATATATTGAAAAGGGGCTGTGATTGCAGAGCACATGTTCCGCGCGACGAAGATTCACACAGCTAGTGGCTGTGGAGTACGTATCGGGCCATGTGCATTATTCACGAAAAAAGAGGTGGCTGGCTACTAAGACGACCTACTTGAAAGAGAGAGAGAGAGAGAGAGAGAGTACTCGAAGATGGCGAAGAAAGCCGTGAAAAAGGCCTGGACAAAACGTGAATCAGATGAAAAGTGGCGATAAAATTGAGGACGTTTGACGAGTTTCCACGAGACTCGGTTATGTAATTGCGTTTTCGTTATGAATTGGTAAAATGCATGTCTGGTATACGGCGACTATCGTTGCCTTCGTAGCGTTCACGCACATGCCTTATAGCTGGCGAAATCGATCGATAAGGCGGCCGACTTTCAGCAAGGGGCTCGAGTGAATTTTCGCAGCTCTTCTCCTGCACGAACGATCGAGCGCAGAGCGGACGAATGAATAATCTCGGTAATAAATAGGCAAATCTGCTTTGCAAGAGGCTTATTTCATCGGCATCTTGCATCGGTCTTTAGTAATTTCTAATAAAAATTCGAATTAATATTGAAACGCGTTGCAGGAACGATCGCAGGACGCAATTAGCCAAATTAACGAAAAGAAATGTAATTCACGAGGCAACGTTTTAGTCAGCTTGTATCGGCAAATATGACTCGGTAGATAATGTCAGGAGTTTGCATCGATCGAGGCTTTGCTATAGCTCATCCGCACCATCCGTAATCGAAGGTTGGAAACACGAGTTGGAACGTCGGTCATCCTCGTTGCGCACGATCGAACGGAGGAAAATGGAATAAAATGTATAGGGAAGAGGCAGTCGAGGAGAGGAAAAAGGATAAAGAGAATGATTGGGAGCTCGCGAGCCTAATAAGCCGTGCGAGTCGGAGCGAGCTAACGACGCGGTTAGCTATAGCTAATATGCGCCGGCGACAATCGATAAGTGTTGTGTCTGCGCATACACCGCGGATCTGCGGACTGCGGCTGCAGTCTACAGTGTCTGGACGAGGAGGTAAATAGCTATAGCTATACACACACATACGCTATACGGATACGCTAGCCTCTGTCTTTTGACCTAAATGCGTCACGCGCGTAGCCTGCACACGCAGCGCAGCAGCGACGTACGCGCCAGCTTTTCCGAGCTGACTCTATAACGCTAGCCTCCGAGCTAATGCTCCAGCGCTATTTCACCAGCTGTGAATTCTTCCTTCTCCTCTACGCTGACTCGACGGGCACCGAAATCCAAAAGCGCCAATGACTCGCCACTAACGATGACTCGACGTTGATCCTTTTTTCTCGGGACTCGCGACGAATAAGCAGGAAAATTGAGCAAGAACGAGAGCTCGAGCTTCAAAGGCAACCGCATCGCGCTTGCTCTCGAGCTTTAAAACTCGAGCCTTGTGCCGGAGCGCGTCTCTTATTTCCAGTCGAGTAAAGACGAGACTAGAAGGGAGCTTTTTTCCCTGCGTATCTGTATGATTGATAATAACACGCCTACTAGCAGATCCTTATTTATAAATTGCCATCGATCAGCTATTTGTAATGGCTTATATCGCTTACGTATCCGAGTGCAAAAAAGAAGGCGATACCGCTCGTGTTCGAGCCTGAATAATATATATTATGCTCGGCTCCTCTCGGTAATTATCGAGCAAAAAACAGGGAAAATCTTTTCGAAATAAAGAGTGCTGCGCGCCTGCCTGTACACGGACTCGAGAGTTGGCTCGTCGTAGCGTGAAACTAACTGTGTCAGACATCTAGTCTATGGCCTGGCTGCGCAGCTGTGTATATTGTATGCTCGCTTGCGCGCGCGCGACCAGCCTGTCGGCGTCAACAATCGATATTCCAATATTCTTACATATCCGTTTCGTTGCAAATGTTATTTTTCCTTTGCTCCGTGTAATGCTCCGTGCAATTATCCTTCCTCGTGCGCGCCCCCCATTTTACCGACCCTTTTACAGGGCCAAATTGCCAAAGTCAACTGCGCAAAATTTTCCCAGCTGTTTATAATACGACTCGTTCAATCTCACTACTATCGCAAAAGCTAAAGGATGAATAATTCCTCGCTTCAACGAGACAAAGCGCCCCGAGTTGGAGGGACTAAAGACAACTTCCTCTTCTTGATCTACTTTTTACTCTTATCTGTCTTTTATTTCAGAGAAAAGGTGCCAATGTTCTGACTTTTGTTCTACACAACTAGTGTTTACAAAGATGGAGAAACGAATTATTTTCCAAACTCCTCCTCATACTCATTTCATTTCAAATCGATTATTTTCACTTCTTTTTATTATTATTATTACTCATTATTATTACTCGTCGTCACCCTTTAGGATTTACTTGTATGCGGTAAAATGAAAAAACAAAAGGTGAGTGGCTTGGCACGAGCGTTTTTATTTATTCACGGAACAAGAGTCAAAAACGTCGAACGCGTCGAACGTCAAACGTATAACGAGGCAACGGTAAGTAAGCTCGACAAGTGTTATCTGCAGCTGAGGCAATAGAACTCGACAGTCGGTTATAAAGTTTAATAGTTATTATTCTTTTGACGACTAGGAGAAAAAGCAAAAAGTGATAAGAGTAGAAGCTGATATAGGAAAATACTTTTGACCTGGATCTTGGCTCTTTTCCTCTTTTTTTTCTCTCATTTAAAAGAGGTGGTTGCTGTGGAGATAAGAGAGAGAGAGAGAGAGAGAGAGAAAGAAAGAGAAAAGCCTACTTAAAGGAAGAGTCTTTGGCCAACCGCATGCTCCGAGATGACCATTCTTTTCTCAGCAAAGCATCTTTCCGCGCTCTAGTTACTAATAATCTGCTTGCTCAGCCCGAGTCTCGTGTACAGAGCTATGCCGCGTTTGATATTCAATCTCGACTCGCTGGGCTTTTTTCAACAGTCACCTGAACTAGCGGTGCAATTTTTCCAGAGCTTGCAGCGGCGCGTCAACTTTTCTTTTGTTTCTTACGTTGGAGCGATCAGTGACGTAAGAGGCCAGAGGTAAATTCCATAATGCTTGTCTCGTTCAATTTTTTCCTCTCCAACTAAGCAAAGTTTGTAGGAGCAAAATACTAATGGGGCGCAGGCAGCTTTTTAGCCCTTTAACCGAATGCTCGTTAATTGGCCCAAAAACAGCTCGTTCTCGAATCGCTTCTCTGACCTGCTCGATTCTTTCTTCGTACATAGATTGTATGAAAAATACAGGCTGTTGCTCGTGTCGAAGTTCAATACGCTACCCAACGGATGTACTACGCTACTCGTCGTTCTCGTCCTTATCCAGGCACGTAAAAAAACAAAGTTTATACGTGTCACGTACAACTCGACGTATAACTCGA